TCTCTCTGTTACAAACACACAAACACACGTGAGCACACACAGGGGTATGTTATTAAAGTGCCTCCAGCACTCATTTCATATGTGAAGCAGAGCAGACATACCTGTCTGTCTGCCTCTCTAATACCTGTAATTCCTCTTCCCCGGGGTCTCTGTGTGTTTGCGTATGTGTAAAAGTGTGTGTGTGTGTGTGTGTGTGTGTAAATGAGAGAGGACAGAGAGAAAAAAGGTAAGCTCTTCCACCTACCCATTGGTCAGGGCGTTTGTCCAATAAACACTCAGAAGAGAGAAAAAGTTTAAATCAAAACAGCCAATCAGACGCCTGCTCTGCTGTGCAACTATGTTCAGCTGTTTTTCTTATGTGTAAGGTTTTGTACTTTTGTCATTTGACAGGAATGTTAAACACTCACAGTGATCATGTCTGTAAGCTGTTTGTTCTGTTCTTTCTGCACATTCATGACTGTTTTTAAAGCGAATCATTGAGACCACTTGAGAAAAACTGGACCTAAATCAAAGGAAATAACCTCTTTTTACTGGTAATCGTGTTTTGCTATAAAGGTCTTTACCCTTTAATGCCTGAAACCACAAATTATAGCCAGACAATTAAAAATTTTTTGAAGCTGAAATGTTTATTTCACTTACTACTGAAAACCCCCAAAAATCCAAATGTCCTTAAAATCTAACAAATATATATATTGAGCTTGTTTGACACATTAGATGTTTTTGGAAACTGATTAACCACAAGAGGACATTTTTATTATTTATCGGACTGTATTCAGGTGGTTTTTTTTAAAAGTAATTTGTTGATCATATTGATTTGATAGAAGTATCATAAAAGAATGTATCAAATATGATACAAAAGGCATTATAGGGTTAAGAAGCATCACCCTACGAGTGAGACAAATTCAAATCTGTGTCCAACTCCTCACTGTGCCTTTGACATGCATTAAGATCCTACTCAGCTGTCCTGACATCATCAACGGTTTTTGCTTCTTCTGGTTTTGAATTGTCACCTCACACCTCTTATGTTCATGATCTTACATTCTGCAGGGAGAAGAAGAGATCTAACTTGTGTATTTTGGGTAAAAGGAGCCATGAAGCAATGCAAAAATAGCCCATTTCAAAGAACATATCCCACAGTCAAAGTTCTGCTTTGCTTGCACAGCAGTTCGGTTTAGGAGCATTATCATGAGATAAATGAGATAAATTTATACTGACACGACGAGATATAAAAAGAGCTTTAAAAATAAGGTTGACATGAGTGTTTAACATTTATTATAGTTCTGTCAGCGTTTTGAGGCTTTATTTGTGGACTCTGGCTCCCTCTGTTGGTCAAATTATGCAGAGATCAGAGGAGGGCTGAGTGAAGGTTTAGAAATAAGGAATCATTGTCTCTCCTGTGTGTAGATCAGTGAAAGAAGCTAGTGATTAACTGGTGAAGAACAAACAAGATGTTCTTTTATCACCTCAGATTCTGGTAAATTTCAAGATAAATTCAATGAAATTATCTGTATGTGATTAATCTGTCACATAGTTTGTGATTAACAGACTGAGTAATTTGGTACCATCTTATTTGTTGTTTATTAAATGTACATAAACAACGGTTGTATTTATTTATTTAGATTTCTTAACCACTCCAATGAGGTTTCACTTTAAAATCTTGAGGGACTTTTATTTGTTTAATTAATCAATCAGCAACCTCTTGTCTTGAGCAAGCCAATGCTAATAACTGCAGTTCCTGAAGTGTCCACTTGAGGCTGGCTCAAAAAGCACTGCAAGGACATTCACACCTAATTTAAAAGCCCATCTTTACAGCAAAAATACACATCTACAGCCTGGTCAAATAAAAACAATTTTGATATGATAGCTCATGTCTTTCACTCAACACACTACACAGGGATTCATTTTTTCATGACTTAATAGATCGCAGGATGAGGTTATGAGTTTTGCATAATTATGACACAGTTTGCTTGACTGAAAGGTGGACACACTATCGCTGTAAGTGAAGGGGTTGAGGCTTTTATCATCATCAGGCTCCTCTTTGGAAACCAGTTGGTGGGGAGAGCCTCCTCTCCAGGAGTGGATGACTGAACTGGACAAAGTAGCAGCATATGAACGAATGACACACAGGATGCAAGACAAAATGGAAATGTACTCTTTGAAGTGGGAAAATTATCTTAAGACTATGAGTTTGATGGATTGAATGTATTATTTTCATATTACTGTATGCTATCTTATTTCACTGTCCCAGTATAATTTCTTTATTTTTATTTATTTATCTACTTTTTGCTTTCTATATCAAGTTTTGAGGCGATAGAGATGTATTCAGCCATGTAGCAGCCTTGGGGTGGGTGGCAGGGAGTTTTTGTTGTTGTTGTTGTTGTTTTTATTTATTTATTTATTATTATTATTATTATTATTATTTTTGTTATTATTATCTTTGTGTGTATGGATGATGCTATGTTTGATGTCCTGTCATAAATAAGAATGTTGGAAAAATAAAAAAAGTATAAATCATAAAAAAAGAAACCAGTTGGTGACTGAAACCGTGTCTTTCTTTTCTACAGACAATGGTTCCTACTGGAAAGGACTCAAAGATGTGATGTTTTTTTCTTTTTTTTTAAATAAACACTTAATTATGCAAATGACTTCAAACAAACCAACAGATTTCAGCATATTTCTCTTTAAGATAAATTGAAATTTCCTGCAATAAAAAAAAACAGAGTTGTCACCATCCTTAAAAAAAGTTAGCATCCAATGAGCTGAGAAAACAGATAAATTTAGCTTCACAGTGATGCACCCTCCTCCACCTGTTGATGACATCAGCTGTAGTTTTATAGCAGTGACACAACTGGAAATATAACAACAGGGTGACAAAGTCTGTATGAAGTCTATAAAAATTCATCTGATAAAACAAGCAACACAGGAATCAAAGCTCAATCTCTGTCGATACACTTTATGATGTTTACTCTCCCAGGAATATGAATCAAATAGCCTTTTAATCCTTTATTTTGTTAAATGTTATAACTAACTTGATAATATATCTAATCTAAATTTACAATCTGTAATCCTCAACATAAACAGTTCCAAAGTCAAGTTAAAGACACCACTGTCAAAGCTACTATCAGTTTATGATCATTGAAGATTATGACTGACAGTAACAGCAAAATAGACAGTTTACATATGGTTTGCAAAGATATGCGTCTGCCTGTGGTGGTAAAAAGCATCAGCGATATTCCTTACTGCATGCTCCTCACACAACCCCTATTAACCTTCCTCCTGTGTTAGCTTTTACTACGCACCCACTATGTTAAGGGTCGGTTTTGACCCGTGTCTTAAATCAGCTGTAAATTACACTAAAAACAATTCTCTATCATCCAATTTTTTGTCAGTATACCCCACATACAGACATCTATACTGAATTAATCTTATATGTCTGGACATGCCCAACGTTGTTTTTGGTGCAGGGAAATACTTGAAAAAATGAGAATTTCCTAAATCTCACTTAATTGGAGAGGATCTGACTGTCGGTGTGGTGCCTGCCAGTGCACTTATGATTTCAGTTTTTGCTCTAATTATTAGATATTGATCTAACTGGGTCAACAGCGACCCTAACACAACAAGTGCCATAATTTTAATAAGAGTATCTTATAATTTAGTCAATTTAATTCTTTACTTTTATTTTGTTGAAATAGAGATTCCTGACAAAGTCAAAAAGTCTTGATGCAAAAAAGCTAATTTAAGTGGTTCTTTTAAGCATTTAAAATCAAAAATGGGTCCTAAGACAGGAGGAGGGTTAACAGATGTTAATACTGCGTTTTCACTCTGCGGGGTACAACCTGAGGCGATGGACATTGTCTTCTCTTAAGGTTCCTCTGCAAGCTCAGAGATTTAGAACTGAACAAAGCACTGTATGACTAAACCCTGGTCTCCCTGACAGACTATCGCCAGGTGGTGAGAATGGACAACTGCAGCACCTTATTGCTGACCCTCAACACAGGAGCACCACAGGGCAGCGTCCTCAGCCCCTGCTTGTATCCCCTCTTCATCTACAACTGCTTGGGTACACAGGTTCAAACACAATAGTGAAATTTGTGGACAAACAAAGCAGTGGTTGCTTTTTATTAACTCACTTACTGGAGCTTGATTGTACTTGCATTACCTGGGCAATAAATACCTTAAATCTTGATGACTGTATGACAAATGGATGTACTTAGATAAGCAGTTGTTTAGGGGTCATCAGACAAAATGAAACTAGAAATCTATAAAAGTCATTACACCCTTAGAGCGACACTACTGAGCATTTCTGAGTGTCAGTATCACTGGCCTGAAGCATCACTTTGAAGTTATTTTGTTTCTTTTAAAAATGCAGCTGAGAAAACAGAGAGTGGACTGCAGAGTCACTTTGTTTCTGTCCGATTTTTTAAACAATAATGAGCCTACGTGCTGTAAAAGAGGCGAGCTGGCAATAACTGTAAAAGACTCGACAATAATGTGCTGTAAACCTTTGCTCATGTTGGACTATAAATTTAGAAATAACTACAAACCACTGAACATAAAGAGGGAAATATCGGATTATGAAACTGGAAAAAGAAACAGGATGAAAATAATCAGGTTAAAAAAAGGAAATAAGTGAAAGAAGGGTTCAGTGTGATTTTTATGGCTCGAGAATCTATAATGTGTAAAGGCGGGTGTACAACCTGTTAAGTCAGGACAAAATTTGACTCATGGGAGGGCGTTTAGAGGCCTGATGATAAGAGATCCTCTGAGTAACCCTCTCCTGAAACCATGTGTGTGTGTCTCAGGGCTGGACTTTGATCTCAGCTCTGTCCTCTGTAGGACTTTATCACACACACACATGTACACACATACGATCATTTCAACTGACTTTACCCTGGAGCTGTACAGCAGCTGTATGAAGACATCGATATAGCTTATAACTGTTTTTTAAAATTGTTTCCTTTATTCTAAGTTAGAGCGAAGGTCTTTTTATAAAAGCAGCCATGATCAGCAGGAACTTTAAAAACATTTTGGTGGTCTCTGTCGGCTTTCTGTCTCTATTCACAGCATATGGAGGCCTGCAAAGTTTACAGGTAGGTACTAAAATATCTTTTATTACATATTATTCTTCCCACTTAATGTTAAAAAAGTCTGCATCTTTCAATTGGGTAAATTCATAAGGGAATAGAAGTTGTGTTCACAGCAAAATGCTGTTTTCCCTTCCTTATTGCTAAGACTCTCAGACCTTAAACAGAGCGACAAAGAGGCAAAAAGTTGTTCTGGAAGTTTGCTGATGTTGGAGATGGTCAGGAGATTGATTTGAAGAGATTTGACTGCAGACCCTTAAAACTAATTTGCTGTTTAATTGAGGCAGGAAATTAAGTTTTTTGATTCCATTTATCAACCTTCATTACCTTTAAAGTTTGCCTTTTCTCTTAATCAGAAATCTTTTGGTTAAAATTTCTTGAGTTGAAGCATCTTGCATTCGAAGCAAAATCAACCGGCCTTTTAACATTAAAAAACTAAAATAGATTTCACACCTAATTTTGACTCCATGGTTTATTCTGTTCTCAAAAAAAAAAAAAAAAAAAAAAAAAACCTGAAATTAAAGCTCCAGTGTGAAATTTTGATTTGTTTACAGAACTGACTGAAATTTAAACCGATGCATCTTTTTAACTTACAAAACCTAACCAAGGCAAAAGGAACGAGACAGATTGTTTACTCTATATTTATTTCTAACATGTAAAGCCAACAGTAGGCGTTAGGTGTCAGTGAAGTTAATTTAAATTGTGTAATATTAAAGAAGCTTTCTAAAAAGATGTTCTATAGCAACGATTACTTTGCTAAAATTCAACTTTATTCATATGGCCCTTTCGTACAGGAATGTAATTCAAAGTGCCTCACACAGGTAGAAAACAAAACAAAACAAAAAAAACCCAATAAAACCCGACCCTCCCACCCACACACACACCCGTAGACCCACACACACACACACACAAAGACACACACCCACCATCACCCACCAACCCAAACACACATAAGCGCACACACAGAGCATTTAAGATTTATTGTTAAAGAGACATGGCCGAGACATTGCGTGAAGAAAGCGCTACCTTTGGTAAACACTGGAGATAAAAAGATAAAAATGGTAAAAAGAAAGAGTAAAACCTGATGGACTAAGTCAATGAGCTAATGTAAAATGAACAAATAATTAAGAATATAAATACAGAAAATAAACATTAAGAACTTTGATTAAAATGAAAATTTGCAATAAGAGAAATAAGAAAAGGCGATCATTGAAAAGCCTGTTTATAAAGGTGAGTCTTGAGCTTCTCCTTCAAAACATTCAGGCTCTGTGGCCCTGAGGGTCCCCGGCAGGCTGCTCTACAACCGGGGGCCATAGAGACTGAAAGCCGTCTCCCCGTGTGTTTTTGTTTTAACTTTGGGTAAGGTTAAAAAGCCTGTGTCGGAGGACCTCGTTCGTGAGGGTTGATATTATAAAAGTAAGCCAGGAGTAGGAGGGGCCAAGACCATTAATACATGCAAAAACTGATAAAAGAACCTTAAAATCAAGGTTCTTTTATTAGAAATGAAAGAGAAATATTAGAAATAACAAAATGTAAGATTTTTTTTTGTGTACAAGACAAAATTAGCAAAAAGTTCAGAGGTACTGTTATGTCCACTGGGGACACCAAAACCAAAAAGTCCTCACTCACTCACCCTGGTAATACATTGACTTATTGACAGAGGTGTGTTGCTTACTATCCCGTCGCCTCCCTCAGATCTGCATAGTTTGTTTGTACAAGATAAAAGTTTCACCTTTTTTCCATCCTTACTTCGCCTGTCAAGGTTTTGCTTTCGAGCAACCAATCACTTCAACTTCTGCCTCAAAGCCCAACATGCGAAGAGCAAATCTATCCCCAACTGCTGTCTTGAAGTATATCAGCCTGACTATGAGAAGTTAGATTTAGTGTTATTTCAGCTGGTCTAAAGTTTTTACATTTGTTTTTGAACAAACAAACTGACTCTATAAAGTCTAAAATAAGATTTAGTTTTAACAAATTCACTAGCGCTTTAATCCTTGAGGGTCCTCATAATTTACAGACCTTTTTGGCTGAGCTCTGAAATAGTTGCAAAATTGTAAAATATAACAAAATATAAATTTTATATACCAAAAATGGTCTGCATGGTCTTTGTTTTTGTTAGGAATAAAGTACAAATCAGAGACCGATAGGGTAAGCAAGACCATTTAACAATGTAGACTGGTCTAGCGTCACCATGAAGGGACTCTAATTTGCAACACCACCATCTCACTATACAGTGTTTGAGTAATTACCTTGCAACCAACTAAAGACCTTAACAAGGTGATTTTGTTGACCTCATGGTCTATAATATTTCCATGGCAACAGACACAATTGTCTGAGACAGAGGCTTACATGTTGTCACAGCGCCAACGGCTGAAGGTGAAATGAGCCGAACTCTTTGATCGATTAGATATGAGGTGTGATCAGATCAGATTGTTCCTGGCGTCAATTATGCCATAAAGAACAAATAACTGTTGTTACAGGCTTTGGACCGATCAGAAACAAGAATTAGAAAGAAACACATTTCGACTTTTTTTTTTTGGCTTTTATGCTCACTATTTATTAGACTGTAAGTTTCGCTCATGTGACTCGTTTGTTGTGGTCATTGTGCAAAGAATTTCTTTATATTTGTTTTTTGGAGAATGGTATTGTAGCTTTTTTTAAGCCCCAACTGATGACAACTGCTTGATGTAAATGGTCGGTGGAATCTGTATCAAGAGCAGAAATGTTGGTTTTAAGTAGATATGAGTAGATTAGGCACTTTATGAAAGTAGAGGACATCTGCAAGACAAAGATTAGAGCAATGACTCTACAATCCTTAAAAATGCCTTTTTTATTGTATTTATATCAGATTTAAAATGCTGGTAACAGTCTGGTATCTCAAACTGAATTAATAATCATAATAATAATAATAACTTTATTTATATAGCAATTTTAGAAACAAGAGTTTACTGTCGCATGAGCTGAGACGTCATTAAAACAAAGACATAAGAACCCTTAATACCCAGCCAACACAGGAACCCAATCACAAAAACCTGAGACCAAGGGGACTATTATGAAACAAGAACAAGAAGAGTAAAAGGTTTTAAAGAGGACAAAGTCACATAAAAGCAAGTCTATAAAAATGAGTTTTAAGACGTAATTTAAAAGAATTGTTCTTGTTATTTGGTCTGACTACCTCTTTGCAAACACAGTAACAAAAGCAAAAAGTTTTACAGAGAAAAAGTTACAACATTTTTGGGAGGATAAAACTTTCCTTGTTTCCTAATGGATTTGTCTGTGTGTGTGTTTGTGTGTGTGCAGAGCAGCCTGAATGCGGAGGAGGGGATGGGCGTGGCATCTCTGAGTGTCATCTACGCCTCCATCATCATCTCCTCCATGTTCCTGCCCCCCATCATGATCAAAAACCTGGGCTGTAAATGGACCATCTGCGTGGGCATGGCCTGTTATGTCAGCTACTCCTTTGGGAATCTTTACCCTGGATGGTAATTTTTCAATCAGTCAGTCAGTCAACAGATCACATGACTTCATCAGACATTGAGAGGCTTTGTTTTTTAACACTCCACCAATGACTTTCTAGTCTGTGTTGAAGGTGCTCAAAAAAATCAGGGTTTTATCCGTTGTCTCTCCCACAGGTACACCCTGATCCCCACCTCAGTGATCCTGGGTTTGGGTGGCTCTCCTCTGTGGTCGGCTAAGTGCACATACCTGACCATCTCTGGAAACATTCAGGCCGCCAAGGAGGGAAAGAAGGGCTCCGACGTTATCAACCAGTACTTTGGCATCTTCTTCTTCATCTTCCAGTCGTCTGCTGTGTGGGGAAACCTCATGTCCTCGCTCATCTTTGGACAGGATGCAAATATAGGTAAGAGGGCAGCTGGAACTTGGATCTTACATTTAAAGACACTTGGAGGCCATCATTAAGTTTATGTACCTGTGATAGACATCAATAGAGTGTTTATTTACATTAATCAGACAAGTGTTAATTAAAAATAAGGAACATATTTATGATCTTGTTACACATTTGTAGGGTTCTAATATAATTATATGAGGCCTTATTAAAATCATATCTAACACAAACTAGATATAAAATGATCTTCTTCTTACATTGGTAAGATTTGCATTAAGGGGTTGTTCAGGGGAGTCAGATAAGGTGACTTGGGCATCGAATCAGGATGCCTCCTAGATGCCTCGCTAGTGAGGTGTTTAGGGCACCCATGAGTTGTCCCACCTGTAAGAGACTAGAAATTCTTCTCAAAAACACCAAAAATTAGAAACATAAGAACTCCATAACTTAATCTATTGTCTCTCCAAAGATCAAAATGATATATAAAAACTTAAGACAAAACTCTTTTAAAAATCAGTTTCAAAAGGCACAAATTAACTTTAAATCAACTTTCAAGGCACATAGTTCTGAAAATAAAAATATCTATGAAAGGAAAACAATTCTCTTTAAAGAGCTTTACTTCAAGAGTCCTTCAAAGATATAAAACTAATGTGGTCCCCTCTGAACTTGAACAGATTTTTGGAAACTCTAAAAAGGCATATGACTCTCTTAAAACAACCTTTTTTATTTAAAAATAAAAGATTTTGTAAGAATGAATATCTCAGTAAACAGGAAAATTGTCATCTCTAATAATCACTTTTTATCTGACCTCTAAAAATAATCAAAAACAACTTAAAAATGAAATTCTAAAGCAAACCAGAGGTCAGGTGTAGGAGCTGACACGGAATTGACGTGCTTGTGTTTGATCAAGTAATAAAAATAGTTTTTTTGTTAATGTCACTTTTATAGTTTGAGTTATGAGTATCTGTACTTTAAACTCCTCTACACTTCCTGATACAGTTACACAAACTACATGTGGTCAAGGTTCAAACAGGCTTTTTTTTTAATGTTTTTTTTTTTTTTTAGAGGAGAATAAAAGAGGGTGTGAAAGAGAGGTGGATCATGTTTGCTGTAAATTATTTTATTGCTGTTGATACTCTTCAGCTTATCAGTTTGGAAGATGTCACATGCTTGTAAAAGAGCAATTCGCGGAAGAACAACATGATGCAGCTATTTATTATTTCCTCACTGGCTTATGACAAACATCAAAAACATGTACTCCTGATCACCACACAATATCATTTTTTATAATTTGCATTATGACTAGGTGTACTCTTTGGACCTTCTTTTTTAATTGTGTCCTTAGATGAATTTAATGTGATTTGGCTCACTAAAAACCTGATTTATTTAATCATCCATTAACGAAATTGGATTGATTTAAGATGATTATCTTTTCCAAAAGCCTCCAAATTGAATGTTGACATATTTTGCATGATTTTGATAGAAATTTTGGTCCCCTCTTGGACGTTGTTTTTGTAGAAAAATATGACTTAATTCAATAAGCGCAATCGAGACTACATATAGAAGTGGGAAAAGTATTTGAAATAGGGCTGTCAGTGTCTTTTTTGAAACCTTAAATATTGATATTGTGCAAAAATAAGCATCAAGTAATACTGTGAGTTCACAGTTGTGGTCTAAAATGAGCAACTTTGAACCCTAGGACAACCTGGAAATATCATTTCAGTGCTTTAATTGTTTTTTTTTTAAACTATGTGAATTGTTTTGTGTGATTTTCCAGCTGACATCCCAGAGGAACAGTTGGCCACATGTGGAGCTGCAGACTGTGGCCTCAACATCAGCAGCAATAGCACCACATTGAAACCTGCTCAGAAACTGGTGTGGACCCTCGTCGGATGCTACATTGGTAAAATAAAATTTTTAACTTTTGGTATCACATATCCACATGATTTCCTGTCTTCCTCATACACTCATTGTTGTCTGTCCTTGTCAGGGGTCGGTGTGCTCGCCATCCTCATCATCGCCATTTTTCTGGACAACATTGACCAGGAACAGAGCAGTGAATTTCGTGAGAACCGTGAGCCATTCTGTCAAACGTTCTTGGCCACATTCAGACTATTGAAGGACTGGAGGCTGATCACCCTCATCCCCCTCACCATGTACAGTGGCTTTGAGCAGAGCTTCCTCTCTGGGGAGTACACCAAGGTGAGAAACCCAGAAAACCAAAGTTAGCCAAAAGTTAAACCTGTATCAAACCACTAGGGGGCAGTCTTCCTGAGCTAAAATCTTAGACTTCCTGTTCTCAGCATGTTTTTGACACTTTACTTGTTTCTTGGTGTCCTTGATGCCCTCTTTTCCCAACAACAATCAGAGAGTCAGATATTGATTGAGGTTAAAGATATATAAGTCAAATTTAAAAACTCACTTTTACAGACTTGCTGTCATGTGATGCCATCTTTTATCTTTTATCTGTCACCTCATCTCTTTCACCTCTATCCTATTTCAGCTTTACTGTCTTTTTAGCTTTTGTTACACTTGTACTCTTTTCTTAGTTAACCTTTTAGGCCTTGTATTGTTTTATCTCTTGCTCATTTCTGTTGCTCTATTTTATCATTACTTTTATTACCAGTATAACCTGTTATTATTTTATTATCATTGTTTATATTGCCCTTTATATTTACTATCCTGTTTCCACTTTCGACCTCCCTTTAAATTGCATTTTCTTTTTTTTTTTTTTTAACTACTTTATGTTTTTATTTTGGTCCTCATGGTCTCACTTTATGTTACATAGTTCTTGTATTGTCTGGGTTCCTTATGACACGAAAATAGCCTTCAATTTCATTTTAACTAAGCTTTGTGTTTATTTGTTTTTATCTTTTTCCATGTGCTCTATGACTATATGTCAAAGCACTTAGTAAACTTCTGTTTTTTAAAAGTGCTATAAAAATACAGCTATCATTATTTTTATTATTATTATAAAACACCTATGTTTAAATCTATCTCATGTCTTTTTGCAGAACTATGTGTCGTGTGCTCTGGGGATTCATTATGTTGGATATGTCATGATGTGTTTCGGAGCAGCAAACTCTCTATGCTCAATTCTCTTTGGGAGACTTGCTCGATACACGGGGAGAGCCGCACTCTTTGCACTGGGTAAAAATCCTCTTATACTGATTTAAGTTTTCACAATCAAATGAAGATGCACCTGTTTTAATGATATCTATTTTAGGGTTCTTTTAATGTAAGATTTAACCTTTAAAAACCTTCATTTGGACAAATCTATGCACAGTAAATTAAGATTATTGAGGTGGATAATCATACGGTACCTGTCTGTCGGTTCTCAGCTGCAGTTGCAAACTTCTCCTGCGTTCTGGGTCTCTTATTCTGGAGGCCTCATCCGGACCAGACTCCTATCTTTTTTGTGTTTCCTGCTCTGTGGGGGATGGCTGATGCAATCTGGCAAACTCAGACCAATGGTAAGAAACTTGTGTTTTGATTTTGTATTTTTATTTTAAAAATTGTTGAAATGCTCCAGTCTGGGCTGACACAGTGGGCTGGCTGATTGACTGCTGATTATAAAAAACAAGGAAGAACCAAGAAAACCAATAATGTGTCCAGATAATTTAAAATAGAACAAAACAAACAAAGTGTTCAGGCTGTGAGTCAAATTAGGAAAACCTCAAAGCCTTCGAACCAAACCAAGGTACTTTTTGTTTGTTTTTAGCCTTTTTTTGTTGCTTATACAGTATTTATTTCTGTACATTTATAATAAAGAGTGTGGATGTGGGGGTCTTTGAACACCTAAACCTAAACTACATTGGTTTCGGTGTCTCTTCTCTCCTGTAGCTCTTTACGGTGTTCTGTTCCCTCGGGAGAAAGAGGCAGCGTTCGCCAACTATCGAATGTGGGAGTCACTGGGTTTTGTCATTGCCTTCGCCTACAGTACCTTCATATGTCTGGAGTATAAACTGTACATCCTGCTGGCTGTGCTGTTTCTGACTGCTGTCACTTATCCAATAGTGGAGTTCAACGAACATAGGAATCCCACGCAGCCTATCGAAAAGGGAGACAACACAAATTCTAAAGGCAGTGTTCACACAGGTCCTGAAGTTCAGGGTAAAATCCTCAGTGAGACAGAGCTGTAAAGACTGAATTTTGTTTTTAATGCCAAAATTTCAAAGATGCAAAACTGAATCAACGCTGAACATGCTGTGCGTCAATCACAACTTTCCTCTGACTAGAAACTCGTCAAACAACACTCTGAACTCAATGTACAAGACAGTGGCGAGGAAAATCATTGTGAGAAACTCACAATAGTTCTTTGTTTTTGACTCGACTGGGAGTCTTTTTAAATTATTTTTGAATGTGTGCTTTTTTTGTGTGACTGTGTTGTCTAGCTCCATAACGATGGCTGGTTCAAGATGACTTGCTAATAAATCTTGTACATCGTAAAATAAAAATGTATCCACTCCATATTAATGTTTAGCTCACAGTGGTTCAAGTTTGATTGAGCAGCCACTACATCAACTTTTGCAACAGTGCAATATTGTTTTATAACTTTCTGACGCCTTTTTGCCATGATTGAAAAGAGTTGTAAATTATAATGACTTCAAATAAATGTAAATATCTTAAAACTTGTGTACACAAAAAAAAATTTTCTCATTATTTTATTTTTACATTTTTTTCGCTGTGAAATTAAAGTAATTGACATGAAAGTTGGTAAGTTACATAAAAACACGTCGTATTTTTGCAAAACTGTACAACGGGATTTCTATGGACTTCAACATTTATAGAAACTTTATCGCAACACGCAAAGTCAAAGATTTCAGACACTAACTATGTCGGGAATGAGACAGAGAGGGGCATTTGAAAACGAATAACACAACTCCATTTAAACGCACCATAATAGACAAGCCCTCCCCTCAGAGGTTGTTTGTGTGTTTGAGTTACAGTTGCTAGGAAACTAGGCAGTGAACCTAAAGCATCTGAAAGGATGTAAAAGGTAAAGTTACACAGCTGTAAAGTTGATAGTGTCTTCGTTATCTGATGTACAACCTGCTGGCCTCTTGATCATGGGTTTTGTGGATTGTTTTCAATCACAATTCTCAGTGGAGTGAGTGGACGTTCTCTTAATGGTGAACAGATTCTCTCCCAGCGCTTGCAAACAGATGCCTCCAGAAAAGAGACTATGACTGTCACAAGACACCCCTGCATCAGAATCCACGTCAAAAACATATTTTTTTGGACGGAGGAGAAAAAGAACAAGGCTCAGTAATCCAAAGCCCTCTTTGCTGATGACGGTCACTTTTACATTTTATTTGGAAATTGAGGTCCTAGAGCTTTCACAGACTCTTCTGGAGTAAAAGTGAAGATGCACAGAATCTGAAGTGTTTAAAGATCAGTGTGGATTTTCTGCAGTGTGTGTTGATTTGTTGTACCATGTTGTCTTGAGTCAGTCCACCATCAAGCCCCAGTCATCTACCCAGGAGGCATTAAATCACTTCATTCTTCTATCTGCTGACAAGCTTTTTGGAGATGCTGATTACTTTTTTCCAGCAGGACTTTAGCACCTGCCCGCAGCGCCAAAACTACTACCACTACAACTACAAACTACTACAGATTGTTGACCATCATAGAAACACTACCCCCCAAAAAAAACAAAACAAAAAAACAAAAAACAAAACATTTAAAAGCCTTGTCCACAGTAACACCTCAGCAATGCTACAAGATGATCATGTCAAAGCAAGCTATAATGATGGCAGAATGTGGAATGTGTAGTATCCAATGAACAGAAAACATATAAAAGTTACCTTTGTGAACAACTTTATGAAAAAATTAACTTTTACAGCGTATTTTAATTTTTCTCTCCTGTAGCTCTCTACGGCATTCTGTTCCCCCAGGACAAAGAGGCAGCATTCGCCAATTACAAGATGTGGGAGTCACTGGGGTTTGTCGTTGCCTTCGCCTACAGCGCCTTCTTGTGTCTGGAGTACAAACTGTACATCCTGCTGGCTGTACTGGTGCTGACTGTTATCTCTTACCCAATAGTGGAGTACAACGAATGCAAGAACCCCACGCTGCCCATTGATGAGGGAACCTACAAAAAACACAGAGAAACGGTCTTCACAGATGACAGTAAAATCATCTGTCAAACGGAGTTGTAAAGACTCCGATCAACTCATTTTACATTTCAGTATTTCTGCCAAAAAGCTCAACACTATCCTGAATCAATTCTATTCATACTTTATCTTGTTCACTCTCTTTACTCTTCCTCCAAAAACAAAATGAGGTAGAGCATCCATCAAAACCAAGTTCTGGCCTAAAAGGGCTTCTTGAGCTGGTTCTACCTTCCTTATCCTCTTTCTATCACTTCTTTTCTCTTTCTTAATAAAAATGGAGTAAGTGGAGCCACGCTCTACCTCCATCTAGCATTCATAAAAAAAGCTCCACTATGGACTTCTCATCCTAGCTTTGCCTTCCCTCTCTCTTTTAGATCTCTCTTAAAACTATGTTCTTCGTTTCTGCCTCTGTTCTCCTCCATGAAAATATAGAAGTAGTGGAAGGTAGAGTGTACAGTCTAACCCAGTAAAGATGAGCCAATCTTGCTCTGGCTCGATTTTCCCTGTCCCGTCTTTATATTGCTCACCAGAAAATTTCTGTTGTCTCTCCCTTCTCTCCTCCCACATGGAAAACTGGGAGTAGGGGGGAGGTAGAGCGTACAGTTAAGATGCCCCTCGGCCAGAACAGGCTTTTTTTGCGCTGCTTTTCCTTCTTCCTCTGTTATATCTGTCCGCTCTTTGTTTTTGCTCCCTTCATTCCTCCCTTGTGAAAATTCAGGGGCAGGGGGAGGTAATGTGTACAGCCACACCGATTTTGGATGAGCCCCACTTCTTGTATTTTTGCGTCTCTCCAGACGTTCTTTCTTTCCTCCTGGAAATGTAGGATGGTCATACTTTTCAGGCCCAGCCTCCCCTTTCCCTCCATTCATATCTCTATTTTTCCTCCTTCTTTCTTTCTTTCTTGACATAAAGGAGAAGGTGGAGGTAGAGTGTACTGCCTAACACAGTTGGGATAATGTCAAGCTGAAACAGTCCTGTAACTCTGGTTCTGCCTTCGCTATCTTCCGCCCATCTCGCTCTTCACCCTAAATATTTCTCTCTCCTTATGTAAACAGAGGAGTATGGAGAGGCGGAGTGCACAGTCTGAGCTGGAGTTTGCTGGACTAAATCATGAACAATGTGTATAAAGGTTGTAATGGCAGCATTCAACATATTCCTTCACCAAATGCTCATCCTTTTATAAGAGCACAAGTACCATGTATTTATTGTAAATCTGAATCATTTGTTACATCCTGTCAGACTGAAACTGCAGGAGAGTTGGAGTTTAAAAAAAGGATCTCCAAACTTTCTGACTCTGGCTAATAGGTCAAATTTTTTTTTTCCATTTTGCAATAAAAAAAAGACAATGCCAACATTGTGCATTTCAAATGGTGCTTTTATTGCAATGTGTTGCATTCCCACATTCATAGATGTTATAGATTTGTTAGTCAAAGCATCATTTCCTCAAGGTTGGCATCCTCACCTTGAAAAAAAAACAAAAACAAAAGCAGAGGGATCAAATGCACGAGGTGTTTGTGTTTTGAGTGTAGTAGAGAAGTGTGTGTGTAAACTTGAGCAGCCACGAACATATGAATAAACGAAAACCTCCAAAAATTTAGACTTCCAGTAGATGCAAATAAAGAGTTTTTTCTTTTTTAAATTGTCAGACAAAAAAACAAAACAAAAAAAAAAAAAAGAGTTTTGTTTGTCTATCAGCCTGCAGGGCTCTCACTCCCTGCAGGGACTGGACCCGGCCTGAGACTGATTGTCTACAACATTCCAAAGAAAAGGTAGATTTCTTTATATTCACGTTACACACCTGAACAGAAGGGCTTTGGGGGGTATTAAAAGAGACAGAAAGAGAGAGAGAGAGAAAAAGAGAAAATATAACATGCATAAAATTCTCCCAGATGAACATTGTCACTCATATTGTCTTGTAATAGCTGCTCCGATGCCTCTTTAAAAACAAACTTTACATGAGTGTAATATACAAAACTGGACAAAAATGAGTAAAATGTATAATATATATTTATTTATATTAATTTGTACAAGGGAGAAAGTGGAACCTTGGTCATTTTTCAACTCAATTCTCCAGAGAAAGCATTACCGCCCCCCTAAAAAACAACAGAGTGGTGAGTTAATGTTAATAACATGCCTTTTTTTTTTAAAGTCTCTGAACCAGATCCCGACACGGCAGCATTTACAATACTCGACAACAGAAGCTGTGGGGACTTTCACAAAGAGGGAGATTAGTTTTGAACACCTGCAGTAGGAATGAGTGGGATTTAAAGGACAACAGAGAGTCTTAGTGGTGCAGAAATACCAGTTTGGACCAACAACGGGTGACTGTACTTGTTTCTTTTTGGGAGAATGACAAAAATACAATTTTTCGAATTTTATATATCAGCTCAATGCTGCCCCAGGTATTAGCCTGATCCCGGTAAAACCACACCACAAAGCACTTAAGTGTGACAAGACAAGCAAAAACCAGAGGAGACAAGCAACACAGTGAGAGTGCCGTCCTTCATGTCAGTGCAGAGGTTCAGTCTCACACACACCAGACTTTTGCTGACAATAAAACAAAAAAGCGAGTGTCCACCTTGGTTTGAGGAAAAACACGAGGAAAGTGACTGCAGAGCGGCGGCTACGGAGAGAGAGACGGTTTCTGTGAACGGGAATGTTCTGGAGGAGGTTTTTAACAGTTCGCAAGAGAGGAGAGGAGAGGAGAGGAGAGAGAGAGAGGGGGTGTCACCTGAAGAAGATTGGCATAGTTTTTACACTGAGGATCGGTTGGTGAAGAGAGAGAGAGAGAGAGAAAGACAGAGAAAGACTAAGTTACAAAGAAGGTACAATTTAAGTCGTCTTTTGGGTTTCCACTACGGCCAAGTTCTTCATAAAGAACCTGAGCTAAATTCAATTGAAGCTACTAAAACTATCATTATCTTTACATTCAGGGGGCTTTATTCTATCTCCAAATACAGATCGGATTGAGACAGTTTCTGATGGCCTTTTCACTCCGAGTAAGTCCGATATAAAGTGCAAAATTAGATTGTATTTGCAAATTCCTGGAATAATTTGATTAATCTTCTATGCGTGTAAAAAAGTCATTTAAAATACAGTAAACTTTTTCTTCTATAAAGGTGAAAAAAGGTTTAAAAAAACCCTGGTTAACAAGGTTATTATTGTTAAACAGCAAAGGAGCAATCTTTACTGCGGAAAGTATATACACGAGGCACCTCAAGTTTGGTATAAAGTTAAAGAATGAAGATTAAAAGCTGAGAAAGGTCATCAGATATCCACTAAATTCGCTGAGAGGGAGACTTGGAACTACACTGACGGGGCTTTACTGTGTGTGATCAATGTTTGCTCCAGTGTTAATTCTACAAGTGAGGAAATGCTGCTTCCAGTAAGGTGCATAGCTATTGGTTGCAATGTATTTCTTTCTTCCTGTAAACGAGTGATAGCACTTCAGGCACAAAAAAGACCTCATTGGCAAAGCGGAGACGTCGAAAGCCGAACTTTGGGACATCGTGTTGCTGAGAGGCCACCTCTAAAAAAGAGCGTGGAAAAAGAACCGAGCGAGGAGAAACATGCAGAGTGAGATGGGAAAATAAAGGGGGCCGCTACATTATGTCTTGTCCAGTGATGATGAGGTTTGCATATGATTTCCATTGAAACATCTTGAAGCTTTGGTCATTTACTATTGACAAATGCAAAAAAGGCTACATCAGTCAGACAGTTAGGAAAGAAAACAAAGAAAAAAAAAACGCCCACTATCAAACACAACAAGCAGGCAATGCTTCTCCAAAAAACCAAGGCTCCACTCTCCCAGATCTGCTTAAACTTTTGACAACAGAGAAAATTAAATAATATGGCCTTTTTTTTTTTTAAATTAACCCGTACAAAAAGCCAGTCCACACTGCTTCTCTCTCAGTAAAATCACATTCAGCAGTCGCTAAAAACCATTCTCTGGCATAGTTAATCTGAAACACCCACAGGTATACTGTGCAGGGTCTAAAGAGTAAAAAGAAGAGAAGAATCAAACCAGGACATCTTCGACTTTTCCATCTTAGAGAACACCAGATATACAGTATTAATCACTTACACACATACATACATACATACGCACTCACTGATAGTCATATACATACATACATCATCAGAAAAATAAAAAAGTAGAAAATCAAAAACATAAAATAAAAACATGACGGAGGCGAGTAGTTTTTTTTTTTGTTTTGTTTTTACCACAAACTCGGAGCACTACTTTTTTTGTTGATTCTGAACAAATACATATTCACATTTCTCTGTTATATACATTATGTTAACATCTTGAATGTTACAAAAGAACCTAACCTTGTACCTGTTAATCGTAGTGAGGAAGGAGGGACTGCTGTTGTTTCTGCTGAATGGCTGTTGCATACAAAATAAAATAAAAAAAGAACAGAGTACATATGCATTGGTTGTATTTGGCATGTCGGTTTGTTAAAAACACAGGATGAGCTGAGAGTTGAGTTTCTGCAGTTAACAGGGTTGTAGAGGAAACCATTTCCATAGGAATGCCTATTCCACGCAGAAAAGTGAGAGGAGACAGAAGGAGGAGGAGGAGGAGGTAGGAGGGCTTTCAATACTGTATGTGTGAAATAATCAGAGCAGAGAAACAAGAGGAGGCTGAAACTGGCAGAATCCTTCCAAAAAAAAATACATTCTTCCACTTTGTGCAGCTTCTGTCTCTTCGGAGTATTTGAATACATCGACCAAACAGTGGCACAGGAGGGTCTGACCGATGATTTCACACTGCGAGAAACCAGCTAAAAACTGCACAGAGTCCACAAATGTTCAAAGACGGACGCTTCAATTCTTGGGACTGAAAATTAAGTTTCTGGGCTTTTTTGTGTCCTGACGGACTGTCTCTTTCTCTGTAAAGCTGGTGCAAAATGGACAAGTACCCAAGCACTGGCAATCCAAGTCATTGTAGTTTCAACAGATTTTCTTTTTTAAGATTTAGTCAACAAGTGGCTTTGCTCTAGTCATCCCCCACTTTGAAAAAGGGCTTTAATATTTAACAGGATTTAAATTTACGTCACTGTTTGTCTCTCCACAAGCTCATGTGAAGTCTCAGTTTGGAGGTAGAGGGAAGTTTTGATCTGAGACACAGTTACATTTCACATAAACCTGTCGAGCACAACGCCAAAGGGTTGGGACTGAATGAAGTATAGATCATCATCTCAATCCTGAAAATTATTTTCTTATCTTTTAGCTGTTAAAAATACTTAAGTTGGTAAAAAAAGGGCAGACGATTGCTGATTCCACCTCAAGCTGTGTTAGTGTGTATGGAATTAAAGGTTCTTGCAAACTGGATATCTGTTGATTTTGTGACTTGTGGGGAATTAATAGGGATATTTCATCTTTGCTTTTGAAAATTTACCTCTTTTAGATACTTTACAGACTAGTTTAATTTCTGTAAAAGTTTTTAAAAAATTAAAAAGCCTCAGGTTTTGAAATCACTATTTGCATCTGGCAAAGCGCTAAACCTTTAATCCAATTCATACATTCATTAAATTAGTTTGGGAGATTGAACAATTGGCTAATGATGACATTATAAGCACTAGACTTCCATGTAGTTAGTAGATCATATTTGACACAGGGTTCAGTGGCAAACAATCCATCATCTAGAAATATCTCTATATGCAGATGATACAGTTCTTTACATTCTGGAGATTCAGCTTTTGAATAATTCCTACCTGTTCACTTCAAATCTAAGCAATACTTGGACACCAGAGAGACTGGGTCAGATTAGTAAACCTGCCACAAGGCGAGGTCAACCTTTTGAAGCAAGGAAGCATCAGACCTCAGTCACAAAACAGCAAACCATCTGCAGGATATCTTTGTATGTAGATGATACAGTTCTTTACATTCTTCTGTCTGATATGGTTACTGTCTGCTTGGGTAAAATTTAAGTAGTGATTACTTGGACAAGAAACGAGCTGGAAAACAGTTACTGATCTTGCAGAAAGGTAAAATCAAAAAGGTATCAGAATTTAGTCATGAAAAGCTAACAAACCGCAAAACGAGTTAATTTTTTTTACATCCGGGAAATCTGTTGGGATTTTCTGAATAGATATCTGCCCATTTCTTTCAAACTTTAAATAACAGAGAATCAGATTATTGTAATAACACAAATTAAACCTGCAGACGACATATGTACGCAGATGATTCGATTTCTAGCTCTATGGAATTTGCCTCTCTTAGAAAAGTTTTAGTCCACTTATTTAAATGTAAGATGTGCTAAAATGCCAGAGAGGCCAGATCGGATTACTCTAAGTTGTTAATGCCAAAAAGATAAACTGGAATGGTATTCCAATTCAGTCACGAAACAGCTGGGGATCTGCAGAATATCTTTGTATGCAGATGATACAGTTCTTTATATTATGCAAACCAATCAGCTACAGTTGACTTCAATCTTTTCTTTTTCTTTTTACTTTAATAAGTGCTTTAATAGCAGAGAAGCCAGATTAGATTTGGTGAGTTTGGACAAAAATTTGCAGGTTAAGAGGAAAATTTAGCTTGGATCTGCACAGAAACACGTTTTGAATACACACACAGAGGCTTTTCAGCTGAGCACAAAGTGGTTCTCACATCATACAACATTGGAGGAGTCGGTGGGTGGAATGTTGACCTTGCATACTATCCCTCTGTATCTGTTGCATACGGTATATTTGTGTAGCATCTCTGCAAAAACAGTACACAGGAGAGCCCTATTCCACTGCAGTAGCATCAGACTGTGTGTTATTGACCTATTGTGTGTGTGTTTGTGTGTGTGTAGGGGGGATGTTACAGAGGATCTAAAAGTGAGTCCTTAATTCTTAATTTGAAGTCTAAGCTAAAACCCTCTCCCAGGATACTGTATCCCAATTTTGTGCAGGAACTTTTCAATCAGGGAACGCAGGATTTTGTGCTGGAAACAGACATGGCAAATTTGTGAAATCACTGAGGACCTCTTAAGGTCATTGAAATCCCTTCTGTACCCTGATGGACTTGTTCCAGTGTGACATCCCTGAAAACATGGTATTCCATGACGTTGTGCTGCAGCATTTTGGATTAGCTTCTAACATATTATCCTGAAAGTCTTTAGACAGGGTAAAATTAAAACCTGACACAACACTTTAAAATAGATCGGTTCAACAAATTGACTTAAAATCCACTGGTATTGTGAGGCCCATCGCTTTCTACCCCACAGGAAATGAGTACATTTTCAGGGAGTGTCCTAATGCAAAACAAAGCTAATCAGTCATAAGTCACAATAAATTTTACGGAAACGTTATTATTGTTGTTGTTGATGATGAAAACTGAAACCAATCAGAGGCTGTATCAGTTAAGCTCTAATCAGAACTTGTCATGTATGTGTTTTGAAACTGTAGATTAGTTTGGGCCGACTTTAATAAAGAGTTAGACTGATGAGCTGAATTGATATTGGCATCAGTATCATTTAAATTCGATAAATTCCTTTCACTACTTCTGATGGCTTTGGGTAGTAAAGCTAAGACAACAAAACTACTCTGTTTAGAGCAGTGGTTCTCAATCCACTGTCCTGCATGTTTTGGATGTTTCCTGCTCCAACACACCTGATTCAAATGATTAGCTCGTTATTGAGCCACTACAGAGCTTGATAACGAGCTGATCATTTGAATCAGGTGTGTTGGAGCAGGAAAACATTCAAAACATGCAGGAAAGTGGGGGCTCGAGGACTGGATTGAGAACCACTGGTTCAGAGAAAGAAATGTTGTGATCTGAGGATTCGAATACAAAGTTTTCTTGTCTTTTAGTCTGGATGAAATACCATGTTTTTAGGCATCAATGGCATCTTACACTCAAAACTGTGTCAAGATTTGCTGCTCTATGTAAAAAGACATTAACTTTATAGCGAATATTTAGAGGAAGCATCCTGGGAGGGTTTCACTGATTCTTGGTATATGATAAGAAGCAGATTTTATTGTGTGTGGATTATTTTTGATTGTTAACAGAGGTCTGTTATCGCTGAGAGACACAGTGTCTGACTGAGCAACAGTAGTCAACAGAAAACTGCATGAGTGTGTATGTGAGTGTGTGTCGCCAGTGGAGTGAAGTCTTCATCGGGGAACCAGAGGTTGAAGGAGGGGCGGGTTGAATCTCAAAAAGAGTCACCCTTTAGGGGGAGCAACACTGATAAAAACAGGTCTGCAGGAGAAATTGAAGAAAACGTTTTTTTGTGACTCAACCCGCCCTGTTTTTGATTCAATTTCATGACAGCTTTAAATTAATCATCCATCACATCTTTGTTAGGAACTTCTACTCTAAAGCCTCTACTTAAATGTCATTATATAGGAACAATATCCTAAAGTGCAAATTTGCTGCGACCACAGATACAACGCTGATGCAGTTGAGTACCGTTAGCATCGCAAGAGGTCGTGCGATTGCAGCAAGTTTTCCACTTTGAGGTATCATCTTGCTTTTTCTTTTTCAATACAATGGTTACAAACACTTGTACTGTCCGAAAGTTCTCTTGAAAGTATTGTACATAAGAATAAAAAAAAGAGGAGGACGTGAGAAGAGATGGCTCCCTGGTTACCACGAGAGAAAGCAATCAAACCCATTTTTTTTTGTTTCTTCCAGAAAGTCGTGGCTTCTAGCTATGTGTTAAAAATTCAATTGCTTGAAATTTGACTTATCACATTTTAGAAGTTGGAAAAACTTCCTCCTCCACTGCAACATGTAGCGGTATTACAATATCATGATGCCAAAAATAAAATAATCTCCAAAAAACCATGAGGTGACATTATTAGAATTTAAAAAAATAAAGGAAACTAAAAACAAAAACCTGGATCGAATCACATTATACATAGTTTTGCTGTTCTGAGTCATCAATTAATTACACTTATATTTTTTTTTAAAGGAAAGCAGTTACAAGAGAAGAGTGAGCTCATCCCCAAGTCTTTGTCCTTCTGTACTGTACAATACTACCCGCCTGCATGGTGCACATGGCAAACAACACTGATAGGCCGAGAGATAGCATGAAAGATACACAGAGAGAGAAAGAGAGAGAGAGAAAGAGAGAAGAAGAAGAAGAAGAACCACACAGGGCTCTGTATTCACAGCTGCTGAGGTGAGGGGTAAAATGTGACGGACAGACAGTTAAATAATCATAACAGTCTTATTTTTTATACTTTGAAAAATAATAAAAATAAAACTTCCTCCTGTGTGGAAGAAAGACACGTAAGTTCCAAACTGAGCAGCATCCCGTCTGTCTCCCATCCATCCATCAATCCATCCATTTATCCATCCATTTTTTCATCCATTCTGGCTGTTGTCAAAGCTTGTTCTGATGATCATGAATCTGATGATGATGATGATGACGGTGAGAGCAGAAGATTTTTTTAAAACATAAACAAAACAACTCCACCGAAAAAATAAAATAAAAACAGGAGATAGAATAATCTGTAGAAGAAGAAGAAGTAGAAGTAGAAGTAGAAGAAGAAGAAGAAGAAGAAGAAGAAGCAGAGCTTGGGAAAACTCAAACTTCCACCAGGCACTGTCGCTGATAGAGAGAGACAGTCACAGAACCAGCTGATACTGAGCTTCTATCCCACAATGCCACAGAGGTCTGAAACCTTACACATTCCCACATCGCTGAGAGACAGGTAGAGGAAAACAAAAACTCCAAATTAAAAAAAATAAAATAAAAAAAAGCCAGAGGTGCTGCTAACGTGCGGGATAATCCCACACTTTCAACGAGCTCAGCTGTATGCTGGAACTCATGCTCCCAAGATGCACTGCTGCTGCTGCTGCTGCTGCTGCTGCTGCTGCTTCTGCCGCGACGGTCCAGCAGAGAAAAAAAAAAACAAACAACAACAACGAAAAATAAAAGAGGCCGGCCCTGATTTGACAGCAACGACAACTTGGCAAATCTACAAATGATGTCGCAGTTGTTTTCTTGGGTCAGGAAGCAGAAGTAGGTCACCGAGGAATGAGCAGCAAGACAACACTGCCTTAAATAGGCTGAGGCAGACAGACAGGTTGTCAGACAGATTAGACAGGCAGGTTTAAATACACTGCTGCTCCTTCTGACTGAAGTCGATTCATTTTAAAGTTCTGGGCGGTAAAACAAACCGACCCCTAATCCACCAACACCGCATAGAAGTGGTGAGGCCGCCGCCGGCCCCTTTCTGAGCCGACGTGCCTTGGCCGTCCAAACATCCATCCTTCCATCCATCCATCCGAAAAGGTGAGACAGAGACAGCAATGGGTCTGGTGCACCGACCTCCGAGGAGGAGGCGTAGAAGTGAGAAGTAGAGGGCAGAGCAGGAGAGCTGGAGGTGGGTGGGGTCGTCACTCGGTGAGCAGCTGCTGGAGGAGGCTCTTCTGCTGGGCCTGGTTGTTCTGAGAGCCCTGCGGTCCGGGGGCCTTCTGGGAGGCTGCGGTGCCGATGGAGCCCTGGTTCAGGTAGGAGTCGCTGCCCACTAGATTCACGGTGCACTGGACGTCCGCAAACACCTGGACCTGCTGCACCTGCAGACGCACAGAGCGAATCGCAGTATTTGAGTGATGCCTTTCTGAGCGTGTGAATCCAAAATCACAGCTGGAATGAAAACCTGATCAAAAGTCCAGCTCTGACTGTATTTATATTATACGTAGAGGACGAGGGGATGCCATCAGATCACATTTCTCACCTGCTGGTCGCTGCACACTGAGCCGACACTGCTGAGGTTACTGTTGCTCAAGCTGACTGTCTGCCCCATGGGAGGTAATGAGCCGACACCACCCGAGCCTCCAGCCATGGAGACAGTGATGCTCATGTTGTTGTAGACCCCCTGCTGGCCAAAAGCCTGCCCTGCACTCTGTCCTGACTGACTGAACAGGCTGAAGGACAAAAGAGACTCAGTCACATTTCAATTAACACATGGATTAAATCCACTTCAGAAGGTGTTCGGTTTGTCTTACCTGTTGCTGGCCATGCCTGTCTGTTGCCAGCTCTTCATGTCTGGTGACTGGTAGCCAGGAGGCGGGGCTTGCTGGAGCAGAGGACTCTGGGAGGTGGAGTTCTGAGGTGACAATAATGGGCTGGTCGGGCTCATCTCGGGAGGGAAAGGTGGGTCTTGCTGGACCAAAGCTTTAGGAAGGGTAGTGAACAAAAGTGAGCTCAGTTCATACAAGTAAAAAATAGCTTCTGTGCAGCATGCAGTCAGCTGGACGTTGAACAGTTCATTAGTTTAGTAACATCACTGCCCTCAGGACTGAGTATCGGGGTCATCAAATTGCAAGGACATTAAGGTTTTGAGATCAAAGCTAAAAAGTTAATAATAAGCTGATTATTATGTCCTACGGTTTCGCCTTTAAGTTGTTAGTCAGGGGCAGATCAGAACAGCAGCCTGCAGCCGCCTAAACACAGCCGATCAACACAGAGCATATTGTGGAGTTTGAAGTTGCATAACTGAATACCCCATGTTTTAGCCCATGAGACAAAGTACTGTTTTACTGTGCAAATTAACAACTTTTTCCTCTTATGACTTTGTTATTGCAACTTTTTGATGCGTATTTGCTCTTAAAATTGTTTTATTTTTTATTTTATTCCATGTTGTGACTCTATCATACTGCTGGATTTCTTCTTTGAGTACTTCTTTGTTGTACTAAGAACTTAATGCTGTACAAGTCTTTCCATTTTTCATCACTGACCTCATTTCATGGTTTAGCCCAGAGCAATTTTTCTGATTAGTGATTTGAAAACGGTAGGACTGCAAACAGCAGCTCAAAGTTTAAATTTTTCATAATGTGGAGAGCGAAAGGAAACACTCATTTGCAGAAATAAAGCAGATGATTAAGTGTCCAGTCTTTCAGTGGGTGACTGTGTTTTTTAACTTACCAGACCCTCCAAACTGCTGAAACAGGCCCTGCTGCAGCGACGAGTTCACATTACTGCTGAACTGGCCCTGCACTCCGCCAATCAGCGTCTGGTTATTCAGGGGGACTCTGGAGGACAGTTTGTTGTCCAGAGGGCCCCCGCTCATGGGGCTGAAGTGACTCGGTGAGGTAGGGGATTTTCCCGTCATCGGGTTGTACCCTGCTGGGAAGTTGAACTGCTGTTGCTGTTGCTGCTGCTGCTGCTGCTGCTGCGGTTGAGGTGTTGTCGAAGGACCTTTTGGGACTCTGGCAGTACCGATGGTCCCAGCGGCCCCAGTCGGAGCGCCCGCCATGTTCTGTCTCATCAGCATGACCTTCTGCTGGAAAAGCTGGCGCTGGCGGTGCTGGATGCTGTAGAGCTCCCTCTGACGCTGGGCTAACATCTGGGCGTTCAGAGGAGGCTGCTGAGAGAGAGATCATTCAAAAAGGTTAACACACTTACAGGTAATCTGCACTTTTGAGACAATTTACACAACTTACACACCTGAGAGTTCAGGGATCTACTGTAAGTTACTTTAAGGCCAGTTTACAATAACAATAAAAAGGAAAGATGAAACATACGGTGATATAATAATAGTTTCAAATGACTGTGAGCTTGTCATGACATTTTGCAGCAGTTTCAAACCAGAGTGTTGGGATGATGCTCAAGATTATGTTTTATCTGCAACCCTGACCCCATGACAAAAACCTCTAAAGAAACAAAGACTCGCTGTTGTCCTAGTCCTCAAACATCTCATCTTTTTAATGAAGTCCAAAAACCCCCAGACTGCAGAAAATCTTTTTTTCCAGGTGGGGTAAGCATATCTCCCTTTGTGTCACTTCCTCCACAGTCGCTCAGTTTGTAGTAAAGACAATACATCAAAAATAATCATTTCTGATGCTTTTATTCTGACTTTTTCACTGCCTAAGGTTTAGGCTGCTTGATCTCCTACACTCAAAAAAAAAACATGATTTTATTTTGAAGAAACCTTTACGCCACTCCCTTTGGATCAAAAGCTTTTTAAGTGACTGAAAATAGAAGTTAGAAAGTGTTGAACAGGTGCAGGTTGTTTTGGGGGTCTGCAAATGCTGGGCGTCATTTGGCTTCATTGCTGCTCCTGCTTCACAGATGTTTTCTGTCCATTATAAGGCAGGTGGTGAATCTCTATCATCCCTACTTTGAACCAGCAACCAACTCAAGGATACAGTTTGCTTATTTATAGTACAATATTAACATTTCTTGGTTTTTGGCAAACACATTGATGGTCAAAACTAGTATGTTGCTGCTCTGTTTTTTTTACCTGTAGCTTAAAAAAATGAGCTCCTCTTTGAAGGTTTAAGTTTCTTCCAGATTAGGGCTGAGCGATAAACCGAAAATTTACCAATACAGAAATTTACGACAATAAAATACGTCATTTTGCCCATGTCAATATATTCAATGTCAAAAAATCAATGAATAAAAGTTGGTTTTGGATGTGTGTAGGTAGGCTATGGTCTCATATCCCTTTAAGACGCTGTCCTACGTCAGAGACGTGACTCCACCCCATCCAGTCAGTAACAAAGAGGGAAAGACAGGTGAGGAGATGGAGGATGGTTTAAAGGTTGTAGCAGCTAAAGTAGACAAAGTTAATGTGGGAAGGGGTGAGGAGCTGGTGAAGTAGTTATTGTCTATTTATAGTTATCAGGGTGAACTGCTCAATATATCGGGATATTGATTTGAGGCCATATCGCCCAGCCCTATTCCACAATTAGAATTTCTATACTTACAGAAAGATCCATAAATCTGTAGCACTAGTATGTGATTGGCATTGGACATAAAAAGATCCATAGCATAGACTCAGAGCCACATTTCTAATATCAAGCAAAACATTAAACAACCTGAAAAATCCTGTTTTATTTTTAAGTGATTCAACGTTATGGGTGAGTGGAAACATCAAAATTTCAAGCCTGAGAACCAAAACAATATTCTGAAAGATGCCGTAATCCTTTGTAGGTGATTCATCCTCACAAGCAAGCCTCCTTAGTTCTTTAATCTATAGTAAACAGGAAAATGTTGATAAAAGCAGCTCACAGTGTACATTTAAGCAAATACTTTAAATCTATGTCAACATTTTTCAGTCTTTAGGCTCTCTAGAAAGCAGTAGTAGATGATCGAGATGAGTGCTGATCTAATGCTGCCTCTGTGACTCACTTGTGAGGGCATCTGAGGTTGTTGGACCCCCTGACGAATCCCCATGTTCACATGCTGGGCTCCTCCGGGAAACTGATTCATGCCTGCCATCCTGTTTTGGAGCTGAGATGGAGAGAGGCACAGAAATAAACAGAGGTCAGATCAGGGGGGACGGGGGGGTTAGCGGATGAGAGCGTGATAACGGGGTAAAGAAAAGACATGATGGAAAATGAAACGGAAACGATCATTAGCAGGCAGATAGAGAATAAGAGCGAGGGAGAGAAATCAAATATTAGGGAGGAGTGAGGAGAGGGAGGTGGAGAGTTCTTTAAGAGCTTTTCAATCAACGTTTAAGGAATTAAATCAAGAGAGCACTTGACAGAGCAGGATTCACACAGTAATAAGATAAGTCAATAATTCAGACGATTCATTACAGCCCTCAGCACTGAGTTCTATAGAAGGATTCAGGGTGCATGGACGAAGTAAAGACATGAGGGGCCATGTACACCTACACCTGCATTATTCCAGTTTTACAGGTGCACGATGTGGACGACAAGTAACAGTCTGAAGAGTCAAATAGTGTTGTGTCGTTCATGAACGTTTCAGTCAAAAGAACAGAACTGCTGGGTGAAAGACGTGAATGGAATCACTCCAAGACCTGACTCGTTCCTTTCTCAGTTCAGTTGAGCTCAGCGTCGAGCTTGGCGTGCGTCGGGAGTGGAACTGATCAGTCAGACTGAGAACGAAATAAACGGCTTACGAATGACTTGAGACATGCAGAGGAGGGAGAGGTGTAACGTCGTTCACGAACTGCCGAGCACCAGTTCGTTCACTGTGAGGATGAACGTAGGCTAAGATAAAACAGTGCATTATCGTGCTTTAACATTAGTACAGGTCTATAAACTTTCCTGCAAGAAGAATTTAATTTCAGCCAATTTGAAGCAACATGCAATTTAATATCTTTAAAAGTATAAGAATTCCAGCTAAAGCGGTGAGGTTTATTTATTTTTGATTTCTCAATTTTCTCACAATATAAAAGAACGACGACTCGCGCTTGTTTAGCGGGTGTGCTGCTTGCTGCTGTGTTGTTTCACTTGCATTGTGATGCAAACGTCAGCGGCACACAGAGAGATGAGTTTTTTAGGACAGGGGAGTGATTCTTCCTTCACGATTTGGCAAATGAACGACACGTGTCACCCATTGAACTTCAGCAGCAGGGGAGGGGCTCGTTCGATGACCAGACTCCTGATCAGCGTCTCTGTGTCACTCACTCATGTACTACACCAGCAGGACGGGGCTCCGAAGCACTGACTGATTCAGTGAACGAATCTCTTGAACGAATCATCTTAGTGAACGGATTCTTAAGATTCAATACAGTCAAAAGAACTGTTCCTCCCATCACTAGAGTCAAAACATTTCACCAATGCAGGTCCATTTAATTTCAATTGATCTGGATCAAATTTAGTCATTAAAATTTACTCCAACTTGTTTTGTAGTCAGCTGAAAACTCCTGACAGGAGCTCCAGATTACACCAGTTACAGTCGAATCTCCACACTTTTGTAGCCAGGTGAGCTTGCATCTGGTGCAGAGCTGTTAAATGGAGGATAAAAGCTTGTCTGTGACATTCATGGTTTCATGCCGAGGACAGTTTTGCTTGTGTATGAACTAAAAGTGCACAAAGAAGCCATACACAGGAGAAGAGGTCTAAAGTCGAGGCTGGAGGAGTTGGAGTGTCTCCTTGTATCACTGTGTCGGATGCACAACAATTCAATTTCATAAAATGTGTGCTGACACGGACGCTGATGTGATGGAATAGCAGCTCAGAGTCTAAATGAAGTGTGATCCTTGTGAAATGAAACACCAATCAACACGATCAGCCTCTGCCTCCTCACCTGCTGCGGGCCCTGGAGTCTCTGCTGCAGCTGCAGGCGCAGCTGGTTGGGTGGCAGCCTGAGCTGGGCGTTCACCCCCTGTGGTCGCGTCATACCCGGTCTCAGCCCCATTTCTGTCGTTCCAGCAGGGAAAGCCCCTCGAGGCGCTCCAAACCCTAGACCCTGGGGCCCCACGGTGGCCAGCTCTGGAGGAAACTGAGCTTGAGGAGCTGGTGTGAATTGAGAAGGGTAAGTAGGGAGTTTAGGGTCTAGAGGAGCTGGGGAGGCAGTGGGCTGCTGGGTCGGGAAGTTCTGGGCCAAAGGGTCAAAACAGCCGCCCTGGAGAAAGGAAAAAACATCTTATTTAAGTCTGTCACAGCCACACCACCGGTAAACATTTCCATTTGAATGCAGTTTGCACTTCATCATAGGTCAGACGTCTGGCCTCCCTCTCTGGTATCACAGTGTTTGTTTTCAAGAATAAAATGATCCTGCAGCAGCTCCTGACAGCTACTGTTATGATACGCTTTAACTACTGAGACTATTTAACTCTCTATACATACAGTGTACTGATCCCTCGAATATATGACACACTTACCTGAACCAATTTGTCAATCCCCAGGGCTTTATCCAGCTCAGCCAGTTCACTCTCGTCTGTCCCACTGAGGAAGGTGACGAGCTGCTCCAGCAGAGCTTTCTCATCGTTCCGTCCTTCAGGTGTGGTCGGAGGGCCGAGCACTTCGTCCAGCGTGCAGGGGACACACTGCCTGCTCACACACACACACAGAAGCACAACAACATCTCAGCACAGCACTTCTTTTACTTTCTTTAAAACTCAGGAAGGATAAACAGCAGATTGACAACTTTGGTGCAAAGTGTTGTAGAGCTGAGACAAGGATCAGGGGAACTTACTCTTGTGGTGATGCCAAAGGAGCTTGTAAAGGTGTTCCAAGACCATCGAAGCACAAAGTGTCGGACAGGGCCAGAGGCTGGAACTGGGAGTCTCCCACATCCATCTTGGACAGGCCTGAAACAGATTTAAGCATTTCTGAGTAAGACATGACGGATCTTTAAACAATACCTGATCAGCAACTTCAACTCCTGCTTCAGACGCCAGATTTCCACCTTGCTTGAGAGATGTAGTGTTGCTGTTTTGAACTGAGCTTTTTCACCTACATAGTCTGTAACAGAATACTTTGTGACTACACCTAGTGCTGATAATGAGAGGTCATTCATGTTCAGACTCTCAGTCTACAGACAAAGGTCAGCTAAACAATGCCACGGAAGAGTCATGAGTGTCGAGTTTCTAAAGAGCGGATTGCGTGTGACTGAAAGAAGTGTTTCTACATACCAGTGCTTGAACTGAAGGGGTTGATAACCTCTGACTCTGGAAAGGGGCTGCTGTCTTTGGGGGTCTGGTAGGACTCTCCCTGTCCCTGGGCCGTCGTCTGGCCTGGAGTGGGAGGGCTGCAGAAATCAAACGATGACTGACTCTGGAGGCTGCAGCCGGAGGGTGGGCCGCCATCACTGAGCCCTGAGGATGAAAAGAGGACGTGAGGATTAAAATGAAGAAATAAAAGAGAGAGAGGACTGGATGCTCCAAAACGAGATATCAAGTATGTCCCACACAGAGTCTGGTTTTGGGACGTCTAGCTACTAGCACAGCCTGCTGCAACATTGACAGCTGTGATCAGACCCACGGCCTGAGATCAGTTCACCTGGGCAGATTTTTAAATAAGAATAAAAGAATAACTTTATTTTCTCACCGAAGGCAAATTCAATAAAGACCCTTGAGGCTTTTCTTAAAACTGTTTAGTCTGAGTTACTGCAGCACTTTCCTTATTTCAGACTTTTACCTATGTGACATTCTGCAGTGGTGTGCTATGTGAGATTACTTAACACTGCAGTGTCTATTTTCAGCCACTAGGGGGCATAAAGAATGACAGTGTATTGGTACAGTATGTAATGAATGAATCAATATAGAGACCTCCCTAGATAACACTCCTATACCGGATACTACCACTACAACTGAAGATTGTGATAAGAAAACAACCACAAAAACAACAAAACGTGATGAAAAATCCAGTTAAAATGATGATTTAAAACAGAAAAATGCTATTTTGTCATTATTTTAAAATAAGTGATTAAAAAATATTTAACATCTTTTAGTTTTGATTCAATCTAAGGCTACTTAGATTATTTTCACAAGATTCAATCTGCTCTTTATCTTGTTTTGAACTTGATTTTATGAGCTTTAATATTCACTTTTGTTTTATGTGAACTGATCTCAAAGCCACATTGTTTGAACACGTCTTTCTCATGGTTTTTCTGCCCATGTTAAGTACTCTAAATTATCCCTCTGTTTGAATTATGTTGTATAAATAAAGCGGCCTTGCCTAAATATTGAGACTGCACTTCGGGGTCCACAGGTAGTATATTATACTTAACTCCCCCTCCTCTTAATGACCCCCCCTCCCTCCTGGGTGAAACTGTACCTCGGTTAGGAGTGCCTGGAGGCTCTCTCTTCACATTGACGTTGCGGGGAGTGCTGGCCTCACCGGGCTGGAGCTGTGTGGGCGACTGCAGTTTGAGCTGCGGAGAGGGAGAGTGGAGCTGCGGTGACGGCGAATGCAACTGAGGAAGGGACTGAGGCTGGGACAGGGGGGACTGGAGCTGAGGCACGGGGGACTGAAGCTGAGCTGGGGGTTGGGGGGCTGGAGAGTGTAGCTGGGGGCCTCCTCCAGGGGTTGTTGAATCCTCGCTGCCCTGCTTGGCCCCACTCGGGCCTCTCAGGCCAGGCAGCAGCTGGGTGAGAGGGTCCATGTCAACAGGGCCACCCGACATCTGAGGGCGGGAAAATGAGCGCAAAGCAGAAACACATGAAAGGGGATGGAGGGAGGACGATGAGGATGGAAGAGTGAATGGTGTAATGGAGTGAAAGAGTAAAGAATTAAAGAATAATGGGTGGCAGAGGAGAGGGGGGCAGAGGATCAGTGACACAGAGATGGGGAGAGACAAAAGGTCAAAGGCCAGCGAGCTTCAAAGGCTGCAGCTGGTAGCTGAGCCCGCAGTGGAGACAAAGTCCAAGAAAATAAACATCCAACATGATTTACAACGGCTGTCAGGGAGTTGCCAATGCAAGAGCAGGGCTCAATGGAGGAAAATAGCCATGCTTAATTGTAAAATGCTTTTTTTTTCTTCTCGACGAGGGCGCGTTTCAATTCAAGCGCTCCCAAACATGAGGGGCACCACAGAAGACACATTAAATTATCAGGCTGTAAAAGTTAGGACTGGACTTTTATCACAGTCTGGAGGGAAGAGGCTGATGTAGACGGGTATGTGTGTATCAACATACATACAACACAAGAACTTTATTGATCCTCAAAGGGAAATTCATTAGATGGTATGTATCCTTTATCATTCTGTTCATTTTTAATCACAGAGAGATTTTTTATTTTTTCAAACTCAATCTTTTAATTTCATTTTTTAACTTCTTTATTTTAGTCCTTACTAACAGTGAATCAGTGAATTTGTAAATTGCACAAACCGTCCTGTTACTATAAAATGCATGTAGTTTGTGGATTGGAGGAACAAAAACTGACAAATCCCCGAGCAGAGTCTCAGGGAGAGGACAGGATCATTCAAGAGGAGCATGAAATGAACACGCTCACATTCTGGTGAACACTTGAGTGTGCTTTACTCTTTACACTAATATAGGTGATAACTAATTCTTTTCAATCAGAGTAAACTGTACCTCTCCTTGAGCAGAAAAGCCTTTATGCAAAAATCAAATTTGCAAACTGCTGGAGAAACATTTTACCGAGTTTGATCAAGTGTTAATGATTGAGACACTAATTTCTCGTCTGGATGACTCAGGTGTTCTTTGTGTTTGGTGAATGTTTATATTTTTTTGAACAATGTGTCCACACAGGGCTACCGTAGACTGCAGTAAATGTACTGACTGGTATGAAAATGTTGCAGCAGATATTAAAAAAAAACTAAAACGATTTCAGATCACTATGACATTACCGTGGAGTCCCGGCTGTCCCTGCGGCTGTCTCTGCGGTTTTCTCCAACAGGGCTCAGTTTGGGACTCATGCAGGCTGGGCTGCTGGAGACTCCTGCAGGTTTGGATGCCCCTGCTGTTGGAGTAGTAGACCCTGTACAGGCCGGCCCCTCTATGCTGGATCTCTTCTCCACTTTTACCCGAACCGTCTGCAGGCTGAGCGCAGACGGAGGCGGCAGGTCTCCCAAGTCCTTCAAAACAAACAACATTAGGATTTTTTTTCTTTTCTTACATGACATCCCGCCTTAATGGAGGACACAAGTGAACATTCTCCACAGTCACCTTTTCGTCTGTATCCAGCAGAAACCGGAGCAGCTGGTGGTCCTGGGGCTCTCTGGAGTTGGATTTAGGACCTGCTGTGGCCAGTGCAGGACTTGCAGGCGGCTCCTTCTTGATCTCTACTTGGTTTTTGATTCTTTCCTCTGCGGTGGTGGAGGCATCGTTGGGGCTGGTGTCCTGGAGCAGCCGGTGCAGGATCTTGTGTCTCTCCGTCAGAGTACTGTGTGAGGCAGGGCACTGAGGAACAGGAGGAGGGTTTGGAGGATGAGGTGATGAGGTGCAATGGGTGTTGTTGTTGTTGTTGTTAGATTCTGCTCCTGTCCCATTGCTTTCCAGGAGCTGGTTGGGTCTGGGGTTTCCCAGAGGCGAGGCAGAAGGAAGGGGGGCTTTTACAGAGTCCTCTCCCCCTCCTTCTCCTTCCTCTGGAGGTTTTGCAGATGGAGGTCGAGTAGGAGTGCCAGTCGGTGTACTGGCTTGTCTCTGAGGGGCAGGAGAGGACAGGGAGAAGGACCCCGTTGACCCACCGTTGGCGCCACTACTACTACTACTACTACTACTACTACTACTACTATCCCCACCAGACTGCTGCCGGTTGAGGCTGCCTCCGCCGCTAAGTGCCCCGGTTGGGGAGTGGAGGCCTGGTGTGGAAGGAGAGAAGGGGTTCCCCGTTACTCGGGGGCTCCCCCCTGACCCAGGACTGGCCCGTGGCATCCTGGGCGACATAAAAGAGGTAGGGGTGGCTGTGAGTGGGCTGCTCAGAGGAGAGGGGCTGTTGACCTGCTGGGAACAGGTCCTGTTGGGAGTCAGGTAGCCTGTGGGTGTGGTTGGGTTGTGTCCGTGAGAGGAGGCGTTGCTGTTGTTGGCGGCCACGCCTGAGCCTTGAGTCCAGTTGCTGCCGGGAGGAAGGGAAGGGGAGCGGGAGGGAGTCTGGGCAAGGCTGCCGAGGTTGGGTGGAAGGCTGGGGTTAGTGTTTTCCTGAGAGCTAGCAGTGTTGTGTTCCCTGAGAGAGAAGGAGAAGAAGAAGAAGAAGAGGACGGCTTTAATGTAACGTAAGGAAAAGGCAAAACACATGACGACACATGACGTCAGATTCAACAATGTGAAGAAACACACAACACACACATTCAGCCTCTGTCTATGTTTATGTTTCAAGTTTACGGTCATGCCATAGCTGCGTTTGTTGTACTTCCCACATGAAAATGGAAAGACTTTCTTGAGGTTCCCCGCACACTTGCAGAATTCGGTAACACTTTACTTGATGCCTATCTCTATAATGCATTATAAATATATTTATAATGCGTTATAATCACCTTATAGCACTGTTTAACTACAGTTATAAACACTCATAAATAGTCATAATGCTTTATAGCAGTGGTTCTCAAGTCCAGTCCTCGAGGCCCACTGTCCTGCATGTTTTGGATGTTTCCCTGCTCCAACACACCTGATTCAAATGATCAGCTCATTATCAAGCTCTGTAATGGCTTAATAACAAGCTGATCATTTGAATCAGGTGTGTACTATAGTTACTATACTATAGTTATACAGTGCTATAACGTGATTATAACGCATTATACATATATTTATAATGCGTTATAGAGATAGGCGTCAAATTGTGGATATCGAACATGTTTAATGTTTATGAAATGGCGACATAATCATAAGAACCCTCTGATAATGGGGCCTTTGCTGACTTTCCTTGGAGGAGGAGAAACTTCGTGCTCATGTTTAAGTTTGTGAACCCCGTTTAAGGTCACCTGTCAATCTTACCTACAGCTCCAGGGGGGGTGACAGACAGAGAGAGACGGTAGACGTCCGGGACAAAGTGACAGCAGGTCAAGATGTTAAACCTCTGCTGTGGAGTTATGATGCTGATTTTTGAATAATGAAGACTGATGGTGTTACAGAGCACAACAGAGCCTGAAGGAAGCAAACTAATAAGACTGTTTTCAAAATGCCGACAGGGACTCAAAATCTTAATGTGGTCCCGAAGGAGATGGTCTTACTTAGATTAATTGAAACCGTAGTGACATTATGTCTCTTACCACAGCTGTCATCAAACTAAAAAAGCTTGGACTTCTCCTCAGAGGTCGTTTTTAAACTGAGACCGATGGCTGAGTTGAGTCTCAGCCATCGGTCTCAGTTTACCTTCAGGACTTTCTACAATCTTATTCTTGATTTAGTCTCACTGAAACCAGTTCACAAATTTGAAAACACACTTTGTTGAGTTGAGGAAAGGCCGTGTTTTGGTTCTTATATGAAGTTCACACAGTTGCTTGTTTTCATGTGGGACAAGACCAGCAGTCTATGTTACAGTCTCCTGTTTGATCAATAAGCAATCCAACCTCGTCACAACACTGTAGACATCACTGTATGGGTAAAAATAACAGGCTGTAATGCACTAATGGAATGCATGGGAAATGTGTGCATGAGTGTGCACAAGTGTCTCACACAGTACCTGTCAATAGTGTGGATGCCCATAATGAAGGGCTGAACGTCAGGGTTGGGGGGGCAGCAGAACTTGCAGCGGGTCTGAGCGCTGAGCGGGGTGCCATCAGTTAACGTGAAATGGTACAGCGGGCTGATGGCCGTGCCGTGGGTCATCACTGAGGGTTAAAACACACACATGTTCACACATCAAACAGTGAGGAGGAAGTCAGACACAGTAAAAACAAAAGTTAACTTAAGCTTCAGTCAAATTTGAACAACTTGACTCTTCTCGTTTGGTCTTTGTCCTGTCAGTTCACTAAAAATGCTTTTTTTGTGTCCGTATGTTCATAAGTTAATAGAAAAGCTGTTTGAAAATAAAACCCAGCCTTTATGACTCCATATAAACCTGAAACATCTATTCCACACATCTCTAAAGGGAGTGCCAATCATTGCTAACTTCGCACGACCCGTCTCCTGCAAGCATGAAAAGTTTCTGAAATTACAGCATTCAATTCTATCAATTGTAATGACATTGAAGTGGTGCTGAAACTCTGGTAACCATGACGAAGCTGGCAGAGAGCCTGTCAATGATTTTCTGCGTGTGAGAGCCGAACAATCAATCCTGGATACTCACCCTCATGCAGCAGCTTCTTGGCGTGGGAGGGCTCTTTGCCCTGCGGCTGAAAGAAAGCATAGATGCACTTCCTGACCAGGTCCTCCCAGCCAGGTCGGCCTGTTGCTCGCAAAGCGCTCGTTTCTATGGAGATGATCTTCCCTGCAGCAGAGAAACACACACACACACACACACATGAAACAGATCTGTCCACACAGATTTTGACATGTGCAGGAGCCTCCACACATTCAGGGTTCAGAGTGTGACCCTATCATGAAAATTTGATTATTTTTTAAGATGGAACATTTTTTAAATTCTGCATCCAAATTAGACAGTAAAATAAATATGTAGAGGTGCTTCATATTCCTCTTTTTTACAGTACAATAACCAAATATAGTGACCAAGAAATAGGATTTTCCCTAATGGTGCCAATGTGGGGTAATCTACTTAGGTTATTAGAGAAAATTAAGACTTGTAGGAATCCTAACTGTGATGTTATGGTGCAATACACTCTGAATGTGACAATAAGAGGAATGTCCACTGGTATGTCCCTGCTTTAATCCACTAAATATGATGGGGGTGTCAAATTTAATGAAATTATTATTATTTTCAATATAATTATTACTGTTATTATTACCTTCCTACCTCTCCATTGTTAATTTTTATCCTATTTATCTGTGTCAACCTCTGTTTCAACGAATCATCCGTACTTTTTATGATTTCTGGATGTAGGTGGGATGATGTGCTGATGGCGCTTTACAAGTGAGCACATAGACATTATAATATGCACACTATCTCAATGTTTATGGATTTCAATTCCTCATGCGGCTGTGGAACAGTGGAAATCGGGCGAACCTTTAATCTGAAGTTTTTACTTCAGTCACGCCAACACTGCCTTGGACCCTTTGTTTTGTTTTCTTGTACTTATTTTGGTTGAGTTATTGTGCCCACTGCTCTTTGTTTGTTTATGGTTGGAGTGATGGTTTTTGTATTGTAAAAACTAAATTGGAATAAAATCGTAAGTCAAAAAAAAAAATGTAATGAATAAAGACTGTAAAGATGTCCATTTGTCTCCTAATGGTTATTGCAGCCCTAAAATATCACAATAAAGATATCATCGCCATACTTAGATTGTCTTTTTCCATTTCTAACAGTGTTATTGATATCACCAACCCTGTGACTGACACTTCTTTGGAGAACATCACCTTGTAAATTTATTGCTTTCCATTCTTTTATTTTGACATTTTTTCTGTCTTGCATCTTGGTTGCTTTATTTCCAGCACTGTAAAACTATGCTTTTATTTTGACGTACACTACATCTGATAGATTCTAACTAATTAAACTGAGAGAACAGAATTATAAAAGGTTGTTGTTATGTTCTTGGAAATCTGAAATTTTCAGTTTTTTAAAGAGCTGCTACTGAATCACATTGAAAACTTTTGTAAAATTGATGTCGTGGTGATCTGGTGACTTGATAAAATTCAGTGCTAGTGAATATTCACAAAGAAACAGACACATAGATGCAGGAAAATCTATAATGACTGAATGTAAAAGCACTAAGAGAACATTTGTGGAATAGAAGACTTAAAGGAAGACTGATAGTGAGCGAAAAAACAAAATAACACAGAGGGACAAAACCCCAACTCTATACTATTACTCTTTCAGAGACAGTGGTATGTATGTGTGCATGTCTGTGTCTGTTACCTGTGGGGTCTTGCTTGGTGATGAAAGACTCAGTGCTGAAAGGCTGGGTGCGAGGCATCCGACAGGCAATACAGATCAGACAGGTCTGCAGGTCTGCTGTAAGTAAACACAAGTCAAGAGGTTCAAGAGTCCAGTTTTTTAACACCAAGACTTAAATCATGTGTGCACGCTTACACCAGTGATACAATCGTTATATTATTATTGCAATGCTTATAAACTGTGTATAGTCATTGTTTGTGTGTTTGTGCAAGTCTTTACCGTCCCCCTCCTCCTGCATACTCCGTGGTTGGGACACGGTGAAACACTGCATGATCTCATACTGCTGCCGAGCCTCTGGGTTTTCTGAATCCACCTCATCGGGCGGCCTCTTCAGCATGCGACAGTTAAACGTGTGGCTGTTCCTCCGGCCAGGCTCCTGAGGCCACGGCCCACCGTTTACTGGACAGAAAGGAAAATAAACTCAGAGTTTACTTTGGCTTCGCAGAATGAGGAGTTGTTAAGTTACTTATAAGCGAGAAGGAGGAAACTCTTTGCCGGTAAACTTGAATACGGGTTTTAAAATATTCAAAAATTTTTGCAAAATGTTGCACAGGAATGACGTATCCTCTGCACTGTTGTGAGGCCTACAGGATAAACATGGTGTGTTTGTGTAAGTAAGACTGTGCGTAAACAGAAAATCTGTTTATGAGGAAACTTCACAGGGCATCTTAGAGACACTTCAGTTCTCAAACATTAAACAGACACGTCACTGGGATACTTCAGCAGGAGTTTTGCATACAGACACCACAATGAAAACACTGCTGCTGCACTTTTAACTTAAACTCACTCCCACTCTCGCTGATCTGCACTGGTTACCACTCAGTATTAGGATTGATTTTCAGGTTTTGTGGCTTGGCTTCACGGCCCTTAGTGGTCAAGCATCACCTTACATTTGAGACTTTCTTCGCACTCTCTCACCTCATGACCAAAAGTGATCAAGCCTTTACGAAGCAGGTCTCCAGGTTTGGAAATTCCCTGCCGGAGGATCATATCGGACTAGCTCAGGCAGACTCTTCTCTTAAGTTACTGAAAACCTCTTTTCATTAAAATGCATTCTCTTCACAGGCGTGCTGTTTGATTAATTCTTTAACCTGTTTTGTATTTTAAAGTGGTTTTCACACTTCCCTGTTACTGTCTTCATTCTGCTTGTTTCCCCTACCTTTTAATTTAATGTCTGCCTGAGGCGTCCTGTAACTCTGGTTTAAGAAGATGGATTATAAATAGTCATTATTACTCTGCAGGCCCACATGAATTTAAGACTGTTTCTTTTAAATACTTAAAAAAGGAATTTTTGGTCATTTAATGCCAGTATCATGACTGAGGCCTGCTGTCACTCACAACTACACTGCCGGGTGGGTTAAAGACAGAGAGACACAGTGATCGTCCACACAAAAGTGATTTGAGAGAAGGAGGTAAGGTTATGGTCATTTTTATAATGCAGCTGAGACATTAAGACGAAGACTCTCTTATCCGCCATTTTAAACAGTAAACATGTTTTAAAAAACTCATTCCTGCCTCCATGATGACTCTAAAACATGTTTCTGTCTTCAGTAAGAGGCCACATCAAATTCACCGGTTGGAAGATGAAGAAGAGGGCAGTGGTGGTTGTGAGGAAAAGAATTTTTGATATTTTTAATGCTAATACCTCCATAGCCACGTTTACATGTGAAAAATTTCTTGATCCGATTAAAAATTTGAGGGATCGGAAAATCTGAATCCACTGTTTATATGGGCGCAAAATCAAATGATCTGATGATGTGATGTGTGTATACATACACCAAGTTTTATTCAGATTAGAAGCATTTGGACATGTGCAGAGTTGTCTAATTTCACTAAAAAAACGCAGAAGAAGAGCTGTATTTCCGCCTGTGTTGTCAACAAACCAACAAACGCGGTGGTGGCGCACTTCATCCAATTAAGAATTTTTTTCCCCCCTGTTTAATGTTGTCACTAGATGGCGCCCTTGCTAATATATTTTATTGTTCTGTCAAAGGTGGCAATGTGTGTGCAGATGTGACATCATTACGCTGTATGTACGCCTTGTTATGTTATCGGAGGAGCAGACATGTTTCCTGTGGTTGTATTTTATGCCAGAGTGTTAATAAGGAAACCTCCTGTACTGACCTCAATAAATAAGCCAAAGGTTAAAGAGTGAAGATCGAGTCAGGTAAGAGAGTCACGATGGACACGTTTCGGAATAATGATCGGAATAAACCACCCCTCTCAATCAGACTACAATTTCTTTCCAATTGAGCCGAATTGGATCAGATTTTTCAGATCGACATGTTTACATGACGCTTTTTTATTCCGATCGGGCATTTATGCCAATTATTTTTGCCAATGTAAACGCAGCTACTGATGGAGGATTACACTTTTAATGCATCACAGGGGCTTCTTGTCCATGAAAGCCACCGTTGCCTCAAAAACAGGAAGGGTGAGCAAGGGGAGAATTCTGATATAGAATGTAGATATTCCCATTTGTAAACTCTGTACCTTCACAGAATAGAGCCTTAAGAGACTTGGTTTGAAATGGTAAAAATGAATAGATGACATCAAAGTCTCTTAAAGTCCTGATGACTAAAAAGTTTAAACAAAGAATAATCACTGAAGGGAATGAAGAGGGAGAAATGACTTATGCAGGGAATGATGTATGGTGAGCAGGTGGTTTTTCAAGTTAGAATCCCTACATGGTAAGCAAAACAAAGAGATCATGTCACTGAGGTTTACGACTTTGATGCTAATGGAAACAACACAGAGCAGGTAGGTAGGGGAAAGAGTTGAGTGTGAAAAAGAGGCTGTTTCGAGACTACTTAATTGTGATAGCTCACTTTTTGATGGGGTGGAGTTGAACCTTCAAACTGTCACATCTCTTATGTTCTTCATAAGTAGATGCAAATCTTTTTTGTGTATTTTCCTTATTTTGCCAGAGTCCTACCTTAAAGTCGGTCTCTTTAGAGTTAAATGAGTTAACAGAACATCTCACCAACATTCACTGAAAGACCTTCCTGTAAAAAAAGCTTTTGTGTTTCACAAGGACAGCAGAAATTTAGAGAGATGGTTTAGGAGATCTGTTTCCAAGGAGAGAGGAGAGCTGAGGTGATGATTGTTTCTCTCTTTTGTCCTCGTACGACCCGAATCACGCCTCCTACATTTTCATTATTCTCTCTTCTCAAGGTTGTAGCTAAAAAATTAAAACAACGCTGAATAACTTGGAGCGGAGTGAGTGCCCATTGTTTGACTCTGCCCTCCCTCCTCAAAACTCACCCACACATATGCTGCATCTCTCCTCTGACTCCCCTCTCCTGTAACATGTTGCAGGTTTAATAAGAGCACTTAGAATAGTGTTGAAAGTTAGACCCTTTATCAAACATAACCTAAAAATGTCATTAGCAAATATCTTAAGACCACTGACGCCATCAAATGAGAATATTTAGTGTGAGAAACTTGAAGCCAACAGTCCCAGATCACTCACCCAGGCTTTTGGGCAGCAGATTTCGAACAAATTCATTGTGGTCTCCCACGTGGAGGATGCTGTACACACTTGAGGTCATCAGCTCCTCCTGGGTGTATCCAAGGTAACCTGTCACGTTCTCAGAAACAAAGACGATTCGGCCCTCCCGGTTGACGACGAAGAAAAACCCATCAAGAGCCTGAGGGAGCAGGAGAAGGAGGAGGAGACGCAAAGACAGAGGAGGGGAGATTTAAATTGCGTGCGTTGAGATAGGAGTTAAAAATTCCTGCAGTGGTGCTGTGGAGGAAACGTTGCGTGTTTATAACTGTGAGTATGTATTGTTCACCTCTAGCAGCATGGGCCCCAGCGCCTCTTTCTCCAACAGCCCCTGGCTGCTGGAGGAGATGTCGCTCTTCTGCACCTCATCATCTGGAGACAGAAGGGCTGCTTTCTCTGTCAGGAGACAAGGACAAATCAGAAATCCAATACAACGGGATAGAAGTGCCCTTCAAAATAAAAGACCCAATTACATCACTGGAAAAATAAAACGCATATACATACACATGGAAGTGATAGCACCATTGTTACCTGCTTTTAAAGCTCATGGCTTCACAGCTTTTTTAAAAGAAGTAGATTTTTAAACAAGATGGTCAGAAAATAAGAGCATCATTTTAAAAAAGTACTTATCCTTGACGAATGTGAGAGGAGCTCTGTACAACTTACTCCCGGTAGATTCTGTGGTTATGGTTTAAACAGATCATGTGTATCTGTGTTTGTGTCTCTGTGCTCGGCCCCTCACCCTGCTCACGTCGTTTCATCTGCTGGATTTGGTCCACGGTGCTCTTGAGGATGTGGCACTTGTCAGGTTTGACACTGAGGCTGGCAATGTCGCCTATGTTGGATGACAGCAGCTCAGCCAGCTCCTCTATGTAGCGACACTCCAGTTCTCGTCTTCGCTTTTCCAGACTGAAAGAGGACAAAGACACTGATATTTACGCGACTGTTTCTACATCGCATAGAATGCAAAGACAAGCGGGATTTGATTCTGCCATATATCATAAATGATAAACGTATTTTTCAGAAATAAATCTACAGTCTCTGTCTAACACTTCAATACCCTTACAGCCAACATGAGTAAGCTTTCATCATGTGCTCATAATTCATGCAGCATCTTTTTGACTGATATTTATATATGCAGAAAGTTTCATATCTGCAAACACAAAGGATCAACTTTTTAAGCCAATATCTGGCGATATGATGCCAGTAATATTGTGCATCCCTATCAGTGATGGTAGCAGTGTCCTGACTTTTATGCATGTTTACATTCAACAGTCATGTGACACACAGATACAGACACAGCCTGCGAAGCGATCAACTCTTTATGTGCCTGAACACAGGGCATAGATGTTGATCAACGATGAAGTAGCGTCAGCATGTTGTCTTTCAGCTCGTATAACTGAGATTGCATGTCCTATAGTGTGACCATTGTACATGTTCATATTACAACCGCACTGTTCAAATGATGTTATGTCATTCAAGTAATAGTCAAAGTTGCGTCAGTTTTCTTAACTTCCCTGCACTGCGGCAGAAGACACTTGCGCTGAGCTTAAACTCAGCTCTAGTATATGAATGTTTGAGCGCTGAAAGAGCCGGTTCTTGCTGAGTCAAGTGATCTGTTCCATTAAATAGATAGTCCTTCGTAAAATTAGTCTAGGGACAAACACACCATAGCACCGAGTTAGACACCCCCTTGAGAGATGAATGTTGCCGACTGCTTGCTTCTCTAGTTTTACCAACATTAGTAACGACCGCATGATAGCAATACACAGCAGTCTATGGAACCACACGCAAACCTCAACCAAAACGCCACTCTATAGCCACACATAATGCTCAGAACAGCAGCTAACTTCATCAACAGAAGTTAGGTCCCAGCCATAGTACTAGCCACCAAACATCTTTTTAACTTTGCCTTATTTCTTTAGCAAAGAGACTAAACACAACTCACTCACTCTACTCCAGCAGCCATTTGTTTGGAAGCCCTGACTAGTCGATCACAGAGTGCAGTGGATCATATCCTTGAAGTAATAATCATCATAATAATCATTTTGCACTGCAGGTGCGGTAGTTCTTCTGCCTTAGCATCTCGGTCTAATTGCATTTCCATTTGGCAATAATCATAAATGTTCTTCCTTGAGCTGCGAAACTCCGCTGCACTCGGTGACCGACTCGTCAGTTGGTATCACTAAAGAAGCAAGCAGTCGGCAACATTCATCTCTTGAGGGGGTATCTAACTTGGTGTTACGGTGTGTTTGACCACAACTTATATTTTGGGTGGGTGGCTTGCCCATGCAGGAAGGAGTGCACAGTATAATTGCAAACAAACTCCACGCTCCATCACTGTTGTGTGGAAATACTCTCGTTATGATTGATCCCTCAGCCTTTAAAGGATCGCTTAGTGTAACTGGGGGAAAATATAAAACAAATCAGGAAAGCTCACTCTTTGGCATCCTGGCCGGTGGAAAAAAATATCAGGGGTTAGTCAAAATTACACAACTATAACAGGCAAAATGAGCAGTGAGACCCACAAAGTATCACAACTCCTGTGTCAATCATCATTTTCTCAAAGCTTTAAAGAGTCACATCCTCGCTTACGAGAGCCATCGCCCTCCGCTGCCCACTACCTATTTCAACAGGAAACGCCTCACCCTGGGTAGGACAAGTGTGAACAAGCTTTCGCAAAATTCTGGTGGGGTCGGGGCTTCTGAAAATTACTACAAACTCTCGGGGGTGCATGTGTGAAAGTGAGGCTAAAACAACTTTAAAGCATGTTAGTTTTATGATAATTAAATAGCACCAAGAAACAGAAGCTAATGTGACGATTTTATGAACATTTAACACAATTTTTATGGGAGCAGGGTTGTAAAAAAGTTGCAGCTATATCCAAAAACTTGCTTTGATTAAAAAAACACTTGAATTTTGTTATTATTTTCTGCATTCAGGAACATACAGGTATGATCTAAATGTAGTGTACAAGTGTGGAGTGGTTCCCCCCACAGCTGCCTGTGATATTTTTCTGCATTATGTAAACATGAAAGTTACTATATATAATCAGGAAGAGCACTGACACAGAATAGCTTCAGACTCGGGTGTCTTGTGAGTGGCTTTGTGTTTAACCTTATTCTCCACTTTCAATACTATACTTTTAAACCGACGAGTTCCAGCAAGGTATGTGGCAAACATGGAAAAAAAAAAGGAATGTGTGTATATGTGAGCATGTGTGTGTGAGTGTGTGAGAGAGACGACAACAGCAAAAGTAGGTCAGTGCATTGGCCAGCCAGAACACACAGGCGTGGTGACCGAGGCAGGCAGGGAGGGAGGCAGGGAGGGAGGGAGGGGTGAGGAAGGGGAGGAGGAGGACGCTGCTGTGTGAATGCGCAGGTCAGTGGCTGCGTGTAGTTCCTGTAGAAATGTTAGCCGTGCTCTTACATCAGCTTACATCAGCTATCACACACACACACACATCCACGCACAGGACACAAACAAAGCAGTAACCTAATGTAATGTGATGTGTGTTATTTAATGCCACAGAAAGATCAAGCTGTCAGGTCTTTACCTCTGCCCTGATGTGTCGCATGGTGAGCCCTTCCTCTTGCGTGACTCTGGCGTCGCAGGGTCCAGAGGGTTTTCCCCTACTGCACTCATTTTCAGCTTCAACTGACCTGCAGAGGAGGCACACGAGGTGAAGAAAACAACTGTCAATAGCAACGTCACTGCAAGTCAAACCCACTGCTTGACTACTGCAGCCACAGCATGACGGTGTGGATACAGGAGGTGTAACAGTCAACAGAAATCATTGAATTATCTGATCCAGTGTGAAAGCATCCTTTTGCACTGATAGTGTTTTTGCTGTAACAATGCTGTATATTAACCCGTCTTATTACGAGGCCTAAAAAAACTACTTTACACTCATTAGATTTGCTGCTATACATTTACTTTCATAAACCATATACTACAACTACTCAGAAATGTAGTATCTGTGTCACATATAATGATAGCTGTGAAAGTAGATAGTGAATATAAAGTGGGTAAATTCTGATATTCTGTCCATGCACAGATACCCTGGCCACCCCAGCCTATTTCAGTGCACCAGTCGTGCCACCCCTGTTAAAAAGTCTGGAGACGCCCCTGAATAACAGCACAAAGGAAACAGTGGGGTATGAATGATGTTGAGTTTGCACTTCAAAAACTGCAGGGAAACATTTCTCTGCTGATTTTATAGAAAACAAGTGGAAACATCATTATCCATCTGAGGAAAACAGTTAAAAGGTGACTACAGCACTGGCAGAAGGAGGATTAACAGCAAGGATTAGATGTGGACATGACTGCAGAAAAAATACTGAAAATGAAGTCTTTATTTAAAGGACTCACAGGATATTAAGGGTCCGACATGAGCATTATAATGACAAATAAGAGTACAGTAAAATGTTTAGAAACAATGACAAATATTTATATTAGGAGTGTTATCTTTTTTCCTCTTCGTCTTAGTGCAGCAAGTTGGCACTGATAAACCACCTCTGAGTGCATGATGATATAAATAATTACTTTTTAGATTTGAACTTAATCTGTCAGGTTGGTGTTTTGTTTTATTGCTGATAAATGAAGGTTCTTAAGTATGCAAAGGCTATTCAGAACTTACATCTAACATTATTCTACAGCTGAAATCCTGTTGGCCAAAAGTGTACAGTCAGGATTTAACGAAGGCTCAGAACAAAATATTTACCGCAAACCTTTTTTATTCTAAATTTTTAAAAATAATCTAGCAACTCAATTTATTTCAGCCCCAAATTATACAGTCATGTACTCGATGACACAATTCAAGTCAGGAGGTTCACAAACTGAACTGCATACATGAACTCCAGTGTGATGTTATAGTTCAACATACTTTCTGTCTGCAGAACAAAACAGAACACCACGACATATATTTGCACATGGTCAGCTTCTACAGAAGAATAACTTGAAATATACATCAAAAAAATAAAACTGTGTGGTTTTCTGTAAGGTGTATGTTACAAAGCAGCATTTTACGGTGGTAATTTGTTGATGCGCAGGTGCTCAGGCTGACTTATAAAGCTCTCCAGACTGAAAAGAAACTTGTGTGTTTGGTAAAATCTCAGACAAATACCACATCTTTGTTACTGACATTAAAATATTTATTTTAATGAGAAACTACAGGCAGGAAAAAGACACTGTCCAAAGCTATGCCACAGTTTTGGACAGTCTGGCATTCTGTAGAGTCTCGACTCTACAGAATAATTCAGCTCATTTTGTTTTTGCACTGATTGTGGACGCTATGAAAACCTGAAACTGCAGTGGGGGGGTTAGGTGTTGGACTGGGTGAACCTTTTCTTACATTTCAGTGGCAAATATCCACAATGAAGGACATGTTTGACTATTAATAAAAAAAACTTTTTTTTTTTCATAAATCACCAGCTTGGAATGTTCAGAGCTAGATAAATATGCCTTATCCCACTTGATTTACATGATATGCAACAGCAATAAAGGTCCACCATACCTTTGGCTTTGTGCACAAGCACTGGCTTACAATGATTTAAATAAAACCTAGCACAATATTAATCTGAATCAAATACTTAACATTTGCATAAAGCTTCATATCTGGATAAAACATATTTCTATGGTAACCAAAAATTCTAGTATTTTCTGAGCAGCTCTGGAGCACACTGTAGTGCTGCTGCCGATCAGACCTGGTAGACCCTGCTGCAGTGTTTTTTTTTTCTAATTGTTTTTCCAGTTTAAACAGTTATTGATTGAATTACACTGAAAAGCGTCCTTGACGTTTTGTCTCGTTTGTTTCTGACATTCCTCCTCGCTCCCCATCAATGGGCTCGTGCTTGTTCTTTAATCTGCAAAGTCTACATCAGTCTGCGTCTCTCCCTCTCTCTTGCTGCATCAGGAGTGTAACCATGGCAACAGGAAGCGCAGCAATGTTTGATGAAAGCACATCATGTTTAGAGGAACGGTTAACAGGGTCCCTGCATGATTCATTAAGCCAAATATTCAAGATGAAACCTTCCTAATAGTGAAGGAAATTGAATTTAAAGCCAATTTATGGATGCAGGTACACAATGAAATCTGCAGGAAGCATTAATGAGAAAGATTGTTTTTTATCTCTGACCAGTGTGTTAACAAAAAATAGCTTTCTAAAAAAGTAAAGCAGCTCAAAAGCCTGTAATTTTCTATGTGCACTAACAGTGACTGGGAGGCAAACATGCTCACAAAGGATGGATTAAATCTCCGAACCTGTAGAGCAAACATCCAGACTCTATCTTCATAATTATCTCCAGACCGTGGACATAAACCCACATTATAGACCGACACAAAATGTATAAGTCCATGGGCAGACTGCAGGAAACAAACCGCCATTGTCACAGTGTCGGGTGCCGCCGCGGGGCCAGGCTGCTCACAGGACGCTAATCCTTCCTGACTGGCCTTGTTTACATTTCACCTCAGTTCACCCCTCTCCTCCTCGGCCCTCCTTGTGTTGCTGACACGCAGCACTTAAAAAAGATCCATCCGCCGCAGTGAGAAATGAGAGCACAGCCGCTGCACATTAGCACTCAATGCAAATACAAATTAGCCCACTTCCTGACAGATTTTTGGATTCGGTATATCCTTAAATTACAGCTGGATATGTAAGTATGTTTAAGTCTAATCAGGACCTGAGGAAACCTGATTATTAAAAGAGGCTGGAGATTAGCAGCAAGTGTGATTACTTCCAAGAAATAGACCCCAGACTGACTGTATGTGTGTGAACTGTAACACTGCACTGAGTCTGTAAATAAAGACATTATCAGACAAAAGGCTGCAAATTTAACAACCTGATTTTTCTCAGCTTGAAGATCTGACAGAAAAATAACAGTATTATCAAAATGTGGTGATTAAAGGAGGGGCTTCAGAGCACAGGATCACACGTTTTCTATGGTGTTTGTTTGGTGACTTCAGACAATAATAATATCTTGGGGGCTTTTGGGCAGATTGAGACTGGAAATGAGGGGAGGCCAGGCGGTTGACATGCACCAAATATGACCACTAGGAAGAGGACTTCAGCCTCTGTACATGGAGCACTGGCTTTACTAACTGAACTACAACTGGACTATACAGTATTCTGTCTTATTATAAATTCAGGTTTGATTTGGTTAGTTTAGAGCAGGGGTGTCCTGATATAACTTTCTGACTTCTAATGCGATATTGTAGCCTTCAATACTGACCAATACTGATATTGATCTGATATTGGCACAAATTGTGCATGACACGTTTTTCACTCAACTGTCTTTTTGGACTTAAAGGAAAAATACTGCCACACAACATCACTCCTACTCCTTGCTAATTTGTTAGTACCTTAGTACACACTGTAGTTGTGATCAGTTTGCTGGATCAGGGCACTGATAGATAGTGCTGTAGTACTCAAGACCGGTCTCAAGACCATTTTTTGAGGGTCTCGGTGTTGTCTTGGAATCAAAGGCATTTTCCTTTGGTCTTGTCTTGGTCTCAGAGTGAGCGGACTCAGTTTTTTGAACGAGACCGGTCGAGCTAATACCGTCACATCATTGGTAGTAATGATTCTCCATCAGCTGCAGCTGCTAAGTTACCTGCCCAGTGTCACACAGTCTGAGTGACTGACGCACCCTCCTCCATACAGAGAGAGGATGGAGACGACAGGAGGAGAGGGTGTGTTCATGCTCGGCAACCGGTGAACTCTTCATGAAAGATGTCTTCGAACTCAGCAATAATTAAGTAAGGAGTTCATTTGTAAAACGACATGCAAGCGAAAACACTCAGCAGTGTGCACAACTCACAGAAACAGCGGGTACAACTTCAAACTTTAACCGTCACCTCGAGAGGAAGCATAAAGACAGGTAAGCTAATGGTTACCATACAGTAGTGTTGTAGTACTCAAGATCGGTCTTGGTCTTAAGACCATTTTTTGAGGGTCTTGGTGTCGTCGGAATCGAAGGCATTTTCACTCGGTCTTGTCTCAGTCTTGGTCCTCTCTGGTCTCTGTAATGTCTTGGTCTCGGTTGGTGCGGTCTTGACTACAACACTACTACTAGATAGAGGTGCCGGAACAGAGTCTGGAATGGACTGCTTGTATCAGAATGCTGATATCAGAGATTTTCGATGCAGGCCAATATAATACGATATTTGTTTTTTGTTTTGCTTATCTAACCAATATCCAATATCAATATTGTATCGGGACACCCCTAGTTTAGAGCAGGTATTTGGGTACATTTTCATGTTTGGTACAATCCTATTCTTTGTTACATTCATTCATCACTTTGGGCATTGGTCTTTCATTTGATGTTGACTTTTTGTATAAATAAATAGCTTTATTCTAACCTAAAAAATTTCGTCTTTTTTGTTTGTTGCCATCTTCCCCTTAATGAAGGTCATAACGTGTCAAAGAAAGATGCAAATTACTGTTTTATTTTCTTAACATTTATGGTCATTTTGCAAATGCAATAATAAACCTTTTAAGTCTTTTATTCTGTCGAACCAGACTGTGTTGGCTGATATAGAAACAAAGGCTAATTGACTGTGTCTTCACGGACATCATTTTAATTCATGATAAATATTCCCACATATTGCTGCACACTTTAGTCCTTCTTCAATGAACAACCAAAATAAGGTTTGAAAAACTATCATAACTCAATATTTATCCCCCGAGTCCAAGTCGAACAGTCATCCATCCATCAAGCTTCCCTTAAACCTCGAGGAATCGTTGTTAACAGCCTGTTAATCTACTCGTGTTTTCAACTCTAATGAGAAGTGACAGCAGTTTTAAAGAGAAGAGAACGACTCCATCTCTCCAGATTGTCGTGATGCTGCTGTTCATCACTGATGATTAAAAGTCTGATTTTTTTTTCCTTGTTTATTTCAAGCCACACATGTTGTCTTCATTGTAAGAGGGAATACAAAGACCCAACAGTTAAATCTCATGATGTACCAGACAATAAGATCTGACAGCTTGGAGGAAAACAGATTTAGGTTTGCATTTCTGGTCTGATGTAAGGTCGCCTCCTACCACAGTCAGTTTGCTATCATGTGTGATACCATGGTGGATCCATTAAGACCCTTGATTGGTGGCCAAGGACAGAGAAACGCATGTATGATAAGCCTTCTTTAGGAGTAGATTAACAGAGCAAAAGACAGGTGGAAAACAACAGATGGGTGGAGGAGAAAGGATACTGTCTTCATTGAGGTAAATGAGACACCAAAATACTAATTTGAGGAAGTTTAAACATCCTCTTTGAGGGTTGCCTTCATGCATCAAAAGGAAAGTACAGGCTGTGTAGAGTAACATGTGTGTTGGATTCTGCTGGGGTGATTTAATGTTAAGAGCAGCCTACACAGAAATAGCAAAGAGGAGGAACGGCACTTTGTTGTTGTTGAACCATGATAAACATTCAAACTAGTTGAGCAGCATTTTTATTCCCGAGTTTATCACGTCCTTAGGATTAACCCTTAATGGGTTTAGTCTCAGAAAAACAAAAGGGTTTGGCACATTTATCTGCACAAGAGGGACATTTGTAAGGAGTTATGCCATCAATTTGACATCTACTCCCAGGTTACACAAACTCAGCGCTGGAACCTGACCACAAATGGATGAATTTCTATAAATTCAATAAAACCAGCCTGCACCAGCTGTGTTTGTAGTCCATGAAAAACATGCTTCACAATCCATTTTCCTTCATCTCAGTGGGGGAAACCTGGTAAATGTGCATTTGTGTTTGGTCAATAAGCTCTTGGGCCTCACATAACAGGCCATCAGCAGCCATCACAACATTTCTGGGCTTTCCTGTTTATCTTCCAACACCAGCTTTCACCTGCTTTGTGATTAAAGCAACATCATTACACTCGGTAGCCTCTCCAGCTTAGCTTCTACATCACAACAATTTTATCCTACGTAAGGGAAGATCAGGAACATACATCGGGGGGGAAACTCGATGAACCTCAGCTTGAACAGAGAAACATTGTGAGCTTTAGTGAACGGGTTCCCTCTTGATATAACACCAGTAGGGGTGGGAGAAAAAATCCATACAGCATAGTATCGCTATATTTTGTCTGGTGATGTATTGTCTCATTGACCAAGTACTGATTTTTTTAAATGAACTGTTAATATGAAGTCAAATCTATGATAATGGAAGAATAAAATCAGCTGTTTGTCCAGTGAAGATGGCAGAGGTGACATCATAGAGCAGGACAAAGTTAGTACAAGGTTGCTAATATAAGGTTTGCAAGATGTGCTACATGAAAAGAAAATACTGTGTAAATAAGACAAACATAAAGGAAAGCCAAATGCTAAATTAGCTAAACAGTTTTAAAAACATCACAATATATTGTATCCCAATACTCACTGTATTGCAAAATGTCAAAAGTAGCAATAATATCGTATCGTGGCCCAAGTATCGTGATAATATCGTATCGTTGGGCCACTAGTGATTCCCATCCCTAAACACGAATGAACTTCTGGGTTCAGACATTGTGTTGTGGTTCATGGCTTTCCTATATTATCAATGTGATGATCAAACATGACGTAAAACATGAATGTAGTGAGGGTGACGTCACCTAATTGTTAAATTACAGTAATCAAAAGACCTTAAATGCATTATTGCTGATTTGAACTTTGTTTTTGTTTTTTTGCAGCACATAATATATTAAATACTTTTGGGCGAATAAATGCTTCAGCAAGAGCTTGACATCTAAACAGTTAATGCAGAATTTATTCCTCAATCCTATACTTAGTGTTCTTGTTCTGACTATTTGTTTATTTCATTTGACCTTAATTTAACCAGGTAAGTCCCGTTGAGATCAAAAATCACTTTTCCGAGGGAGACCTTGCCAAGGCTGGCAGCAACCCTGAGTTTCAACAACAAAACAATCACACATGCAGTAGAACTAAAAAAAAAAAAGAAAAAAGTTTTACAGTTGAAAATCAGACAGGAAATAAGTTCAGAATACCTAAAGCTTCTTTATCAACAAAGCTTTGACTCTTGGAACAACAAATTGCACAGTGTCCAATGAAAAGGAGGTTGTGAGCTCCACCCTTTGTGGTACAAAGGGAGGAAAGATAGTCTGGTATTTTGCCTAGAATGGCAAAGTGCACAGCAATAAATGACAGAGTCATCAGCAAAGAAGTGAACAGCAGTGTTTGGGCCGATCGTCAAAGACAATTTATGGAAAAAGTAAATAGCAGTTGGCCCAGAACTGATCCTTGTGGTTCTCCCTTGTGAACTTGTAGCACACATGAGGTAGTACCTTCTAATTTTATAGCTTGGACTCTACTAGTTGGTATGTTTACATGTTGCTCATATATTAAATTTAATATAACAATAAGGATGTCATAATAAAAGTCATAAAAACGTACCTTTTTAGTCTTGCTTTTCACTAAATTTTATATCATTATCTCTGTCTAAGTGTTTTAGCATTTAACTCTTTATAACAGGATCGTCTTTTATTGAGCTATTTTGGTGCTCTTATTTCAGTATCTTTTACTGTTGTTTTTATTTCATTCTTTGTTTCTTTGTTTTTTAGATTTTAACATAAACCTCCGGTGTTTCCATATCTTGAGTTTTAAAATGACGTTTCCTCAGTGCGCACATTCCTGTTTCCACAGAATCAAGCCCTTTTTAAGTTTATTCATTTTAATACTGTTTTTGTTGCAATTAGATCGTGGGGTGGGAATGAGGGGTTGGGCTGGGGTTGATTTAGGTATTCTTTTAATCTTGGGTTGGGGTAAATTTGGGTATTTGTTTCTTTTATTCCTTTTTCTGTGTGAAGCACTTTGTGCTACATGTTATGTATGAAAAGTGCTATATAAATAAAGACTGATTGATTGATAATAGTTTAATTTTGTCCAACTGAAACTGCACTTTTTAAAACTCATGTTAAGACTGAACTTCTCATAGTCCGACAGTCATACCTAGATGATACGGTTCGAGATTGATTTTATCTTCTGTGTCTACACCTCAACCAGAGGGAAACTGGCCTTGACCCTGTGTGCATGCTCCAGTGTTTCGTCCGGAAGTTGAATAGCATTAGTGCATTGCTAGGGAAGCTGAGAGGTAAACAGAAGGAGAAGGAGTCTAAAAAATGATGAAGTTTTATTGTACGTACAAAACATACAGAGCTTTAAAAGTGAAGGTTTTTGCATTGTTTTGCCACTTGCTAACATGTTTGTTCTGGCATGTAATAGATCAACCAGGAGATAACCAAGTGGTAACAAGTTGAAAGAAGGCATGTTGCCACCGACTGTAGCAGATGTGGACATGCTTCTGCCTGTAACTTGGTTTTCACATCATCCTTGTAAATTGGGACAAACACAGTAGTCCATTTAAATTGCCCAATAAGGCTAAAACCGTAGCTCAACTTAACTGGGCATGAAAACATACTGACTGGGTTATTTGGGAAATCACCCAGCTGTACGCTCTGAAAACCTGATAGCTTTGCGACATTCAAGTAAGATGCTGTGGTCAACAGAGTCAAGAGCCTTGGGAAAGTCCAAAAATCAGGGACAAGCAACACTGCTTACCATCTCAGGCTTCAAGAATGGCATTTATAACCTAAATGGCAGCAGTGTTACAGTCCCTATGACACAGTCAACCCTCACACAGGTGAAGAAATGAGGCAAGCAGAGTGTATACAAACATAAACACTGAGTCCACCCATGTGGGCTTGGCTGACAGGAATAACACTGGCTGTGGTTCTGTAAGTGACATACCTCCAGCTACAACCTGTATGTCTACATTCACTTCAAAGAGGCACTCATGTTTATTGGAAAGGCATGATCATTATTCAGGAGAATAACCAACAACAAAATATTCAGCTATCAGACTAAAACTGTGCCTCTGTGGAAAGATTAGTTCAATGAGGCCAAATTTAGATGTTCAAGTCTTTCAGTTTTGTGTTAAAAGTCTCTCTCTTTTCATTCATACAAAACAGAAACTTTCAATGACAATATATATGCCTATACATATGAACAGAGTCCAACCAGTGACTGAGGCAGTCATTATAAGAGATGCTGAAGCTGCAGTATGATCACAGCCTTAGTCACACCTTTATACACACACACACGCATGCACACACCCTTTCAGTAAACAACAAAAATACAGGTGGAAGAAAAACAGAAGTCAGTCTAAACCGCACACCTGTAGACAAGGTCAGCCTCCTGCACCTCCTGACCCCCCCTCCCCACCTTTCTGTGTGACGTCCGCTTGAGGATCGAGCCTTCAGTCACCAAAGAGGAAGAAGAAAAAGCAGCAGCGACAGCAAAGCAGAGCCAGACCGCTCAGAAACACAGCCCGATGCCTCCACAGGCTCTCCATTACAACCCGCCTGCCGTCTCAGTGTCTTCAGGCTTGTCTTCTTTTTTCTCAAAGCTTACAAACTCCCCTAGCTATACTCATCTCACGCACACGCTTGGCGGCGGCAATGTATGCCTCGCAGAGGAGGGAGTGAGGAAGAGACCACAAGATAGAGAGTGGGGAGTGAAGGATGTGGATCATCATGAGAAGACTTACAAAGAGGGAGGAGTATGTAAGCATGTATGACAGTATGTTATCAGTCATTCCCATTTTAAGAAACGTGGGTGTCTTTGATCATGAATTCTCAGTATGAATGTGTCACCTGGACATTTATTTCTCCAGCACTATGCAAACAAATAAGTAGGAATAAGTTATTACTAGGGATGCACTGATTCGCTTTTTCCACCTCAGATTCAGATACAGATATCTACAGTTTAGTACCAGCCGATACTGATCCAATTCTGATACAGAAAAGCCGTGATGCATGTTAAATTGTGGATGCCACTCACGGCGCATAGCATAGAGTTAGGTCATGTTCACACCTAAAGGTCCATTTCCGAGTTCGAATCCAAAGCAAGACGATACCTTTGTTTTAATTGTTTAACTGGTCCGGTTTGCGTTCACAAAGGACAAACTCAATCGCTCCAGAAAACGGAACCGGAAGTCACGTGATCGCGAATATCGCTCGGTTATTCGACATTAGTTTATGTGGGAATACAAACCCCTCTCTGCTGTCTTCACCTGTCATGGAGCATTGTAGGCTGATTTTGCTTTTGCTACTCATCTGGAGCGTGTATCAAAAGACGTTAGTCGGTCGCGCGTATGAACAGCTTGTTAACCAGCGAGCACGAACTGGCGGACCAGAGTTTGTTTATTTGGTCCACACCAGAGTTCGAGGTCAGCGTTCACACCAACCCAAACGAACCGCACCAAGGGGGTAAACGCTCCAGGGTTCGGCTCAACCGGACTAAACGAGGGTGGTGTGACCACGCCCTTAGACTGAATAGATTAGCCCCTATGCATAGGGCCCATTGTCACGATACCCGATCTAGGATTTTCTTCAGTATCGGGACCAATACCGATATCAAATATCGGATCAGTGCATCCCTAGTAATTACCCCTTTTCATAACTTAATGCAGGTGCTTGTGTCATACTCCCTGCTAGCTGATGCAAAAATAAAATTTCTGTTCACAAAGATTAATCTGGAATAGATTTTAAAGAAACTCAAAGAGAAGGATATTCAACTTTTAAATGAAATACAAAGTCAGTGAATGACATTTCTGTCCTCCTGTCTCCTCTGGTTACTGCAAATGCTCGTTTGCGAAGTTGAAGCACCAAAGTTCAAGTGCCCATCATCTATTTTGACATTGCAGAAATTGCTCTGGAAGCAACATCAGCATACAGGCTGTACCTCTTAAGGTCCAAGCAATGAGATTTTGCAGACAAGCAGCTGCGTACAGGCCATACATGATCGCCATCAGCGCTGCCAAAAGTCTGACAGCTTTGTAAAGCACACCTGGACTGTACTTTGGGCAAAGAGTTCTTTCTATTGTACTTGTCTGAACTAGAAAGGTGCTTGTTTAATCTACTGCAGAACTCCTCCTGCTAGTTGGTACCAAAATGCAGACCCAGTGAAGACCCCAATTGCTGCTCTACAACCTGGGTGTGAACAGAGACAGGTGACAGATGGTATCTCAGAGAGTATTTTGATCTTGACAGTGGAGATAAAGTTGTACCAGAGCTGTGTCTGGTTAACTCGACCCGAGAAATATGTGTAACCAGCACAGATGAGTACTGAAGGCTGGTGGTGCTAGCTCTGCTAACATTAGCCATACTCCGTCAACCATCCCTGAACAGACCCTTTCAGTTCATATACAGCTTGATTAGGCGACTGACTGGGCTACTGTTCTTGGCCCAGCATACAAGCATTGGGCAAAAATCAGTCGATTGACAAATGCAGGTCCAATACAGACCTACATAATATGGAGCAATAGTACCCCTTTTTACTTAGATACGATAAAATCATACCCTTGGTTGTCCTATTACGCCACATTATACCAACAGACAAGTTAGCAGGGGGCCATGTGAAAACACAGACCTCTAAGTCAAAGCCTGGTGTGTATGAAGAGGAGCAAAGGCTAGTGATGGGCACAGGAGTTCTTTTAGATACACTGAATCACTAGGATCAGTTCACTAAAAAGATTCATTTAAAAGATTCATTCACCAAATCACTGAATCATTTAGCGCTTGGCAGGAAAAGCCTGCTACTCCGACCTCCTGAACTGATACACAGCTGAACGTTTCAGGATTCAGTTCAATTCATAGCTTCTGAGACCGGGAGACGAGAGTATTTGGCTGTGTTGCTTTGGCAAACAGGTTTGTATAAATGAACTTTTATAGTTCATGATGTTTTAGGTGTACTGTCCTATAGTATGCTATTTATCAGGTCTGCTCAGTAAATTGGGCTAAGTGAGTGATTCGTTCACTGAACGTTTAGAAGAATTCACGCTGAACATGCACCATTCCCTCGCAAACCGCTGTTATGATAGGATGCTGCGGGTTTAATGCACTACTTGTTACATGCTGTGTCCTATTGTATGCGAGATGTTGTGGTGGCAATTTAGCAGTAAAAAAAAGGTAGTTTTGTCCGACAAAAATGATTCCTGAGAGTGTAGTCCAATGCGTGATTCATTCACCAAGTGATTCAGATGTCGGTGCATGGGGTCCCTTGTTCGCCAGCTGCTGGCCCAGCAATGCTGTTTCTAACTTCAGCTCAACTGAAGTGAGAAACCTACAAATCACTCGAGGAAGTGATTCGGTTCAGTATGTTCACTTCAAAGATTTGGTTCTTTTGAACGAATCGTTCGCGAATGACACAACACTGGTAGGGGCACAACACCTTGGCCAGTTTGGGTCCACATGAGGTGTACATGTGCATTTATCTAGGTATGTTAGTCCAGCTTTAAGAAACTTCTTGCTATTTCAGATGGACTAACATGTGAGCATGTATTTTAAAAGTCCAGTTTTAGCCGAATAAACACAATGATCAGTTTTAAGTGGTCTTGTGTTCTGCTGCTTTCTGAGTGTTGTCTTACCTTGGTTGGTTACTTGGAGTTTACCTACCTGACACATCCTCAGCCTTGGCCTATTTGAACTACGAGGGGTCAATAAAGACATTATTAGGCAAGCTCGGCAGAGGGAACTCTACTTTCATTCTCTACTTTTCATTCATTCAATGCTAGTAACTATACTGGGCACGTTGGGGAGAGAAGAAATGCACACTGGGACTAGGCCTTCATGTCCAACAACAGTGACCCTGATCTGTACTGTCTTGGCTGAACAAGCACAAATATATATTCACAGACTGACACCAGAATCTTGTAGAAAGCCTTTGCATAAGAGTAACAGTAATTGTTGCAAGAAAAGGTTGAAATTGTTTCATGCAAATTTCCAGCATTGATTTTACTCAAAGTTAATGCAGCAACTTGATCATGACGTACACAAAAACTGTACAAACTTTTGGTTAAAATCCCCTTCAACTTCTATCAATTCTCGCCCCTTTCTCGGTTGATATCCTGCTCAAAATGTTAAGACCCTTGTGCGAGTGGTGCTTGATGTTTAAATTAATATGACAGCGAAAGGCTAGAGCTCAATATAAAGGGATAAAGTTGTACATTCAATGGCATTCTTGCTGACATAATTTGAGTATCATTTAATGTGAGCAAAGACAAAACAACACTGCTCACGCACACAAGTGTAACCACCCCTCCCTGATGCAATCAGTTAGTACATTCCATGTGAAGCTGCTCAGTCACTGTTGCTAAGGCCCACCCACTTGAATATAGGGCATGACCAAAGAATGTATATAGGCTCAGTCAATCAGGGTAACAGTGCACCCGCTGACTCCTGGATTACACTCATACACGGTGTGTGAAACTTTGTATGAGGACACTGTCAGATTAAATGTAACGTTAAATCATCTCAAGTCACCGTGTGCAGCTTTAGGTTTAATTGAGCAGCATTTGCGTCCCACTGTGGAGACGTATCACGCTGAGATTTGTGGAAATCTGTCAGCATGAGGCCTCCAGAGTTTACATATAATTCAATCAGTGAAAGGACTGATTTGCCGCCATTAGTCCATTAAGAAGCAACTACAGGTATGAGTGTTAAAACTCCAATAAATCTGGGTTTTTCTAGAGTCAGTGGACATTGATATTGTTGGTTATTATTGACCTGTGATCATAATGCCTCACACAGACCTTCAGTTGTGCACAATAATTTAATTCCCCTTATTTTGGGAACTGCAGCAAAAGTTACGCCCCCAAAACAAATATCAGCCCGTCTGCATGCACAATTGATCTAATCCAAATTAATCAGATTATAAATGAAGAGGGCTGTCTCAGAGAGAGACACAAGGCTTTTGGCAAGTGCGTCCAAAATGAACTGTTACAACTTTGGCTTGAGCTAAAACGCAGACTCTGTTATAAATTATTTAACCGCTTTAACATTGTTTCTAAGATAAATCAGGACAGTAGAAATGAGGTTATGCTTATTTCCCACAGCTATGTAGAACAGTAGAAAAAAACAGGCTTTACTGAAATATACAATATACATTGTAGTGTTATTTTGTTTGTTATCATCTTAGCACTTGCTGTGAGTCTGCTTATTTATTTATTTTTTGCATAAATGTATTTTTGCGCACTTTATCTTGTTCTTTGGTTGTTTTATTTGTTTTTATGTCTCAATGTACAGCCCTTTGGCTACCCCCGTGGTTCTTTTAAATGTGCTATAGAGATAAAGTTGATTGATTGATTGATTAATACAGGTGCAACCCATGTGCTTACTGTGTGTTTTTGCCTGTGAGCCGCATCAAAGAGAAATTTTCCATTGCATGTTTTTTTTCTGAAACTTACATGTGCAGAGTTTCAGGTGCAGGCGGAGCGGCGATGAAATCCCACGCTACTGTGTGCACTTTTGAGCATTTCAGATCTGTTCAGCCTCTCTATCAGACCACACATACGCCAAACCAGACAAACAAGTTATCAAACAATTCCTGTTTATGAAGCAAATCACACACAGAAGCAGCAGTTTGTCAGTCTGTTGTCAATTACTGTAAGTGTTATTTATCTGCCTAATTACATCACACCGGGTAATGAGTTAGGTAAGAGTTAATGCACTCAGAGGCACTGGCTTCAACATCTGCAAAAACTAAGGATGCACTTTTGGTAGAAATGAAATGATCTGGGCTGCAACTGCAGGAACAGATCTTTTCTTAAAATATTCTGCAGTCTTTTGGGTGATATAATGACAAATGGATAAAAGATCTTCCTCATAACTGAACCACAACAACTGACTAATTAGCACTATGAAATATGCTTGTTAAACTTTTAAAATCATAATTTCTTCTTTGAAATATTTAACCACCAACGACAAAAATCTCAAGTTGTTCAATTTTCGTTATAATGTAAAGTCAAATAAAAACTGGAAAGGGCACTAAAGATTATTACTCTAACTACCTTTGGGTTTAATTAACAAACAGATATATTGATTTAAAAATAAATCAAGATGACAACGCTGCCTCAGTCATTTTAGGTAAAACAACAGTATTTAATAGTTTCATGTGATCTCAGCTTTTCTTTGATGTAGTGTGTACAAGACATTAGTCATCATAAGAGCCTGTCTGATACCTTCAGCCTGTCCCCTGCTGTGTGTCCTGAGTAAAGATACTCATATCTTTGTTAATATAGACAGCCCCTGCTCATTACAGCTGATCAGGAGGATTGTGTCAGCTGATTCCAATAAATCAACGCTTTGACAAAATAAAATCATGATCTGTGTGTGTTGTCTTTGTTTTTAGGGGCATAGAAGACAGAGGGTTAAATGCTGCTCAATGATAAATGCTCTTTTTGAGCATGTGGTGTTTTTGAGGCTAAAATCTGTTATGTAAATAGCAAGACCTGAGAAAAACAGAATAAAATAGACTCTTTATTGTAGGGCCCGACCAATATGGATTTTTGGGGGCCAATGCCAATACTGATTATTAGGGGAAAAAAAATTTGATTACCGATTAATCTGATGATTTTTCAAAATTTTTATGAAGTTTTAAAAACTAAATATATACTGTAGATATACTATACTGTAAGCTACTGCTCTTCACACCGACAGGAAGACAGGCGGATCAAACTCAGACCAGAAAAGCATTTTCAACTAGAGAAGTAGCTCGATCACGCAATGTGTACTGTTGTTTATTCTACCGTTACTGGCACGGCTAACAGTGTAGCAAGGCTAATAGCAAGGTGGCTAACTCTAACTTTAGCTTGCATATTACGTGGTGCTTCACCATTAACTCGGCGTGACCGAGACAAGCACAGCGGGGAACATCGTGAAGTGGGTTAAACTGAAACTTGTTGACTTATTGTGCATTTCACAAACTAGTTTATTTACTAATGAGGAGAACCACTCTCCTCCGGGCGTCACTGAGCTGCCTGCTACAGATCTGTCACTCTGCTGTGCTGTGAGGTAGTTAGTAGATGAAGATTGTCATGAGGTCGCTGCGCCATCTACAGGATAAGTCTGGGATCTTTTCAAATGGCAGAACATTTTCAAAGTGAAACCGAATTTTATTCTCCGCATTTTATTTCTGAAAATATCGGCGAAAATTGGCGAGTTTTGGCCGATCACCTATTATTCTTAAACGGGCTAAAATTGGCAGGCCCTACTTTAGTGTCATTGTAGTATGGAAAACACAATTAAAAATGCCTGGCTGTGTTTGAATCTGTCAATTCAACCTCTTTTCACATTGAACCCAGTCTGTGCGCCGCTTAACTAGCAAAATGTTGTAAGCTTTGCCCGAGTTTACTTTGAATTATGCGATTTGGATTGCTAGGGAGTAGGAGTCAGACAAAGTGAGTAACTGCACGCTGTCAAAGTAGACATTTTTCTACACAGCAACAAGAGGGCAGGAGATTTTCAATTACAAAAACACTTTACATGTGCAAGAGAGGAACTGGACATGCATCAGAGGTGTTTTTTGTCCACAGGGGGGCACCAGAATAAGCACAAACTAAAAGTTCCATACAGCAGCTTTAATTGAAATTGTCTTTTCCCTCTGAGTTAGTTATGAGATACTAAAACATCATTAGAAACCATCAGCAATTCAAACATGTTAAACACAAACCCACAGAGCTCTATCCTCATCACATCTTACATGCCGGGGAAAACATTAAGAGGTGAAGAATACAAACATACCTGCTGCTTCACGGGTTTAAACTTGTAAAAACACAGGTGTGGTCCTCTATGTTTCCCTGCCCCCTGACTCAAAACCACTCCATTTCTGTCCATTGTTTCCCTCCATCTGTGTCCACCCAGATCCAGGATGTTTACCAAGAGCGAGAAATAACCTTGGAGTGCACACAGCTCCACACACGCTCTACTACATTTAGCCAAAAACCCTTGGAGTATAGAATACATAGAGCAGACAGTGGTGAGCTCCAGCCTGCCTGAAGTCATTTTCTTCTCTGTGTAGCAATGGCAGCAGAAAAGTGTGAGCTAGCAGAGGATGCATAGGGAGATACTCCCGACTATCATGCAATATGTATAACCTTAATGTAAAAAGGCAGTACTTGTCCATAGAACTGGAGCTGTGCTTTCAGAGTCTTTTGAGGACACAGAAAAACTACGCCTCCCTGTCATCCCAGAAATAGCGACAAAATGCACCTCCATATTGGTGAAACGATGACTCTCTTTTTTATATTACAGCGTATTATGTAATCTATTTAGACAGGCACGTCGACATATCTGCTTTTCTCAGCTGCTCTGCGTGTCTTTGCTCACCTAATTTTTCACAGCCCATTTTCAATCTCAAACACGTTCACTGCCAGACTGATAAATCCACATGAATATTCATCATTTATTGAACTCCAGCGGTCTCTGAGCAATTTGGAGTGTGAGTGTGGGTGTGCGTGTCCTCATTTCAACCCGTGGAGCGCTGAGGGAGGCCTTGTCGGCTGTGCTGGGATGTTCAGAGCTGTGCAGCGGGTTTGGGGCTGAGAGTGCACAGCACAGGGGAATAATGCAGCAAAGGCAGCCAGAGAAGGGTATTATCTTTCTTCATTCTCCATCTTCGCTGCTAATTTAGCCTGAACTAACTGCTCCCCTTCTAAATTAAACTAACAGACTATTAAGTCTTTGTTGAGACAGATTGGAGTCTCTCAGATTCAGCTGTTACTGCCTTTTTGACACTGGATGATCAACCTTTTCCTCTTGTAACTTCTGTCACCAAAGACCTTTTCTTACAATCATTCAATCATGCAATGTAAGGTTTTTAAGATTGATCACTTTTTTCTTTACTGGTCTTTATTTAACCTCAGCGTGCTCTGCAAATCACAGAAAAAAAGCTCCAACAAAGGTCAGTTTTCAAACAATAAAAGCCCTTCAACAGAAAAACCCACACTGAATTTTCACACTTTAAATCATACGGATCAACATAGTGATGCTTTTGCAACTGTAATGGCACTCTTGTAGCACTCATCACTTATTCACTTGCAGCTGGTCCATTTCAAAACAATCATATTCACCGTCATACCTCTGAAACAGTCAGATCAAATAAAAGCTTTGAAATTCAGTTTATAACAGGATAAAATAAAATAAGGTATTTTTATGGAGATTTGGATGCTCGTCCTCACTCCTTAGTGTGAATATTGTGAAAGGAGGCAAATGCAGAGTGAAAATGAGGATGTTGAGCAGTCAAAAGCACACTATTTGTTCTGCTTTTAAGGAATTTTACACAGTGAATCCCTGCTTTTTTCAGAGCGCTTTCTGCAATCAGATAAAGTAACAACATAAAGAAACTTTGTGCACTGACTGTGATTTTTTATTGAGGAAATTTGCGATACAGAAAATGAAATCATCGAGTAAAGGTGTCGTGTAGTTCTTCTAAGTGCATCTCCTGATTCATAGAAGCCCCTGACACAGAACTTTGTTGACAATTTCAATCCCCAGGTATGCCGACAGGATTCATTCAGATCTAATGTTGAAAAAAATGAAGTGAAATGGGTTTTTCTACACATCCATAATGTCCCACACACTCAGTCTAGGTCCATGCAGTCAATGGTTTGGAGTCAGATAGCCATCCTATTTGTAAAAGAAAGTATTTATAGGGAGGACTTAACTTTAACTGGACTCAGATTCTACTCTGATGACTCAGACTTGAACTCTAAGACCAAACTCAGATTTGCGATTTGGTGGCCGTACAACAACACGGGTATGACAGCAGATTTCTCTTCACCAGCTTCAATAACAACAACCTCATTTATTTGGGATTGTTACCAGATAAAACCAATTAATCAGATGGCATTTTCACATAAATGGCTCTGCTTCTCTCAAGGCTGATATCAAGTATCTAATGCTTCCAACCTGATATGATGAAAGGATTTTCTTGCTTTTCTAACATTGATGTTTGATGATTTAATCTTTGACTTGCAAATCTTTTCTTTAAATCATCTGGTGCATTTTCATTGTTCTCCAAGAGATACTGAAAACAGCTGAGAGTTGCAGCCCTGGAAGCAACAAAGCACGGCTCAAACACACCCAGACTCAAAATGTATGTGCACACATTAAATCTTTGGCTTATTTTCAGCCGAATACAGCAAAATAACCAGCTCTTGAGGTCTTATCCTGCCTCTTCTACTCGCCACACTCTCTCTAAATACTGACCTCAGTTCACCTCTGCCATCCTACAAACATGGCCCTGAGCCTCGGTTAGAAGCTCACACACTAAAATAATAAATAAAGCAGGAGTATTTTCACTCAATAAAGTAACCTGATAAGAGTATTCCAGGAATATTCAGTGAGAGGATTGAATAATAAACAAAGTTAGACACTGTTGGTTCTGCAAGACAACCAGCCAAAGTACACAACAGCCTGCAACGCTATATTCACCTGTGGCTTAAAAGTGAAACCTGCTTCAGCGTTACTCACTTGATCTAGGGCTCCAGTGGGTGAGTCATGTGGTGGCTGTGGTGGCCTCGTCCAGGGCTCAGAGCGAAGATAAAGGGAGGAAGGAGAAGGACTTGGGGTCAGATCAGAGATGGGTGAGCAGCTGGGAGACGAGATGATGGAGCAGTGGTGGTGGGGTTAAGGCTCCACAGCCGCTCTGTCACATGGCACCATCCCAGGTGCAGGGAGAAGCCTGCTGGCCTCTGACTGGGAGGAGAAAACGGAGAAAGGAGAAATAAGAGAGCGTTAAAATCAGCATGCAGGGCGGTAGATTTTGTCAGGTGATGCTGCGTAGACATTACACTGAGGAGAGTTGACTTTTCAGGGAAGTTAGTGACAGTTTATGAGATTGGTCCACATCTTGTGTGGAAGTGGCGCACAAAGTAGGAGGAAGCAGAAGTTGTGTGATGTTGAAGATAAGATGATGATGTACTTTTAATCATCGAAGTCTCTGGTTTGTCACAGAAACATCTTTCCCTACAGACATATTTGATTAACTGTAAGGGGAGAAACAAACGAGAAATAATATCTAAAAAAAACCCAGTTCTTTTCAATCATGACCTGATTTTTATAAATGATCCAAACTCAGGTATTTGAGATTTTTACTGAGAGTGATCAGCTGATGTCAGTCATTTCTTTTGAGACAAATTAAGATTTACCAAATCTTAGTATCAGTAAAAAAGTGACTGTCTGGGACACAGCTTCCCAGGGTGAATATCACACTTTAATCACAATATAATGATCACAGATGAGCAGCATCTACATCCAAACTTTAAGGATGTCATCTTGCACATTAATTTGCCTTCAGTGATGCACATAAAAGCAGCTGCATGTGTGACGTCTCTTCCTGCTTTTTTTGTTCTCTTATAGATGTAAATTTCAGCACAAGGATTCAGGTTTTGTGCATTAGATTTTAGAAACTGTAAAGTCCAACAAGACGGTGAGATTCCTGCCACATTCACAGTGATCCTTGTGTCACACAGCAAATGTTTGCATGGTTTCTATTACAGGATGTGTTACATCAGACAGAGCAACGCTGGTCTAAAGTTTAGACTACACTGTAGTTCACCCTCTCCTTCTGCACAGTTATCAGGTGTTTTAATAATAATAATGTGGGCTGGTGTGTGTTAACTAGGGGGAGGGGACTCTATAGCTTAAGCCTGATGTACCCAATTAGAGCTCACTGACAACCTTAATGTGTTTCTTCCAATGCATAACAATTCCCAGCGTTAGACTCCGAGTGTGAGACGGATGAAGAGTAATTAAAGACCTACGTTTCCAGCAGGCTGTCATCATTAGACAGATTATCCCACATAGCTATAAACTGTCAGTGCTGGATGCTTTAACCAACAAGAGCTCAGACACATATCCAGTTTAATAGTCAGTTTTCCGCACACATACACACACACACAGAGCAGACAGGAGCAGAGCAGTCTGCACACTGATTCATCTTCTCCTGATGTTTGTGTTTCTTGACAAGACATCGGCCTGATATGCGCAGACAGTTGGCTGGTTAGCTACACAGCAGGTGGGACGGACTGAACTCACTCAGATCTACAGACTGTTCTGTCAACTTCCACAGCTTCAGCTCCGGAAATCATAACAGTTGTCAACAAACAGAACCGAGGACACACATCAGTGCGCCTACTTTTTTTTTTTTTCTTCAGTCTGTCTGTCTAATAGGAGAAACCTTTAAATTTACTACGACATACCCAGAGGCTGTGAGACTCCTGCAGTCGAGAGACAGCAGTTCAAGTTTTATGTGTATAATGTGGAACTTTTTACGTCACAGTTTTACAGGACTGTTTTGTCTTATACTGTTGTTAATGGAAATACAGACATATCTGAGTATTACAATACAGTTAATTAAAACACTGAGTCAGTTGTCAACAACTATGTCCATTTCTTACAACCCTAACCTCAGAAGAGCCAGGACTAGGGATGCAAATTTAAAGTATTCTTCATGTTGGGAAATATTCAGACTCGAATCCTGAACTATAATTTTCTTAAAACAAAAACAATATCAAATGTGTTTTCTCCCTTAAATCGTACGACTTAAAGGTCAAATGACGTAATGTGAAATTGCTCCAACAAGAGACCACGAAAACTAAACTTTTTCAGACAATGTTCAAATTTCTGCATACTTGTTGTTCTTGAGAAAAATAAGCACGTCTACATATGTTGTAAAGGAGTTTAGTCATATCATAATAATACTTGTATACATCACACCCAAGGCAACGGCTGAAGTTCCATGTGATGTTCTCTGTGCACACCAAGGAGGGTCGAGGCCATTCTAAAAAAAAAAAAAAACGGTGGTGGATGGCCATCAGACTTCTTTATTCTTCTATAAGTAGTAGATGAGATTCCAGACAAAGTAATCGAGTACTCTATCGATTAATCTGTCGATTAATCGAGTAATCGGATAAGAAATGTTTTGCTCTCACTGTAATACTTTGCATTGAATCACGTTTGCCTCATTAAAAACCATCAGTAACACACAAAACTGAAATAGGCCAGGTCTTTCAAATGAATATTTTTACTGCATAAATCAGGAACCAAAAGTTTTACATTTTACCATGTAGTTCACATGAAACTACTGAAGGCAAGGTCTGCAGATGGTCTTTTAATTGCTATGGTAATGATCTTTGCAGTTTTCACTAAACCAGTCACAACTATTTCCAGGCTTTGGATCTAATTTTACTTGTTTAATTAATAGGCTGAAATAATATAATTCTTGGATACTAACATAATTTGACAAGCAAATGTACATTTATTCAATATATAAAAGTGTTACATTTTTATTTACATGTTGTTGTGTGTTGGTCATTTTGCAGCCCTCTGCTGCTCATCACACGCCTAGCAGGTGGTGTATAGCATTATCACCATGGATACACGGATGTTTGTGTGATTTTTTTCATCCACTGCCGCCCGGTTTGTGTCGTGTAGATGTTGATTATGAAAACACTTCGCAATAATTTGGAAACGTGAAGGGGGAGCTGCTGCTGCCCAGTGTTTACGGTAAATAGACGCAAACACCGACCAAGTGGACGCTTCGGTCTCCGAAAACGCCGAGACAAATTTACAAACAGCCACTATTTCAAACAACTGGGCTCATAATCGTGATGTAAACACTTACTTTCTCGCTAGAAAAAATATTATTATTGAATGAATTTATATAATTTGTCCGGTATGCAGTCGTTCTATGTAGCTTGTGGTAGGACTATTTAAATTTTCCCGGCGCTGCGTCCGGCCGGCACGAAATGCATTCTGGGGTATTTAGTATGTATGTGTGTAAACGCTCGGGCAGCCGCGGCATACTCAAATCATCTTTGAGTAGTCAGTAGGCAGTAGCTACTGCTTGAGTAGGTAAGTAGATAGCAGGCAGTATGCCATTTCGGACACAGCTTCTGTCTGTCCTCGTTTCCCTCCATGATTGAACCAAACGCGCGGCAGCGGAAGGAGCGGAAAGAGCACGCTTCTGCGCAACAGAAATAACCATCCGTGTCAAACACCGTGCGCTGCACATGGTTCCGGATTTAAACGATTCCTCGAGGCATATAATTTGCCTCGAGGAATTTTATTAATCGAGTTACTCGAGTTACTCGAGTAATCGTTTCAGCCCTATTCCAGACAAACAAAATTTCCTTTGGGGATACTTTAAAACTGCACAGATGTTGCTGGTATGTTGAGATACTGTCGTGCTAGCTATGCCAGTCGGGTTAATCTCTCTGCATGTTCTTAAAAAGTTTGTGTCCATTCTCAGCCAGTTGGTTATGATTTATCACAACTGTGATAGTCCAACAATACAGGACACCATGCATTGTTTATCTCCACCTGATCAAAAAATCGAACAAAACACGCATGTTCGAGTTTGGTCTTGACAGATTTTAGCTGCTTTATTTAATTGAAAATAGTGCAAAAACAACAAATGGCATCTTGAACTGAAATTTTCAATTATTTTTATGGAAAATATAAACTCATTTAGAACTTAACGTCTGAATGTATGTAAAAAAGGCTCATGGCTGTTGTTGTTTCCATTTGCCTATACCCTCCAGTGAGGGACAGTGACTGTCTCCAGTAAGGTAAATAATGAAGGGTTAAGTTCAAACTGAAGAGGTTCAGTTTAGTTCAGTTCAGAGTTTTGTCTATGTCATAACAACAATCTGCCACTGACCTGTGTTCAAAGGAGCCTGAAAATCCATTAGACCTTGTGTATAGACCAAAACACTTTGACAGTGACCTGGAACAAGACCTGCACTCTGTGGCTTTTTCTGTTTCCTACACAAACGAAAACAAACTTTGAACTGAGGAACATGAGGTTGAAAATACAAGCAATTGTAAAGCATAGTTCCTCTACCTCTGTTCAGTTAATAACACTGCAGTTAGCCTGGTTTATTTAAAGTGTTGTTGCAGCCTGGTTATAAATGACTATCTAGATCTATTATAAGTCTCTCAATGCTTTTAATGGTGGGCAGACCACTCAGTCAGATTCGGCTTTAACTTGTTCAGCTCAACATATTCAAGAGTGGTTCAGCCGCAAGATGTATATTACCTTTTCTGGTGGTGTTCATATTAAAAGCACTGCTATGTCTGCATCAGTGATTACATTGAATCTAGGTGTGTATATTTCACTTATTGAAAACAGGACAATAATATCACAAGACACTGGCCTTTTTTCTAGGGACAGACTGATTGACTGTTTACAGACATTTGTTTACCACCCAGCCTACTTCTTCGTAATTAGGCAGTTCAACTTCCAGGTCAAAGCCCTGTGAGTGAAATTTGGAGTATGTCCAGAAAGTTTCAGCCAGTTTGTGGCTAAAGAAAAAAAAACAACAACCCCTTACTGCATCATCTGGGCAAGTCCAACTTCCAGATATTTGACTTAGTGTGATTTGAACTGGACTTAATTTTTAATAAGTATTTTTTAGGTCCAGTTTTTAGTCTGATAAACGTAATAAAATGATTTTCTCCAAGTGAGGTTGGATATGGGATTCATGCCAGATGTGGATGTTTTCAGAGGGGACTCAAAGTTGATTTTCTTGCAGCAGAACAACCTGACATTATGTTTCTTGTAGCTGTAGCGACCTTACCTCCACCTCTCTTTTTTTTTACCTCAAACTCTGCTCTTGTTACAAGTGGACCAACTCTCCAGAGAAACACTGCCTTCATATATGTACTTGAAAGAAAAAGGACAGACCGCTTCCTTTGCTAGAGTATGCAGGTTTATCAGAAGATGATAGTGTAGCATTCCACGAAATCTTCAAGTTTTTGGAGGAAGTTTCATCTGTCCTTCACCGAGTTCAACCGCTCACAGTCTGGGCTTGTTTTTGGAACAGCATGACGCTCTTTATGCCTCATCTGTCAGTGATTGTAAATAAGTACAAGGACTATGTGACAAGCGGCGCAGATGTGAAAAGGTCAGACGGCTTCAACAAGCACACGTCTGGAATAAAGTCAATGAAAAAGTTCTTTGGTCTTATTTTAATTGTAATCCAGTAGCACTTTATGCATTGTGTACATCACATGTTATAGTGCTCACAATACAGTCATGAGTTCTGGTCTAACACCTTGTTATGTAACACTGAACTACTGCCAACAATCACACATCCGTCTGTCAACCTTAGTCAATGACAACAATCAAGAGGTGCTGTGTCAACCAAGGACAAAAGAAAGATTTTTTCATCATTAGAGAGAGAATCAAACTTCCCAGAAAAACACAACATCAGGACATGACAACCAAAATAACTTTCTGGAGTGCCAATAAGTTTACAATATCATGATACCATAAGTGTGGCTCCTGTCTAATGTCTATCTGGGCTGACATTTTAAAGCACTGGGCTCTCTAACATCATACTTCAAATGTTTTATAACACAAAGAAGTTTAAAATGTTCCAGGAACCTTAAACGATAGTTTTGTTACCTTACAAGCACCTGTGATTAACATGTTTATCCTCACCCAGCATTTCGAATATTTGAGAGGGGTGGCAGCTTTAGTTTATGAGGCATACATGCAGTCAAATGACAAACACAGACTTTACAATAGGCCTTTTAATGACCAGTAATATACTTAAAGTTCTATGAGCGGGTAATGATGGTGGTGTGCTTTTTCACCACACATTCACTGCACCCTGCCTTATCAGGTAACATTTGTTTGTTTCCTGAGCTCTCTTTGAATAACCTGGCACTTGACACTGGATGTTCAGCAAACATTTTTCAAAAACAGAGTACCTGCAAACAAACGCATCCACAAGCACAGCGAATTCCCCCATATAAACAAAACCAGACTTATTTTTCAATGAAGTCTGCAGTTTTTTAAACCACCTTCTAGCTAGGGTTCAGATTTTTAAACACATAATTCTCTACACCAGAAAAGTGTTAGGCATCACAGTGGGTATTTACTTTTTTAGGTTTTTACATGAAACATGAAGCATGAAATGCCTGGTGATCTTTATGCTTGTAGGTTAAACCAACTATAGAGGCTGAATTTTGAAGTGGTACAGAGACGCTATTGAGTCAGTATTTGTGAGGTTTTCTCAAATAAACCAATGAAACATCAAGTTCTTCATTAAGACTGATCTGTGTGCCAAGTTTGGTTTGTTCTGGGGAAGAGAGGATGGAGTAAAGGAAGGAAGGTAGGCTGGAAGGATGAAGGAAAGGAAAAAAAGAGGAAGAAGGGAAAAGGTAGGAATGGAAGAGGGAAGGAGGAAGGAAATAAGGCCAGATAGAGGGACCTAAGGAGAAGGGAGGAAAGGCAAGGTGGGAGGAAGGAGGGATGGAGGAAAGCCAAGACAGGAGGAAGCGTGGACGTAGGAAAGGCAAGACAGGAGGAAGGGGAAATGGCAAGACAGGGAGGGGAGGAAGGACCTGCAGATAGGATAGAGGGAAGAACAGAATGAAAAAAAGATGGAATGAAGAAAGGATGCAAGGAAAGAGGGATAAAAGCAGGATGCAAGGAAGGAAGGAATAAGGATAAGATGCAAGGAGGGAGGGAAAGAGGTGACCTGATTTATTCCACTTCTGTTTGGTTTTATCATTGGGGTTGTTAAATGTAATTTCATTAAAAACTCACTTAATGATTTATCAAAGCTAAGGAATACACATTTGCATGTTTTTTTTAAAATCCCAACTCTCCGTAACCTCATAACCTCCCATCCTGTCTGTCAACCTTAGTCAATGACAACAATCAAGAGGTGCTGTGTCATTACCAGACTGAACTAAATACAGTAAAACAACAAAAATATAAAAAAAAATCAAAGCACAATACAAAATCAATCACTTCAACAATATCCTGAATGTTGAACTCAGATAGAGGAAATTACTTACTCTTTCAGGCAAACTGAGGTTTAACAGTAATCAGCAGCAAAGGTAAACAAAGTAGCTTCCCTTAACCTGATCTCATACAATACGTTTTTTTTTTTTTCCCCGTTTGCATTCAGTGCCATGATTCTCTCTGTGCAGACAGACACTACACACTGCAGCCTTCACCGGCCATCTCACCAAACCTGTTTCTCCCTTCATACATATTTAGTTGTCATGTGAAGCCAGAAAGTTGTTGTACTGGCAGGCCAACCTGAGATTAAAAATATCGCTCCTCTGAGACCTCTATTTCAGCTGGATGTGACGAGGATGAAAAGTATAGAAGCTCAGGGGGCTTTTCTTTGAATATTTGAGAGGGGTGGCAGCTTTAGTTTATGAGGCATACATGCAGTCAAATGACAAACACAGACTTTACAATAGGCCTTTTAATGACCAGTAATATACTTAAGATTACTGCGTGACGTAAAAGTGAATGTATTGCATAATTACCAACAGCAACAATATGCATCAAACAATGCCTGGATTACACAACAGTTCGGCAAGACTTGCACCACTGCACCTAAGCTTTCAATGCATGAGAAAATGAGAAGAATTCTTCATCCTTCTTGAGCGGGAATACTTATGGAGCTGTGAATAAATACAAGGACCCAGAGGGAAAACTACAAAGAGAATGGCTGAGAAATCCTAACAGGAATGATCAGGAATCGACTGAAACTTTGATCATCTGTAAACAGACAAAATTTCAAGTCTTAGGGTGTGTGCCTCGCTCGCAGCTCTACAAACTAGGATCTTCGGGACATAAACATTGATATTCAGCAGTTTTACTGTGCTCACTATGTAAAGCCCGACACACTCTTACTGATTCATCTTAAAAATGGGAGACAAATAATGGCAGATATAGCAGTTTTGCTCTGAGACCGTGTGGAGTGCATAAGTATGGCCGGTACAGCATAAAAGACCAGATTCCACACTCTTTAAACTGGGAATCTGCCAAACTCTGACTGATCAGAAGAAGAAGAAGGAGAAGAAGATGAGGAAGACGAAGAAGAAGCAGAGGATGAGGAAGAAGAAGATAAAGAAAAAGAAGCAGAAGAAGAGGTAGAAGATGAAGTAGAGGATGAAGAAGCAGAAGAAAAGGGGGAGAAGATGAAGAAGCAGAAGAAAAAGCAGAAGAAAGAGAAGAGGAAGAAGAATTGGAAGAAATAGAAGATGAAGAAGTGGAAGAAAAAGAAATAGGAGACGAAAAAGTAGTGAAAGAACAAGCAGAGGAAAGAAAGAAGAAGAAGCAGAAGAAAAGAAAGAAGAAGCAGAAGAAAAGAAGGAAGAAGAAATGGAAGAAGCAGCAGAAGAAAAGAAAGAAGCAAAAGAAAAGAAGGAAGAAGAAGAAATGGAAGAAGCAGCAGAAGAAAAGAAAGAAGAAGTAGAAGAAGTGGAAGAAGAACTTTATTGGGCTGACGGTTTGCGATTTGTAACTTTGAATAAACTTAAAATGGTACTTCAATAACCTCAATTAATTTGAGGATGCCACACAGACTCAGCAGTATCCTAAAACAGGCTCTACTGTAGGTGTAAGCCTCTGAAGAATCTTACTTTTGATGTTGAATAAGCTCCTAGTCAAGACCGATTTTCTGTTTTCTTTTAAAAAAATGGAGTGAGCAATAAGGGCAAGTTGATACAATTAACAAGTGACTGTCCATAAGTTAATCCACTGTTAAATAAGTTAATCCATAAGTTTTTATTCATATATGCAACCCCAGGTCCACTTTTACAATGCCTACTCCGTCTATTGAAAAGTCAATGTGGTGGTCTAAAGAACAAAATGTTTTAAAACACCGGTGTCACAACCCTCCTTTGTAGTGACCAATAACTGTAGCATGTTAAATGGTCACCTTCCTTCTGCCAGTACCTGAACATCACAGCCACTAACAGTTAACATTTGCACCTCCTCAGCTCCCTTCCTCCCTCAGTCAATGGCAGCAGTCTAGACATCATGGATGCAATAGGTAAACTAGGCTGCAGCCTCCCTGCTGTGCAATAAATCAAGCTGATTTCCCCCTGACACCTGAGAAAGGCAAAGCTCTTACACACAGTACTCATGTGCACTAAAGGTTCTCATTGAAGGTGATTCAGTCTTTTAAAAAATGCTAGAACTTTGACTCAAACTGTATTTCACTTTAAAACTCTCTTTATGGTCTATTTCCTTAAATATCTATAGAGGGTTTAACAGTAGAGAGGAAAGCTTACTGCGCAAAAGTCCCTTAAGGCAAATGTGTATTGGAATTTTAGCCTATGTACATAAATTTACTTGACATAACTAGCTTCCGCTCCTTCCCAGCTCCTCTCTGCATGTTCACCTCGCCTGATAAATCCCTCAGGCTCCAGTCAGGGGCCTTAAGTAGGCAGTTTATCATGAAATGATAGAGAAACTGGCACACATTCAATGACAGTGTGAAAAAATGTCATCGTACCTCTTGTCGGAAGTTTCCCAAAGTCGCCTGATGTTAGTTTATGTTGATGGATGTTTCTTGTGTGGGCTTCGGACAGTATTTCCTGTCTGCTTGATTTTTATGGCCTTCACTTTGGCAAATGTCAAAATGGGTGTTTCATTTAAACTACTTTGCCCTGTTTACTCATCCTGCTTCCTCTGCAAACCACTTAGAAACTTGCAGCCACCCCAGCTCCACTTCTTCACGGTGTGTCATGTGTGTTGCCACTGCTGCCTGCTAGGGGTCTGAGCTGCTGTCCTTGCTTTGACTTCATATGTAAACATACAAAACAAAGCAGGTGTGCTCTACCCACGTGACCCTGAATTTCTACCACATCCGGAACTGCTCTGATCCGGAATGGCAGCGATTTTCACCATCCACCAATTCCTACTGGATCCGTTTGTGAGGCGAATTTCGTGGTGGGTTACGGACAGCGGAAATCACGAGAACTCTCAGGAACTCGCGGATTCACGCGCAATCCCGCGATAACGAGTTATCTCTATACAGACAGCCACATAACCATGTAAGCAGTAGACTGTGTCCTTCCAGGAGGAAATCCACTTCTAGACTTCTAAAATCAGCATCTTCTCCTTCCAGGAGGAAATCCACTTCTAGACTTCTAAAATCAGCATCTTCTCATCCATGGTGCAAACGGGGTGAAATGCTGTCTAAAAACCTTTCACTTGTTCGTCCCCGCCTGTTTGCATGGTGTTTTAAATACGATCCACCTGAAACGCGTAGTGTTTTATTTTGAAAAGCAGCCAGATGTTTTATTTTGTCTGTGTCTGTGACTTCCTTTCCAGCATGGGTTGATGTGCTGAATTCATCTGGCATGCTCTGGCGTCTGGAAAAAATAGAACTCTTGCGATCAGCTATGGAGTCCGGTGATCTGCAGCAGAACGGAAAGAAGCCGGTGGAAATTGACACATTAACTTTAATGGTTACGATCAACTGCGATCAGCTGATACAGCCTTTTCATAGCCGTTACGGATGCGGTGGAAATTGGGGGTAAGTCTTTTGCATCCTGCATATGCACGTAGAAGGGCAGGTATGAAGGAAGGTATGGATCCAAGGCTCAAGATTCTGTTTATTTGACACCTTCCCCATGTATATGATGATGTAAAAATGACAAAAAGATATTCCCTAAGCCCCCTGCAGTGTAACCCAGGGAGGGGGGAGTGCAGCCTATTAACAAAAATCATATTTATAAACCTGTATTTTATGTAGATGGAAAAATTACAGTGTAATCATGGAGGCTCGCTTATCTAATTTGTCATAGCAATGCCTATTCAGCAGCAGACAGCCTTGAATTGAAATGAGCAATTATAATTCAAAACATAAGTCTTCAGCCCGTATATGTATATAAGAGGAAGTCAGAAAAGCATTTAAGCCTGGTCTTTTCAGTGACACTACACCGCCTGCTGGAGAAATGTGCTGTCTTTGTTTCGGTTTTCATGATCTCAGATGTATCATCTGGAATCTTCTCCTTCACCTGCCGCCCTCTGACATGGAGAAAACAGAACTTCAGTCACACTAGACATATAAGGCGACTCTCATTTCCCTCCTCAGTGCCATCCTATCTCCTCCCTACCTCCATCTCCTGACTGTGACCCCGAAATTGATCGGCACCCTGTCTTGAGGGGCGTCTCAAATCCTCAAATGCATCTCAAGTAGAGAGGACGATCACTGTAGGGTAACGGTTGAGATTGCACAGGTGTATCCTTTGCAGTGCTTATCAGTGATACATAATCAGCACTAATATATAGGCAGTCCAGACAAAGAAAATTAAAAGCCTCGAATCATTTCTCTTTTCTGTTTGTGTCTGATCTTTTGACAAGATTCATCAGAAGTAAGGCTTTATTAAGACAACAAATAGCAAAACTCAAATTTCTATGAGTGTTAATACAACAAATGAGGGCAGGAGCTCTAACACCCGCATGAAGAGGTAAAGATGTAGGGAGGAGGAGAGAGTAGAGGAACAGCAGAACATAAGCACATAAACTTACACTGATGTACACATACACATACTTTTATCTGAGATCAATCCAGGACAGTGAGGTGGTGTCAGCATGACGTGATTGAGGTCATGCAATGTCCTGCGATGACTCCTGCACTTGCACATCATAACAACTGCAATGTTGAAAAAACATCTAAAAGCCCTATTTTGTTTGATGCCTTTATGTCTTACTATTTAGTTTCACTTTGTATTATGTTGAGTTGTATTGTATGGTGTCTTTGAAAAAAGTGGAGAGAGTTTGCAAAATTGAGAGAAAGTTAAAGTTATCGTGAGAGCTCTGTGACTCATTTCACAGATACAAAGTGTTTCAGTGGGCTTTACAAAGTTTTACAAAGATGATTCAGATTTACATGAAAAAGCTTGAAAAATGTCTGCTCAGAGGCAGTGATATCTCAGTTTGTTCAACGCCTTTGCCTTGACTCTTCTCTTTTCTTCTCTGCCGTTTACATTCTCCTCTCCCGTCTCAAGGGGAAGGCAGAAAGGTATATAAGTGTGGAGAAAAGCTGCAGGATTATGCACACGGTGCTTTCAGAAAAGTCACTTTTCACCAGCTTTAGAATAAAACACTCCTAAGGTCACCATCTGTTTGAATAAAGCTGATTAATAAATGTTATACCACAAAAACAATCGAGATAAATCTGATGTTGAGCGGTGAAGTTCTCAAATGCAGAAATAACAGATTCACAAATTAATTCAAGTGCTGACTGTGACTTTTTATGACCAACAAGTCAACAACTTTTCAGACCTAAATGCTCATCACACACTGTTCATTTCATGTCTTCAGTTGTCTACGTCCGTAAAACTTCCTCTGATTCACTCGGCTGTTTCCTCAGTTCACAGGAACGACACACATTTGCAGAGTTTGATAAAGTACCTGTGGTGAGAAGTTTGCTCCATTCTGTTACTCAATTCCCAGTAATATCATTCTTGCAAATACATCTTCATCAGAAACACCTACAACATCCACACAGGGAGGTAAAAACTCTGTTGTGCGATTCTTCTCATTGTGGCCTGACCTTGTTCGTGAAAACTGGGCCACTGGGGCTTGACTGACTCAAAACAAACCGCGCTCTCCTTGCTCTGTTTTCTCGCTTGCCCTATCAATTTCTTCCTGTATGAGGTCTTTCTGCTTCTCTCATTCTTTGCCTTTACCTGTTCTCCTTCCCTCCATTTCCTCCCAACCCTCACAAATTCTCACAGTCTGCTGCACAGGCCTTTTTTTTTTCTTTACAGGCGAGAATGTAGGCCATCGCTCTGACAGCAGGAAGGCAGCGAGGAGTCGAAAGCAGCGGCGCTCTTCTCTTCTTCCCCTGCATTCTGCTCGCTCACAGCAGCTGAATACAGTACAGTGTGTATACATATGTGTGTGTGTGTGTGTGTGTGTGTGTGTGTGTGTGTGTGTGTTCCTGCCTTAGAGAGCTGGAATCGAGGCACAAACAACAGCATACAGGCTACACCTAAAGCTGATCTGTTTCAGTTTTGCTGTAACAAGAGCTCCTCCACATCCCATACTATCAAAGATGATCTGAAACACAAGATGTGAAAAACAGGAGTTTGTTTCATCCAATTGTCATAACACTTACTGGTTAGAGCTATGTAAACAAAACCCATTGCTGGATATTTAAACCACACAGAATCTGCGCACCTCACGCCCGCATAAAGCAAAAATGCATCAAAAAAGAAAGTATTTCTTCAAATCCCTTAAGTAAACAAACAAGAAACCACAAGCTGTGGGTTGATGAAATCGGAGCTATGTGAAGATGACTTTCTGCCTCACCTGCCAAGAAAATACACCACTACTCTCTGACTCAGGATAAATACATATTTCTAAAAACATATAGATATAAAAGCAAGCATGCATGCAGCTATGCAAAATATGTGTTTGTCTTTACTTTGGTCAACACACAGAGGGAGTGTGTACAGAGGCCAGTATGAGCAGAGTTTAAGGTCAGACAATTACATCAGGATGAGTTCAAATTCGATAATAGTTGGGGACGACTGGGTAATATGTCAGCCAATATCAGTCTGACACAGATTTAGCCTTTGAGTGTTAGCTATTTCAAAGCAATGACACTGCCGGGATGAAACCTGTTTTACATCGAAAGCAACATTGAGAATGTGATCAACACATCAGTCTGTAGCTGGCTATGATTCAGCAGCATGGCACTTTCGTCGTTACCTGACCATTGAATGACACTCTTAACAGTTACAACTGTTAAGAGTGTTTGAACTCAAAACATACAGCTGATCAACACATCAGTCTGTGGGAAGTAGCTGGCTTTGATTCAGCAGCACGGCACTTTCGTCGTTACCTGACCATTGAATGACACTCTTGACAGTTACAACACCAAAACATCTGAGACAGGCCTTGTGCAAGTGTTTGGGTTCTAGACCCTAGATTGCAAGATAAGAGACGAATGTAGGGCTGAATGTCGACTTTGAAAAAGCAGCTGTCAGCGACAACAAATCTGAGGCTTGGCCTAGACGACGTACCACAGTGCAACGTGCAATGTCAGCAGGTAAAACCTAAAGGAGAGCTGCACTCAATCCTAATAAAATGGTTTTGTTGAAAATATCATTTTCAGTTTTGACTTTCTCCTGAGCCTTTACCAACCATTAAACTACTCCGTTACAGTAAATCTAAATTGCCATTGAAACTTCTAGGACATGGTGCCAATCCTTCAGGGATACAACTATGACTTATAGATAAGGCAAAAGGAAAAATCCAGGGACCACAAAAGTCATTAAGTTTCACAGTAAATCTCTGCACCAGGTTTGATGAAGATCCGTCACAGCCACAATCCTGCAAGAGCCACAGTAATGTCAATGATAGATCTCCCTCACTGATTGCTGATATTTGACTGACCCCACCTCCAGAGGGATAGAAAACTGAAAAGCTACTGGACCTGATTTCGAAAAGAGGGGATGAGTAGAGCTTGAGCTTTGTTGCTTTGAAGACGTTTATGAAGAAAATCAGAAGACAAGCACTGCACTGCAGATCTGCATTAATTTACATTCTTATAAAGTTGACATGGATCTTAGATAGATCAAGATGCAGCATTATAAATGAGGAGAATTAAGGACAAAATGTAAGAAGATAAGTGAAACTAGAACACAAGATGCTGATTTAGAGATACTGATTCAGGTCATGTCAAGTAAGTGCTTAAGTAGAGCTACAGTCTAATATTTATATGTGGTATGAATTTTAACTGTGAGTAGCAACAAGAAGCTAAAATAAGGCACCAAGAGCTAAGACATTCATGAGCTACCATCCAATAAAGTTTCTAACCAGTGACAGGTGAGCCTCACAGATCCATCTACCAACACATGCAACATTCATCAGCGCTCCCTGCCCTTAAAATCAAATCATCGGAGTCACATCTTAACAGGTTGTTTGCAGGTGTCCTCAGGGGGGTTGAAAAAAACCAAACCGCATGCTAACATACTACAGCTCCAGCAGAAGAATGCTGTGACAGTGTCAGGCAGGCTGCAGCAGCACTGCTGAGTGCTAAAATGGCTGCTCATTCTCCATACAGACACAGAGCTTAGCTGGGAGGAGGAGGAGGGCTCCCACTCCCAACTATTTGCTTTGAATGTGGCTCATCCTTAGGTGGGCTTCACAGCTTGTGTTTGCAGAGCTAATAAAGGAAATGCCTTGTCTGTTGCTTTTGATAGGATAAATATAAAATGCACAAGATTGTATGATCATGAGGGAATAGACTACTACAGCCCTCTCATTCATCTGCCTCCACATCCACACCAGTAAAACTGTAGCATTGAAGTGTGTCGCTGTGCATTGATAAGATCAGGTTAAGGGTCTTCATTTCGTCTGCATGCTACAATTACATCTAAGATATCAGGAAAAAGGCATCCTTCCTTGAAAAAACATCACACTGTGTTGCACAGTAGCACTGACTCCTTCAGTTCAAGTGTGAGGAAGTGTTAAAAAAGAGGTAATACCTCCTTTTACTATCTTACTCCAGTGTTTTTGTTGTGTTGTTTACAGTGAGCGTGTCCTCAGGCAGTCACTGTGGCAGCAGAGTGGCAAACTTTGAACTGAATAATAGAGGCCTACAGTGAACTCTATATCCTGAGTCTTATCTGGGCCACATCTTACCCCAGAGAGGCCCAGCTTCAATGTTTTTACTCAGAGCATGGCAAAGTCTGCAACACTCCAGTACTACACAAACAGACAGCCTGCCCACTATCATGGAGCTCCAATGAAACAAAGTGGTCAATTCAATTTGGAGAATTCAATTAACTAGCTAAACAAATTATTTAAGAGAATCAAGTTTTCATTAGGATGACAGGGTTTTGTTACTTTGAGTGGCTACATGAAGCTAACTTTTACAACCCTAACTGCAAAAAAGTTAGAGCGCTGTGTAAAATATCAACAAAAACAGAATGTGATGGTTTTCAAATCATTCGACTGCTTTATTTTATTAAAACTAGAGCAAAGACCATATGTGATAGACTCAACCCAAATAAATGGCTGTTGTTTCTGCATTATTTTTCTATACACTATGGTCCTCTCTTTGCATGATAGAGATTGTGGGAGTGATTTTAAACCCATGATCAGAGTCATGTCTGTTTTTCATGCAGTAGTGCCTGTGGGCCCATAGATCACGGCCATCCAATGCTGATTTTCATGCTTTTCGATTTTCTACAGAGATTTCTCCTGCAGATGATGCAACCCCCAACTTCCTCGCGACTTTATGCAAAACTGTTGAGCTACCACAATGGTAGGGAGGTAAGGTGATGATCTTCAAACATAACTAAACTCTTATCGTGTTCTGTTGTCCCTTGCATCAAACTTTATATCGTCATGACAACAATACCAGGTTTTGCACTATTTGCAATTAAATACAGGGTTTAAATCATTCACAAACCATCAATCCATGCCTTTAGCATCATTTTGCACAGCATCCCAATATTATAGGATTGCTCATTAGAGACATTATGTACTATTTTTCTTTAAAGTTGCACAGTAGCGGTATGTGGATATTGTAACACCTGCAACATAGAAAAGACAGAATCAAACTGAACTTTCTCTTCTGTGTGTCATATCTTTGATGCAAAAATGTGACCTTACTGAACATCACAAGTCCAAACAGCCCTGAGACTTTCTTTTCACTACTTGTAAAAATAGAAAACCAACTCTAAACTTTTGTTTAACAATTCAGCCTCCCTATCAGACATAATTAACCGTTTATAGACCAAACTCTCCCCAAACAGGACAACTGATAACCCAAACAACTGCAGGCTTTCTCGCACACAAAGGTCAAAGTAAAACTCATACCCAAATGTCCTTTTAAACCCACAGCTAACAGTTATTATTTTGATAATGATGCACTAAGCAGCAAATGAAATAGGCCATTAACATTCTGTCAATCGAAGCCAATGACTGGGAGGTTTGCATGACAGTCAATAAATACTTGACTTAGTCTTGAGGATGCATGATATCGTATCAGCAGGTTGAAAGCTTAAGAAGGTGATTATTGATTGTGACAGGTATGAAAATATCTGCTGATATGTGTGACAGATAAAGTGACGCATCAGTTGTGTTTGCTCAGTTACAACTTAAATGAATCAACAGCTACATTAAACATGTTGACATTATATAGAAGCATTTTGAAGCATCAGAAACAGACAGCACCACGAGGCACAGGTGACACAGAGCTCACTCTATTAAAATTGCGAATTCATTAAAGCATCTCAACAACTGTCATACTAACAGCTCCAAAAGTTAAATGTATGAATGACAAATTGAAAGCGAAGTAATAAACGCAGCAGCTGCTGCCCAAAGGTAAAAGAGCATATCAAGAAAATTATTTGATTCATCGTTTGTACTAACGAGCCTTTCAGTTTGGCGGGCATGTGGGCCTCCATAGGCTGATAAAGGACCATTACACTATACCTCACTGGTGTAACTTGTGTTGTGAGGATGGCAACAAATGATCATTTTCTATGAGAAGTTTAAAATGTATTTATTACATTTTTAACCTGCTTGCTTTAGGACTATTCATTAATACATAACAGATGAAAACACAAATGATAAATCATGAACACAGCTGCTCTCCACGACAGAAGCATGTATGTCTATTTTGAAACAACTGGTTTTACTAATTTTGCATGTGCACCTTTTAACTAACTATACAAATTTGAACCTGATAAGCCTGATCTAACATTATTTCATGCAAAAGTTGCATTAACTTAAAAAGGCATTAATCAAGCTGAGGAACATGTCTTAAAAATGAAGGTATACAGACACAAGTGTCAGCTGGTACAGCATGGGTTTGAAAGTCTCCAGAAACAGATTTTTAAGGCAGCTGTTTGTACCTCATGACACTTTCTGTGCAGATGTTTTTAAAAATGTTTTTCAAGTTTATGGTTTAGAGTTCATACTGACAGATCATAAAGCCCCAAATTAACACAATCAACAGGCAAAAATCACATTTTAATCATGGCAGCGATTAAGCTCATGAATAGATGGCCGGAAAATGGGGTGGGGGGTGAGGGGGTAATTAGATAGGGCAGACATATTTTACTATTTATTTTCTCTACTATTTATATTTGCTCTGAGATTTTCTAGAGTCCCAATCAATGCAAGGGTATGACAAAAAAGCACCAGGCCCACAATGACTCACTTTAGAAACTGGGGTCAATTAAGGTGAATCAGTCCACATTAAATTAACGCTAATCAAAGGCTAACATCTTATTCAACATATACCAAATACTAAACTACTTTTTTGCATCTTTCTACCCCCACGCAGGAGCTGCATGTGTGCGTTAGCCTAACATGACCACAGGCTTTTTGTCAAGAGGTCAAACTGCCCTTTAGGTTTGTGCATTCAGGACAAAGGTTTGTAGGAGGTCCAAACAAATCACAGCGACACCTAGAGGCCGATCAGACTGCTTCTCTCATAAGCTGAATCATAAATACCTCTCTTTTTTTTTTTACTCCCACAGAAATGGAGAGGCTGCAGTTGCCTGAAGCATGAAGGTATGGAGGCAGATGTGTATTAAATGTTTATAAGATATTAAAAAGGCCTTGAACACGCATGCATCCGCACATTTCATCTGCTCTATTTTCCCGTCATCATGAGTAACTGGACATGCATCCATTTATTTTATTGATAAAGACTAATTTCAGGTTGATAAAAAAACGGTTCTACTCCTAAGTTGGAGTAGGCATTGCTGTTGCACTTAAGTCCATTGTATCAAAAGGTGCTCCTGACAATTTGCTCCTCACATTTCTTAATGACTGATAAATATACAAGTATATGGTACATCTTTATAATTAATACACTACAATATACCAATTATTGCATCTGCAACAATAAATTCAAAGTAGAATAGTCATATTTCTGATCATGCCAGCAAAAACTGAAAGTTTTAAAGCTTCCTGAAAGTGGAACTTGTGGTAGAGCTGTTGTATTGGATTGCATTAGATTGCACAAGTGTTAGTAATGTTGTGACTGGTCGTGTGCAAGCCAATACTGTGGGAAAACTCGTATAGTATACGAGATGTAGTTCAAAATTTGAGTAAATACTACAAGTTCGCATTATGTAACAGCTACAGATTTGTGCAGCAAGTAAAAGATAAAACACTGATAACGGGATTTGTAAATGTGATCCACGCTAAAAGCCAGAATTGCATGAATAAAACGAAACGAGCATGTTGTTGAATGAACGGTAGTGCACAGTTTGAGTTGTTGCACAGTTGGATTAATGAAAGTAAGAGCAGCCTGGTGTCTTTCTTTGCAGGTGGCGAAGGAGCAAAATGTCCCAGCGAGCACCACTGCACGTTATGTATTCAGTCAGGGAAGATGGTGTCGGTGAATTGTAGCAACGTTATGTGGAAAAATCAACAATGAGTCAGGCGTGTTTGGAGGCCCTGAGCATATGCTCGGCTGCAGTTTTACCACGGTTTGACATGTTGTCATGCACTCTGCGGCGGAGTTACTCATTCGCTTACCTGTATTTGTCCTCCGTGTAACTTGTGAATTAAGATCCCTCCTCGGTTGTCCTGCAGAAAGTGTCACGCCGGAGGATTAACTCCCATGCAAACAGCAGCCTGGACAGCGCGTGAAACAAGCCAGTTAGCTAACTTAGCTAACCAGCTTAACTTACTCAGATGTTTGACTTTTTATCCACTCTTACTTCGGGAGATGATTTTACAGTCACATAAAGAAAACATGTTTCAAACCCGAGTGGGTTAGCTTGGGAAGCGGGCAAAAGTTGTAGGCTAGCTGGCTCGCTAGCGGTTTAACGTCAGCTTCTGTTGACAAACAAGCCTGCGTAGTTAAAATCACACACCACTTCAAGCTAGCTAACGCCAGCACGGTTAGCTTAGCTCGCTAACCAGCTTGCTAAAATCCAAACCTTTTTTTCCGAAAACCCCTCTTCTCCGTATCTGACTCGTATCCCATCGGCGGCTGCAAACCGTACGTAACTCCGATAATCACTTGTGGGTGGTTTCAGTGTTTCAATGACGGCGCACTCGCAAACGCAAACCTAAGTTATCGCTTTGGTCTCTGCTCTCCGCCATTTCCAATCTCTCAACACAAACAAACAGGGCTGCTCGTGCGCGCCGAGCCTCGAGGCGCGTTCACGCGGGGAGCAGCGGGCAGAAGCCTCCGCTGTGCTCGTAGGAAGGAGGCATGACTGTCGATTGAACGCTGTTAATGACACGTTGTTATCTTTGTTATGGTGAAAGTGTGTGCTTTTCTTCGACACTTAAGACGGCGCAAATGCAGCAGGGTGACGGTGTGTGCACTATTCAGACGGCAGGCCTCGTGCAGCAGCGCGTGCTGATGCACTGTGCAGAATCCATAGTGTCTGGAACATAGTGTTGCACAGAGTCCGCTACATAATTCATATAGACACAGAGCAGGATTTTGACTGTAATTAGGTAGTTTGGAACTTTATTGTATACAATCTGAGTTAAAACACCAGGCAGTCAATTCAAACCAAAAATATACTTTAAAAATGTTAAAACAGTTCATTCTTCAAAGAGGACTGATGCAGAAAACTAAATTTGCATTTTGTGGAGACTAGTTCATCATTCAGTGCCCATGAGACGATAATTTGTTTCCAAAAGATTAGTGTATCACGCCCACAAGATAATTATATTTTGTGCACTTGTTCCCACAGGTTATCAATTTATGGAGTTATCTTTCAGCCAATCCCACTGAGCATTTTTTGGTCTAAAAGAGGTCTAATAGACGTCTAAATGTAGCCTAGACGACTGGTCTAAAATCAGGCTACCACAGGTCTAAAAATGGAAGTGTTTTTTAGACGTCTAAATTTACACCAAGTTTAGACTAAATCTAAATCTGGGCTGTATCTATACTACACTGTATATTGCTCAACGGCTATCATAATTATTTTGGTTTAGTACTTGGAGATCAGTTATGTAACTCACAGTTGCTTCTTGAAATAAATGATCGAATAATGGGTTAAAGTGTTACGTCTAAATTCCATCTAAAAAAACACAGAATCTAGACAGTTGAAATTAGGTCATGAAAAAACTAGACGTCTAATAGCCGTCTATTGCTTAGTGGGATCAGTGTGTAGTATTGAATTCAGTGGTGTTAAACTGACATACTTAAGTACATCCAGCTGAAAGGGAACAAACATGAAATCACCTTTTGCAGAAAGACGTTTAACCGCCCTTCAGTATGAGAGCACTACAAACCCTGTGACTCATCAGGATCAATAACTTACACATTATTCATTAGGAACCATTGTCAATATAATGTGTTGAACCATGCAGCTTTAATGCTACACCTGGAACCTGTCATGGACTTTGCTCTGTGAGAGTATGGACACTGTAAACAGCACGTTTCCTCATGTTTGCCATTCATGTACTCTTTCATATCTTTATAAACTTGTGCAGCAGTTTTAGAAGGCACGAGTGAAGTAAAAATATTTTTATAATCTAGATGCTTGTCTAACCTGTTCCCCTTTTGTTTGTCACAATGATATCTTATGATGAAATTTCATGTAAGAATAAAAGGATGTGGGTGTGTCTTTCTTTCTGGGTAATCATGTTTTGTGTTAGTTGCACCTTTGTAGAGCCCGCAGGATTCAAAGTGTAAATTTATGACTTATTCATCTCACTGTCTGGATCCAGGGGAATTTAAAATAAAAGCTGAATAATTATTGCTTGTTTGTCTTTCACTGTTTTCTCATTCAAATGTAATAATTGTTGTTGAACACCTCATTACAGCATGCTTAAAAGGGATGGTGGAAGTTGTAGGATGAGTCACATCAGCTATTTTTAAAAGCATGTAGGTTAGTGTGTGAAAGACAGCAGGTTAATGCAAATTATGAAAATAACCCACGTTTAATTTGCTGCCACTGTGGGCTCAGTTGGCTCAATTCCCAGAAATCATTACCTGTCACGGCTCAGATACCTGTCAGTCAAGGAACAGGGTCCAAAAATACCCACAGGCAAAGGTTTAAATTTACCTTATTATCCTCTCAGTGGAATGATTAGATTCAGTGCAAATGGCAGAGGTGTATGAACAAATTCTGCTGCAATCTTGACGGACCTGCACCCAGGCGCAAAATAAACTGGAAAACGTGAGCCACATTTTTCATTTGTTGATATACTTACTTAAATAAAATGCAAAGTTCGTCCAGGAGTGATGAAAGGTTCTTACAAAAGTTCTACACAAAAGTATAAATTCTTACTTTCGACAGCTGCTTTACACAATTTCTCTTTTTCTTTCAGGTCCCATCTCACAAAAAAAAAAAAAAAAAAACTATACACATGCACTGTCATCAGTTTCCAGCCTAGCAACTCTGAAAATGCAGAAGCATAAAGCCTCTGCATAGTCTCTGTTGCCCACTAACTGGGAAAGCAGCAAATTGAATTTGCTCCTGTGGCGACGTAACCACAGGAGTGATTTGCATGTGCATGCATGCAAAACCGCTCTCTTTCGTTCAGAAACTCCGCTTCCTCCTGTGTTATTGTGGTTTTGTTTTAGTGTTGCATGGTCAAGATGTCAAAGGTTAGAGCAGGGCATGCCAGCTGCTCTGTTGTTGGTTTTTTCAAAAAAGAAAAATACTAATTTGTTTGTTTGTTTGTGTCGACCACTTCACTTTGGACTGCTTCAGCCACAAAGGTCAGCTAAGTTTACATTGATAACGACCCATAAAACCTACAGTTCGTAACCCAACAACAGCAGAAATGCCACAGTTAATTCATTTACTTTATGGCAATATTTACAGATTCATTTTGCTATGTACAGCTACAGGTTCTTCTGGGGTCCTCGCCACATTTATTGTGGTGTTTTTCCACCTCTGCATCTGTCCCTTCCTCTGTCCGTCTGTTGGAGATGGGTTGAGGTAAAGTAGAAAACTGCCCCATGGTCTGATGAATCAAAGTTTGACACTCCTTTTGGAAATCATGGACACTGCATCATCTGGGAGGAAAAAGGATGAGAGACCATCTGGCTTACTACCACCACACAGTCCAATAGTTTTGGGGAACACAGGTTGCTAAAACATGGCATGGGTAACTGTGAAGGCTTGTTAGAGGCTCCTTTTAGTCTGAACACTATTTACAGGTTTAGGAGCAACATACTGCATGCTGCAATTCTAATCATGTTTGTTTTTTTCAGGGAGGATCTTGTATTTGCCAGTAAGATAATGCTGACCCACATCCTAGCGTCTCCTTAGTGGAGAATGAGGGTATCTGTTGCAGAATTACTGTTATCAGGTTAACACCATAGATGACTTTTAGCCCTCAGAAACCACTGAGCAGATAGATTAATCTCATATGTAAACAGGAATACAGGAGGTACACTGTGTCTTCTCCTTTCAGATATGATCTCTTAGATAGGGCACTTTTACGCAATGATTGTTTTTGATATATTTTTACCCTTCTACACAGAAATATGAAGACCACAACAATACTAAGAAACGCTGGATTACATGGAGCAAGCAGATGAGCAGTTCTAGGAAACATCACAGAGAGTGAACCTTAATGGACTCAATAAAATGGACAATTATCTGCGGGGTCTCAGTGGGCAGCGGTGGCTGGATTTCTTTCAATCTTCAATTTACAGATATTTGGTCAGGGTTTCAGCATTTTGCATGTTGATTTTTTCTGAATGGTATTTCCAGCTGAATAAAATTATTTTGGATTAACAGATATGAGAGTTATATAAGAAATGTTCGACCTTCCCCACAGTCCCATCACATTAGCCTCCACAGCTGACCCCAACATTTCACCTTATTTCCCTCCAGGCCCTGTCTGACCTGCAGAGTGATCACAAACAGTTAATGCACCTGTTACCTCAGTGACTCCAAATGTTCTTACAGTCTTGAGTTTGTGAGGAAACAATAATAACATCTTTCTGTGAAGCCAAATTTGCTTTTATTTCTCCGTTTATATGAAGGTAAACAAGGTTGTTACAACATGGCTGTAAATAGTGGGGAAATTTAGCTGGTTTTGTACTTTCCAGGTGATGCTCCCTTTTTCAAAGCTACATCAGTGTAAGTATTTGCTTCTCTTGGGCTTAACATGATTTTGGTACATGGCTTGTGGCCAATTCATGTGTCCGTTTTAGGTTTTTATTATCTGCCTCTATAAAATTAAACTGAGAAAGAGGTATAAAGACAGAGGATTTGAACCAAAGGTGCACTTGTTGCAGATAAGTGACCAAGCTAAAGCTATGCCCCTCAACAGCCTGGTACTTTTGAGTGATAGATTAAATGCACAGAGGGGAAAAATAAGATGGATTTTTCATGTCAGACAGTCTATCTAAAACATTTTCATCCCATCTTTGTCACATTAGAAAGAACACAATAGGTTAGAGTTTCTGCTACTGCACTTTGGCTTGTCATTGTCTTGTCTTTATAATAGATAAAGGGGTCGTTGATTAACATTTATCATAATTTTATTTACTTGTCAGATATGTCACCCTGAAGTTGGAATTCCTACACTGCCTTATGTACCATCAGCTTGAAATCCGAGATAGTTTATCTCTACATTAACAACAAAAATTACTGCACTTTTGACTCTGTTTATCCGCTCTGAATGTTTTGGTTTCACTTAAGACATTTGGTTGTGCTGTCCTTCATAATATATACTCTTTGCGAGCTGCACTTTGGCAGAAGAGAGTCAAGACAAGAGTAAAAGTTTGCTAAATGGTAATACAGATTAAATAGTTTGGACTAACATCACTAAAACACTTAAAAATGTTGTTTTTGAGTCTGTTCCAAGGATACAAATGGGAGAATAAAAAGGATTTAAATTAAAAAATAAGGTACACTTGCAACACTACATGGATGATCTTTTTATTTTGCAGATGTACTTCCGGAGCACTCCTATCTTATTAGGTCAGGTCTGGAGTTGTTATTGTTTGGTTTGCACAGGGACTCTGTAACAGCAGCAGACAGACTGCAATGAAGGCTTAATGTTTGTGTGCCAAAATATTGGCAGTTTTTTAAGTTACAGTTTCTTTTGTTTTAAGCAGTCACAAGCCAGAAACTGAGTTTTGTAGTTAAATCACCACAAAACTTCAGCCAAAGTATTTGGAGCAATTCGGGTTTATAAGCTCATTGAAACAAATAAAATAAACTTGCAAGCCATAAAAAATAAGATGCCTATATTTCTAACATAATGAATCAAAAATTACTCCTAAGCAACTGCTATTACAACATCTGAATAAATGAATCCAAACTTCATTTTTCCTTAGCTTTAATAGCAGAGAAACAGGTGTTTGAAAGGAAGAGCCAAACTATCAGATGTCCATCCATAAATTAAGGAGACTGCAGATATTTTCTGAAAGGCCCCTGTGTTTTCATGGGCGTTGTCCTGCACTGTTCATGGTTTGAACATGGTTTGAACGTGTCTTTCATTTGAAGAGTTTGAACTTGCGCAACAGTGGCTGGACTGTCTCTTTTGGACACGGCTTTAGAGCCAAACATGTTGGGATGTTCTCTGGTTGTTCGATCCAAAGCTTGTGGGCAACACCAGCCTGAGTTAGGTTCTCTGATAGACCGGAGAGAGCAGCCTCATCTGGAGCCTAGCAAGGAGGAAACACAGAATACACACATATTTAAATTATTATAGGATCATAACCAAGGACAGATCCAAATTAGTTCATACTGGATTTAAGGGCTTCATGAGAGAGACCATGCATAGATAGGATAAAACTGTAAAACTATATTTACTCACACACACATATGGAAAAGGAAATATACTTTACAGTCTTAAAATGTACAATTTTTAAAAGTAAGAGTTAAGTCACAAAAAATATTACTTACAATCCTCTCCACAAATTCATGCACAGTAAAACTCTATTTACACACATGAATATAGAAAAGGAATTATACTTTACAATTTCCAAATGTACCATTTTAAAAGTAAAAGATTTGTGTGAAAACAAAACATGACTTACAATCCTCTCCTTACATTCATTTACAGGTTTTGCAAAATTACACCAACGCTACTGACAGGGATCTTGTTTTTATACAGGCCACCTTAATTCATTTAAAATGCAGTTATTTCATTATTTGTTGCTATCAAAAAATTGCACCAGTTACAGCATCACTGAAAGACCATTCGTATTCTTGAGCAGTCTAAATAAAATTCGGCATACAGCATTTACAGCAAACAACAGCAACAACAATAAAACGTGTATTTTAAAGCGCAACATCTCAAGTTTGACATGTCTTTTGCAAGTGCCACACAGCACGTTACAATGGAGAAAAGGCTTTTACAAACGGTTTGAAAATATATTTTATCATGCCGAATTAAACATTAAATCACAATGGTTATTGAAGAGAAGTCAGGATTAAGAAAAAGCCTCCTCAAAATCTAAGCAGCTCTTAAAGGCAGCTTTTCTGAGAGGGGTTTGGTGCGATGTGTCGAGCTCACCCCCAACACCACTTTATGCATGGTGTCCAGCTCTGCCAAGTACCGCTGAGTATCCGGGTCTCCGTAGTGCAGGTGAATAGCTGCGGTAGCCGCATGACAGGCCTGAGTTATCACAGCCCCGAGGGGCCAGGACAGCTTGTGAACCAGATCTGACCGGACAACCACATACTGGACCAAGCGGCTGGGAGACCCGGCTCCAGTAGCCGCCATTTTTCGCCTGTACAGGAACTGATTGAGGGTTTGTTTATTTTCCGGGTCAAGTGGTGTGACATTGATTGTTGAACGCCACTACCCTCTAGTGGTTTCTTCTAACACTGCAACGACTGTGGTAGAGTCGACCCACTTGTTGAACCTGCAAAAGAACAGCTTGTACCCTTCATCACGAACAAAAAAGGACTGAAGACGGACAAACGATGAGCATTCGTGAAGTCAGAAAATCCGGGAATTGAGAAAAGGACAGATATAAAGTTATTTGGTGCATTTAGCCCCTATTCCCATGACTTTGTTCATTATTGCTTAAAACAGAAAGTACACTAAATCAATGCACTCAACAACTTTTAATGGTTGCAAAAACTGTATTTTGGTATGTATAATTGAATAATGAGTCATATTCCGCTGATGCTGATATATATATATATATATATATATATATATATATATATATATATATATATATATATATAATAAATTAATGTGACCAAAGTTTATGTTATTATTTTTTTGTAACTTTGTAATCACAAAACATATATTTAAAACATGATTAACTCTAAATGTATACATATATGACATTATTTTATGGTTAGACTGTCAGTTAGACAAAACACAACAGATGTTAATTTATAAATGTAGAGTTTCACGCATAAAAGCATATTCTTGTTTTCCATTTAATGCCATCAACAGATTTGAGAAAAGTTAGGACAAGAATGAGAAAACAATGTAGAAAACTTGAAATGCTTCATAAACTTGTGGAATAACTAATTAGACCTCATTAAAAACTCGATGTGGCACCTCAAGGGGCTATCCTTGAATAAATTTAAATTCAAATAAGTTCAAATTTAGGTTATTTACAGCAGGTTAGTAGCATGTCAAGGTATAAAAAGGCCACTCAAGACAGACTGAGTCTCTTAGGGGTAAGGATGGAAAGAGGTAAACCAGTCTGTGAGAGACTGTGTGGGTTAGGGAATAATGTGCCTTAGTCTAAAATTGCACATAGTTTGGTAATGTTAAATCTGGAGAAATCTTGGGGAAAAAATTGGACAAAACTCGAATCTGATGGTAGATAATAATATATAATATAATGGAAGATTATTATATATTATCTTGAGTGAGTGGAAGTTAAACTTCTCTCCCTGCTACAAAAAAAGATGAGTGGTTTAGTTTCCTGGTTCCTGCTTATATTTAAAAGAAATTCAGGACACACTGTCCAACACTTTCTCTGTTTTCAAGGTTGAGGGGACCTTTTATAAAGCATGTGAAAAAGGAGAGACACCAATCTCCTTCCTGGCTCTCTTGCCTTCACCTTGACCTTCTCTGGACCGTGTTCAGTCTTGGTTTTTGGGATCCTATTTCTGACATGTAATAGATGCATGGAGTGACACAGTTTCATTTGGAAGCTGGCAGTGTCACTTTTCTTTGTTCATGTGCTTTTGTCATCGATGTTATGTTTCTTATTTTTTGTATCATTGTGAGGAGAAGTCAAAATTTCTGCAATTAGAATTTTAAAAAGTTGATGTGAAATGGATTCAGTCCCAGAGAAGGCCCTAAGCTCCTGTCTGAATGATGTTAAATCCAAATAATAAACACAGATTCATTCAAATAAAAGACAACCAAACACGAGTAAATGTCACAATAATTATTTATTAAGCATACACATTATAATATAAATATAAAATATGCTATTTTTGTTTTTAAAATTGGTGAGACATCATTATATCTGTGTTGAGACAGACAACCATACAAACAGGTTTTATATTCTACCAAAATCTGCTGAAACTTCTATGCAGCTGTAACAAACTGGCCGTGATGGTGCCGTCCTAAAATCTGAGCCTGTATTCATGGAGCACGTCGTAGAGGTGAGACTGACCCGGATTAGGATCAGGATCAGGATCAGGTCTGTGTAAAACGTCACCAGAAACCAGGAGGCAGACTGGTCCTGGATCAGCGCTCCTATAGCCTAAAGATGCTGTATGCAGTGGGCCCACGTACAGAGAGCACAATAACCTACAGTATATTTCTTTATATATAGATTCTTACTGGTCCAACAATGGCATTTAGCAGCATGATAACGCACCACTCAGGTTTTTCTAGTTCCAAGAAACTGCAAAATAAGTCGGGAAGTAAAGAAAGAAAAAGAAACATCGAACAGACTGATGATCATTGTCACTGTACTAAGAGCTCACAGTGAAACAATCAATAATCAAACAATCAAATCAGATCAGAGTGATGACATTTGACGTCAGGATCAATTCAGCTTCACCTCAGCCAACATGAAGAAGTGGATAATCTTTTACATTTTTTTGAAACAAAGTGAATGACATCGAGTTTGCTGTGCGTTTCATCGACACATCAATGAGAAGAAACTCCCAAACCATGAAGGACAGTTTGAGCTGACTGATCTAAAGTGAATTGATCCCCAAACCTATCAATGACAAGAAAGAACAAAGAGTTTTAACATTTTTCTCATTTTTTTTCAGTGTTTTTTTTTTCTCAGTTTTTTTCTCTTAAGTTTGGTTGACATGCTGAATCCTTGTGTTTTGCAGGTTTGTGGTCAATCAAAAGGAAAAGTACTGAGCGAACCACTCCTGGCGCTGAGCGTCCGGGGAGTCGATGGTGGAGTCCTTAGTTTCAGGAGGGCTGCGGGAGAGGGGACAGGGGTGCGAAAATAACCAGGAGGAAGGATGAAATCAAAGACAGAAAGTAGAGAAGTTAGAGGAAAAAACAACAGCTTCAGACAAATTATTCACATGTTCATGAAAGGCTGGAGTGGTGTCGGGTTAATAGTTTTCTGGCTGCAGGCTGGAGCTTCTTTGAGCTTAAAAGGTGCAGTTTTAAATAAAACTTCTCTGTGTTTTTGACGCTATTTAACCTCAGTGTTATTGATCATGTAGGTTCAAGTGTAATTAATGTTTCTGTCCGTGTGGGGGCAGCAGAGTCAAGGTCAGAGCAGGGAATTAGAGCAGCAGGATCACTGCACAACATTTTATTGTTTATTGTGCTGTCTGTCTCACTTTTATGTTGCTTTATATCCTGTGGAGATGAGAGCAGTCTCTCTTTGCTGTTTAAAAGCATGTTTTACCCTTTTGGGTAAAAGCAGTCCATTTGAATTGACTGGCGGTGAATGGAGACTTCAGGGTCTTGAGCAGTTTAAGAGTTTAACATAAGAAAACCATATTATTTAACGGCTGTTGAGGACCCAAATCTAACAGCCTGTGCAGCAAACTTATAAATGATGACTTTTTTGATCAATTGGCAGCATTGCCTTTAAAAGAATCAAAGCAGACTAAGAAGATGCTCATGGAAACCCTGAAGCTTTTAACTTTTTTAGTTAAAAGTTACGTCGCCAATCACAGATCAAGATAGTCATAATCCATGTCTATCCATACAGGCTTACAGCTCCCATTGGTCATTAAAGGGAGATTACGTTGTAAAATGAATTTAGGGTTAAACACACCATAACACTGAGTTAGACACCCCCTCGAGAGATGAATGTTGCCAACTGTTTGCTTCTCTAGTTATACCAACTTTAGTAACGACCGCAGGATAGCAATACACAGCGGTCTGAGGAGCTATAAACAAACCTCAACCAAAAAGCCTCTCTATAGCCACAAATAATGCTCAGAACAGCACCTAACTTCATCAACAGTACATAAAACGTCCTGGCCACAGTACTAGCCACCAAAGATCTTTTTAACTTTACCTGATTTCTTTAAAAAAAACTAAACACAACTCACCTACTCTCCTCCAGCAGCTGCTTGTTTGTAGCCAGACCTCAGGCCAATCCAGTACAGACTTCAGCGGGGTGATGCAGCTCAAGGAAGAACATTTATGATAATTTCTTCATGGAAATGGATTCAGATTGAGATACTAAGGCAGAAGAACTACTGCGTTTGCAGTCCAAAATGATTAATATGATGATTATTACTTCACAGAAATGATAAAGTAATGATAATGATCATAAATGTTCTTCCTTGAGCTGCGTCACCCCCCAGCAGTCCATAATGGATTGGCCTGAGGTCTGGCTACAAACAAGCGGCTGCTGGAGTAGAGCTGGTGAGTTGTGTTTAGTCTCTTTGCTAAAGAAATTAGGCAAAGCTAAATAGATGTTTGGTGGCTAGTGCTGTGGCTAGGACTCTGTATCTACTGTTGATGAAGTTAGGTGCTGTTCTGAGCATTATTTGTGGCTATAGAGTGGCGTTTTGGTTGAGGTTTATGGCTTAAGACCACTGTGTATTGCTATCCTGCGGTCGTTACTTAAGTTGGTATAACTAGAGAAGCAAACAGTCGGCAACATTCCTCTCTCGAGGGGGTGTCTAACTCGGTGTTACAGTGCGTTTTCCCCTAAATTAATTTTGCGCCAGAATACCCCTTTAAAAGGGGGCGTGGTCTATTTTGAGAGCGGGAACTTACACTTAACTCCTATCCTTTGTCAAATGATGCTCTTTATTTTGCAGTACACTATTTTCAAAATATTGTAAGTTGCAGCTGAACTCTACTTCATACTACACAAAGTCACATGAAATTCTTCATTGTTTTTTGTCTTAAGTCAAAAGTTTTACATCATATTGAAGCTTCTTTAAGGATTTTTTTTTATGTTTAAAAGAGACTGAAATTCAAATTGATGCCTTTGTATTAGATACAATAGCAAACACGAGCATCAGAGATGAGACTGAAGATTTTTGTTTTGTATTTTTTAGAGCCTGAAAGCAGCATGTAAGGTGGAAGGTGTCAGCTGAAGAAACAGCACAGTCTTTAAATTTTCACATGAAGTATTCACAATAAATGACACGTGGATGTCAGAAGTCAGCAGGATGAGGTTTTTTGTAGAGGATAGGATAAGCAATTTGTCCACAGGAGGCGCCAAAATTGACACGACCAAAAGTTCCTCACAGGAGCTTTAATGTGGTCAGTTTTATGAGTATAAACTCAATCATGAATGTGCTACAGCTGTTACATTGCATATAGAGTCCCTAAAATCCAAACGGTATTTGAGGTGTTGAAGTTTTTTATTCCTACTCA